TATATATATATATATATATTAATGTAATTCATAAGCGGTTGATAACATATGATATCAACAGTTCAACTATAATTTAATAGAATTCTTTACTTGGTCTATTGTTTAGCTGTTGTTCTGAACTAATATTTTCCTGTGATGGACCAAGTGTATCAAATATAGTCTGCATTGCTCCTACCCTTGGTAAAGTAACATTTTCTAGAATTGGCAGATTATTCTTTTTAGCATACTTTTGTGAGGTCTCCCTTCTTTTACATAAAAAACCTCCTTCAGGAAATAGAACCATCCATTTTCTATTCAATGGAATATATGACTCTTTCAAATGTTTTTCTAACTGCTTTAAACTTTCCTCCCTTTTCTTACGTCCCTGATAAAGTCATTGAAAATAAAACACTTCTATTATACACATAATTTTACACTTTACCAATAACTTAGCAACTAAATATTAACTTACAGATACAATAAAGAAGTCCTTATGTAAAACAGAAACTATACCAAAGTTAGTGAATTTAAAAATCCTATCCATAATCCACATTAAATTAGGTAACACATTTGGTTTTGCATTAAATGTTGTCATTAGCATAGGAACATCACCGGTACTTTGATGATTTGCTATTACTAATGTTCTTTCACTAATGATTTTTTGTATATCATCACCTTGTTCTATTACTAGAAATTCAAAATTTGGTGTTATTGTTACTAATATTTTTTTTAGATATACATTTTACACAAGGTATACATTCTACTTACTATCGTAACCTGCAGACCAAGACCACATTGAGACCATTGCTAGCAACCAATGGAAAAATAGTCCTTCGATCCGCCAATATACTTGTGGTTGATAAAATTTTACAGGGAATAATAATGTCATCCATACTACATATGTAGGTATACAATAAACATTGTTGAGTATCACAAAACTGGTTCTAGCAATACATTTTACAAAAGTCAACACATTATTGATTATTCTGCAAATTTGTAAAGTACCATCTATAAAATTTATTAATATAATTTGTTACTATTAGTGAAACAGAAACAATTGCAATAACTGTTCTTAAGCTTTTAAATTGTTTACAGTTTATTTCACGATTTTTATTACCTAAAACAACTTTTGCTTAAATCTTCCATAATATAACTGAACTATAAATTAACAATATTTTAACTTTCTTTTGTGTATAAAAACTGACTTACAAACAAAAGTATAACGAACTTAGTTTATAATGGGACTTATAATGCTATATGCGACTCTATATTAAGGCTGTCAGAAATGATATGATTTTTGACACATCATCAAATGAAATACAGACATGGATCTGCATTTGTCAGTGAACTACATATTTAAAGATGAAAGTCATGTAAATTCACATAAACTAAATGAGATGCAAAATTATCTGCATACAATGTAACAATTAACACATTACAAATGACAATAAATGAAACACGTCAACTGACAAGATATATTTATGTTACTGTGTTTGTTGCAAGTTTTAGCATGAAAATAATGAAGTAATTACAAAATAAAAATATATACCTTCTAATATAGAAGATACAAATATCAAAAGTTTTTAACTTTTTTAAGTCAAGAAACAAGACTCTTTCAAGAAGATAACAGAAAGTCCATGACTATGTTTCATGGAATATTTGAACAAAAAATCCAATGACTCGAAAAACAATAAATGAACAGTTGAATCTTACCGGACAAATAATATTTGATTAGATTCATCAATTAGGATTTTTGTATAAATGTCCGAAATGGGTACTACACTATTAAGTATTAACTGTATGTTTCATATATGTACATAAAACTTTTCAGCAGATCTACTGTGTACAACATGATAATGCTGAAAACTGATCCAACATGATGCAAACTGCAGAAACAATTAATATTTATTGTAGCCCATAAGCACTGACAATTTATTTGACCTATATCATTATTTCAATTAAGAAATATAGTTGTAAATACACGTTACAGAAATACGAAAAATTTAATTTATTAACTAATATGAATAATTAAAATGAGTCCGCATTGTCTCAGTAATCACGTTAACCGAGACCATGATGTCCGGTTCTTTCAGAATTTCTAGGTTAAGGACAAAAAAAGATTTCTACGAAATTAAAGTTAAAAATATGCTGATTGTAAAATGATTTCAAGGTGCATAGAAACATTTTCATTCAGAGATACGTACAATAGGAAAACTATAGAATGTCCTACAGAACACTGCTCCGCTTACCTCGTAAAAGTAGACGGCGATGAAATGTCAGTCATTTTCGAGAGACACCACTTGTAGTAACAACTTCGAATAAATTTCATCCACGGTTTTTTGAGCATAGCATTGTGTCGTACAGGAATTACATAATAAGAATCATTATATTTAATGACACGATGAAGTTCACGTTGCTGTTTACATGAGATTTGAATTCTAATAACGATAGAAAAACTATAAATTTCAATAAATGTGTCGCGTGGCTCTGTCGCTAAATAATTGCTTACGGTGCTACTGGTATCAAGTAACACGCAATTGACCAGGCAAAATTCTATCGAATTATTTTATCAGTTCCTCATTGATTACCGCTAATGCGCCGTTTTTTTTTAAAAATACACTATAATTTTATAATTTCTGCTACAATGTAGCATTACTACATGAAACATAACGTAAATAGAATGGCGACGAAAGTTGACGGACTAGTTAATTGAGCTCTACGATATACATAATCTTATCAATATTCAATATATAATTGACAGTCAATGTCGCATTTGTAATTCATGCAAAAGATCATTAGAAACAATTACAATTCGTTGCTTTATGTTGAATGCAAATCTGAAAATCCATATTTCAGAAACCATGATTCATCGTCCAATCAAAAAATTGAGATGTCGTAAATTTTACTTAAATAAGTTTAAAACACAGACAACAAATGTTACAAACATATTTGTAAATGTAATGTTAAACAATTAATCGAAGTTAATGATAGATTGCTGAGAACTGTGGGACAGTTGTAATTTACATTTTCCCAATGTCGTTTTTAATTGAAGAATCATGCTACACTTCTCTTATTTAAAATTCATCTAAAATCTAAGAGGACATTTCAACTAAGCAAACGAATGTTCATTTTATTCCTATTCTGATAAAATGTAAACATAAACGAGCATTTTTTCGTCTCTCGATGATTATTCACTGTTTGCTTATCAAATTAATTCAATACGATTTAATTCAACGAGCTTCAATTTGCCGCAATTTAATCCATTATACAAAGCATTTAGTAATTGCCCTCTTATAATAATACGTATTTTACAAAGAGTAATATATTAATATTCATAAACTGATGACTACTAAGTGTTGCGATAATAAAAAAGAACACCTATTTTTAAATTTTACGAACATTTACTTACATTTTATTGTTTGATGACCGAATAGTTTGCTTGATGATTATTTGAACGAACGCTCATACCTATTTAATTGAAACACACCCTAAATACAACACACATTCGGTCTAGTTCTCAAGTAGTTTGCTTCATCCCGCTTTTGTCTGCTAAACCCGACATCGGGCATTCTTAAAAAACCATTCTTTTTGTATTTCTGAACAAAATAAATAGTAGAATTAAGTACAATGACATTAAATCTAATCAGAACTTCGTTTGTCAGTCATGGATTGCGAGAATTTAAGGAATCATCGTCGTTTTTAATGTTAAATCTGTCGTTCCGCACATCAGCAGTTTATAAGGGCAGTAAGGTACAAGTGGTTTGAGTAAAATATATTGTGAATTAACGTCCTTTAAAATTCATTTTAATAATTTGTATCATTTCATTTACTTCGCTATGTTTTATTTATGCTTTAATTGTTCATAATTTTCGAATTGATTCATAGTATGCTTTTACATAATCATCACAGAATCCGGTCTTAAAATACACTTCATAAAATATTATGCAAAAAAGTACTCTTACCAAATTATTTTATCTATATTTTTTAAAAATATCGTTGCGTCATTTAGAATATAACAATGGAATGTGTTTGACGTGTAATCAATTTGATTATGTGTAAGACGGAAAATATTTTTTAAACGGGAGTACAGCGGCCGAATTAAAACAAAAATGGTATGCAATAATTTGTTTATCTTTATTTAAAATTATTATATACTTTTTTATCTGTAAATTAAGAAAAGTGATGTAGGTAAATTTATAATCGAATAAAATTTTAACTTTACTCTAAAGAAATTAGTTTTCACATTATAATTATAATCGAATAATAATGAGCTTTGTATTTTTTTTGCATTAAATATGAATCCATATATGCTTATCTGAAAAATCACATGTGTATGTTACTTACACATATATGTTATCTTGAATAACTGGCTTTTTTATGACTGACCTTCAATTTCCACTGCTCAGACTGTTAATATTCATTACAAAATTTTAACTGTTGTGCTGTGTTACATGATTAAATTTTTTTATCATGGTATATAAATAACAAGCTATTTGCCTTATAATCTTGTTTTTAATGTCTTAACAATATTTAATATTATAATTACAGGATTCTGGTAAAGGTTATCGAATTGAAAAGGACACTTTTGGGGAATTAAAAGTTCCTGCTGACAAATATTATGGAGCACAAACAATGCGATCAATGATAAATTTTCCAATTGGTGACACCTTTGAACGAATGCCTGTAAGAAACCGTAATATTTTACTTACTAACCTATTAACTTAAGAAAGGTAATCAGTTGATTATTATATTTTATTTGTTAAATCTTTCTAGTATGGAGTTATTGTTGCAATGGGCATATTAAAAAAAGCTGCAGCGGAGGTAAATAAGGAATTTGATTTAGATCCGAAAATAGCAGATGCAATAAGCAAAGCTGCTGATGATGTTATATCTGGAAAACTTTATAATGATCATTTTCCATTAGTAATTTGGCAGACAGGTTCTGGTACACAAACCAATATGAATACTAATGAGGTAATTAGATACTAAATGATTGAATCAAATAAAATTTCTAAATAGTTCATCATTTGTGTTTAGGTAATCTCAAATCGTGCAATTGAATTGCTCGGTGGTGAGCTTGGTTCAAAGAAACCTGTGCATCCAAATGATCATGTAAACAAATCTCAAAGTAGCAATGATACATTTCCAACTGCTATGCACATAGCTGTTGCTTTAGAAATCAATAAAGTATTACTTCCTGGATTAGAGAAATTGTATGAGGCTTTAAATGAAAAAGCTCAAGCATGGAAAGATATCATAAAAATTGGTAGAACTCATACTCAAGATGCTGTGCCTTTGACATTAGGACAAGAATTCTCAGGTTAATATTACGATCTTTTTTAATATACTTTCTATTGTATTTATTAATAAAAATAATCATAACACATAGGTTATGCAACACAAGTTTGCAATGGTATGAAAAGAGTATCTGATACTCTTCCGCGACTATATGAATTAGCACTTGGCGGTACCGCAGTAGGTACAGGACTGAATACTCGAAAAGGTTTTGCAGAAAAAGCAGCAAAGAGAATAGCAGAAATTACTGGTTTACCTTTTGTAACAGCTCCAAATAAATTTGAAGCTTTAGCTGCACATGATGCTATGGTAGAAGTGCATGGTGCACTTAATACAGTAGCAGTTTCACTTATGAAGGTACATTTGAAAAAAATTAAAAATATTGATCAAATTTTTAGTTAAAGTTAATACTCTTTTATTATTTAGATTGCTAATGATATTCGATTTTTGGGAAGTGGACCTCGTTGTGGATTAGGAGAATTATCACTTCCTGAGAATGAACCAGGAAGTTCAATAATGCCCGGGAAAGTTAATCCGACGCAATGTGAAGCATTAACTATGGTCTGTTCTCAAGTAATGGGTAATCAGGTTGCTGTAACTGTGGGTGGAAGCAATGGTCATTTTGAATTAAATGTATTTAAACCTCTAATTGTTGCAAATACATTAAGATCTGCAAGACTTTTGGGTGATGCTAGCGCTTCGTTTACCAAAAATTGTGTTGTTGGCATTAAACCCAATACAGATAGAATTAAACAACTTCTAAATGAGAGTTTAATGCTTGTCACGGCATTGAATCCACATGTTGGTTACGATAAGGTATTTAAAGTTAATATATACAAAAAGAAAATTTACTGAAATTTTTTAATGTAATATTTATTACACATTATATTATAGGCTGCTGCAATTGCGAAACAAGCACACAAAGAAAATCTTACATTGAAAGAATCGGCACTAAAGAATGGCATAACTGCTGAACAGTTTGATCAATGGGTTAAACCTGAGAACATGATTGGTCCAAAATAAGTGCTAAGTAGAGTAGAAAGAACTATTGGAATCAACATTTTTTATACCGCCTTGACTATCGAAGTCGTTATTATATCTTTAAAATAATTACACCTATGTGTTGAATATTAAAATAGAATGAAAAATAATAAATATAAAATGTTACAAGTGTTTCCAAGTAGTAATCATTTAAAACATTTCTTCAGTTTTCTTATAATCCTATAAAAGATAAGTTACCACAATGTTATCTGTATTACGACATTCCGAGGTCACAGGTCAATAAATATTCAGTATTGTGTTAAACCTGAAGCTGAAACGTCATATTCAAAATGAATAAGTTGACGAAAATACAAAATATCGTTATCAGATCTGGAAGTCGTAATTATGGAAAAATCGGAATAATTGGTGTACCGTTTGAAAAGGGGCAGGTAACTGTCACAACAAACAATAATGTGATTATTTTTTTACTTAAAACATTTATTAATCAATGTAGCATAAAGAGGGTGTAGCGTATGGCCCAAGAGTGATCAGGGCAGCTGGATTAGTGGAAGAATTAAAATCCTTAGGTAACTAGTAATATTTATCATACTTTAAAAATATTTGAAAATAATGTTTCATGTTTATGTGTTGTTGAATTATGTAAGGCTTGGATGTTAAAGATTATGGTGATATCTTATATAAAGTTAAAAATGTGGATGGTGTAAACAATATGTCGCACTTAGGCGACGTTGCTGGATGTACAAGCTGTTTATCTGAACAAGTTCAAAAAGTTTTAAAAGAAGGTCGTAGAGTATTAACTCTAGGTGGTGATCATAGTTTAGGTATTGGAACCATAGATGGTCATGTTAAGGTATAGTATGAAAGAAGACATTACACTTGATACTAGTATATTTCTTAATTTATGGTATGGGACACCACATGGCATTTTAAAGGAAAAGAAGGATGTAGGTGTAATTTGGGTTGATGCTCATGCAGATCTTAATACCAACAAGACCAGCGAAAGTGGAAATGTTCATGGAATGCCTGTAGCACTATTAACATCTGAATTAGCTGATTACTGGCCACATTTGCCAGGCATGGATTGGCAACAACCTATGTAACTTTGATAAATATTTAATTATTTAAACTAACTATTCTAAAGTATGACTCAAAGAATATTTTAAAAAGGGTTAAAATTATTTACTTACAGGCTATCTATTAGAAATGTAGCTTATATTGGATTAAGGTCTGTAGATTCTTATGAAAGATTAGTTATTGAAAAATTTGGTATAACTGCTTTTGGTATCGAAGATGTTGAAAGATATGGTAATATTATAAATTTTTTATAATATCTATCAATCATTTGTTAATTCATACTTTGATTTCAGGTATTCACGATGTTGTTTACATGGCATTAAACAAAATAGATCCTAATGAATCAAAGTCACTGCATGTTAGTTTTGATATTGATTCGTTAGATCCATTGGAAGCACCATGTACAGGAACTCCTGGTAAATGGTTTTTATTCAAATATATATCACTCTTTTTTATGTATTTACAATTCATATATTTTAGTACGTGGTGGATTATCTTTAAGAGAAGCTATTCATTTAATGGAGGAACTATATAGAACTAATAGACTTAATGCTATAGACCTTGTAGAGGTGAATCCCCATATTGGTAACCAACGTGATGTTAATTTCACTGTTGAAGCTGCTATTCATATTATTCAAGCAGGATTTGGTTACACAAGACGAGGTCTTAAGGTTCCAAAAGGTATTACTGATATGCCTTTACAAACATTTAGATAGACTAATTTCGTTTATTTATAATTTATGACAACATTAAAAATAATTAGGTTATTATGTCTGGTCTTTTTTGAAGTTTGTATATCATCAAACTTTTATATACCTTTAAACAGTACCATAAAAATATGAGTGATAAACAAAAACCAATAATATATTTCATTGTGTTGTTTATAACATTTGATGAATCACAAAAACTTTATCAGGTAGATTATCGTACTTGATATCTAATTTCGTAAATTCAGTTTTTCTATCTTCATTAATAATAAATTCACAATTTAATAATGCTTTGGTATTTGATCCTTTTAATTTAACATTAAATTGCCTACTATTATCAGTATTGTGATGCCTAAATGTTATTCTTCCTTCTTTTATTGGTTCTCCTAAAAGTTTAACTGTCTCCTCGTGGTTATAGACTTTTTCTAATGCTCTTTTGTAAGTTTTTGAGTTACGCATTCGTATCTGATAACTTTGCACTACAACAACAGCAGTTGTAACCATAGTACCTCCAAGTACAGCCGCTTCTTTTAAAGCTGAACGCGGTATCCTCTGTGACAAATATTATTTCTTAATTAACAATAATATAGCTTCTATATAGTGCTATTTCTTTTATAAAAATATCTTAATATAAAATTCTGATGAAAGAACAAACACATCAGTAGGTAAGTACTGATTCGACCTCATAACCAAACTTAATTTATAATTTACTGAATACCTGCATTATGTATCATAATACCTTGAAAATACCTTGCATCATTATTAAATCCTTGTTTGGGGTAAGAAAATAATTGTTTTCATATTTATACTTTAGACGGGGTGTGTTAAAATTAGAAATCACTCTCGCAATGAATTCTTTTTCATTGTATTCGGAAATGAAGGAAGTGTTACGGACCTCAAAATGTTATAGCCATCTAGCGATAAGAAACAGGAACTGGTTCAACTAAATTCTAACACCGGTTTTGTTAACTTGTTATCATCTGCAAAACCTTTTAAAGCCACTTATTATTGCTTATTTAAAACATATTTCTATAATATTTTTTAGAGAGAGGTATTTCAAATCTACTTCCATTATCAATATGCAATGAATATTTACTATAATCATGTAAATGATTACATTTTATATTTATATAATAAGCTATGAAAATATACCAGATAACATTTTCCACAATTTATATGTTTCAGTCGATGGATTCCAACTTACGGATCTTCACTAAAAGACACTATAATTAAACGACAAACGGTAAAATAAATACGTTTCATATAAAATGCTTTATCAGTCTCTTAGGGGAATATCCTAATACCTAATCAGTGTAGACAACCTTTATTTTGTTTTGTGATAGTACTGTTCGTAATTCATATAAAAAATATTAATTTATTTCTTATATTGTCTTAAAGAAAGATGCCATAAAAAATTATTTGATTTGTTGTTGCCTCATAATCATTTGTATATTTTATTTATAACATTGTACATCACGAATTTAAGTTTAGTTTACTGATTAACGTAGTTTGATTGAATACCTCCATACGGAAGTGACATGAATTGCGATTGGTAGGGTAGCGTTATATTATTACGTGTCATGTACGCAAATCTGCTTTTCTCAATTGCTTGAGATTGTAAAAAGGCTCCTGAAGTTCTTTGACATCAGTTTATTCCTATCGTTAAAGGTATTAAAATATACTTTCGGTGTGTTTGTAGTAAAATGTGTAAATGTGTTATTTTCATTCAATAGAAAGTGCATGTATGTTGATGATGCTTAAAACTGTCATAACATATGTATTATAAATATACTCAAGATATCTTATCAGTTAATAATTCGAATTGTGAATTGAAAAATATAGTGAAGTAATATATGCAATTTTTTATTTCTAATTTCTATAATATTATTCTGATAATAATTTCAATATCTTTAAATAAGTCAGAAGCTTTATGTGTACTTTCACTAATTTTAAATTAACTTATTATGACGGAATGAAATTTTAATTTAGTTTTTACATGAACTTTATTGAATGAAACTAACATATAAGAAATATAAAATTTTAATTATTAATAAATTTTATTAATGTTTATATATTTTATATGTAGCAAGACGATGCGCCAGTTGAAAGGAAAGACTAAAGAAACAAACAAACAGAAAAAAGAAAGGAAAAAGGAATTTCTAGAGAATAAACAACGTGTCTTTACTATTGTATTACCTACAATGGCTGCGATATTTGTTGTAATAGCAATGTACGTTTATGCTAAAACCCGTCCAAAAGTTGTTGAGTATTAATCAGCATATTTATTATCAATCATTAAAATACAACTTGTAATGTATTTCAAGAATGCTGGGCAAGTTCCTTGATATATTTGTATGGTTAAATAAGAATTATTTGATAAGAAGGCAGACTTGAAGGCCTGTCCATGAGGCAATTCATTCCTACCATTCAATAATCAAATATAGATATTATGCATTGATTGTATGACTTTTAAAAAATATTTTTCACGTGAAATAATTCATAATATTGGAACATAAGTATTAACTAAGGAAGTATAAATAAGGAATTTTTATTATATGGAAGATAAGGTGAAATTACTCTTATCATTATTAAAAACATTTGTCTATGTCAATATAATTATTCTTTAAATTTACATATTCCATTGCATTTTACTGCATATTTTGAATGCAATTTTATAAACTAATAATGGATCTCCTAAAATGATTGTTCCAACATTAAATACAATTTCAAATATATTGTTGTATTTTTTAGTGTAACTATCATATACTTTTTCCATACAAGTTATTCCATATATAATTCTCTAAGATATCTAGTAATTTTATTATACCTTAATATGAGAATGATATATCTTATTTTATAAAATATTTACATAAAAAATATAAAGTAATTTTAATATATATTAATCACTTTTATAACGTTTTATTCCACCTATTTATTTTTTCCTTATCTATTATTATTACAAATTATAACTGGAATATATTTTTTATAACATATTATATACATTATTTCTATCGCATTTTCTAACAGTATTGTAGTATTTAATCTTTTACTGATACTGTTATAGAATTAAAAATAAAAGTTTTCTGATTGCAATAGTTAAAACGTTAAGTTCACAGATTTTGAAAGTGTGATTTCTCATCTATTGGTGGGTTACAAATTGAACTGGGTGAACCGCGTTAAAATATAAAAAATTTTTAAAGCAGCGATATTTCTTTATTTAATCCCTTACTCCTTCTTTTCAAATATGCAGTCCAAGCATATTTTCCGCGAGGAATTAACGTTTTCAGAAATCCGTGTAATATCATTCAAGTTTCGGAAATAACTTATAACGAAGTACAAGTTACATACATATAGGAAATTGAGAACCACTGAAACAGATATATTGCTATACCAATAGGAAGCTAACACGAGTAAGTGTAAACGTATACACGTGTATCTAAGTTTTGGCTCCTGTTTCTTGTGTAAATTAAATATATAATTTAAGAATGAGAGAAAATATTAACCACTTCACACTTGTAGTTTTAACATTACTTTTATTGTGGACAAATACTGTAAAAGGTATATTAATAATTACTATATAAATTTATCATGAAATGTCAAAATCGGACATACTAATTTGTAAATACTAAGTTATATTAGTACAATAATATATAGTATATTGTACAAAGTTGCAATATTCTACTATTATTGTTAAAATCATTGACAAATCATTGATTTATGCTAATATATCATAAAAGTATAATATGTCTATTTCAAAACAATAAAGGTTTCACAAACATTTATTTCAATATATGTTAAAAAGAAAAGAGTAGTTTGGTACTTAATATAATTATATTCAAAGTACTTTTCATGAAATTTGTAACCAATATATTATGTACATGTAGCTAGAGGAACACCACATGTGACATGTGGGTCTGTGTTAAAATTAATGAATGTGGACCACAAAGTTCGATTACATTCTCATGATATAAAATATGGAAGTGGCAGTGGCCAGCAATCAGTGACAGGTATAACAGCGAAAGAAGATGGAAATTCTTATTGGCTTGTCAAAGCTGAGGCAAGAAAGCAATGTACTAGAGGGTATGTTATTTATTGTAGTATACTTTTAAAGAACTTAACTTTTAAGTTTAACTTCTAATATTAACTGTTAACAGTGTGCCTATCAAGTGTGGAGATATTATAAGGTTAGAGCACATAGCAACAAAAAAGAATCTTCACTCTCACAGAGTTATTTCACCTCTTAGTGGTAAACAAGAAGTATCTGCTTATGGAGACAATAAAGGAGAAGGTGATAATGGAGACAATTGGCTCCTAGTATGTCAATCAGAGTTCTGGAATAGAGATGAACCTATTATGTTGAAACATGTAGATACAGATACGTAAGTTTCTACATTAGAGATTAAATAGAATCTTTTAGATATTTAAATACCATTTTTATTTTATAGGTACTTAGCAGTAACTGGAAGAGTTTATGGTAATCCCATTAGCGGTCAGACTGAAGTAGTAGGTGAATATTCTCCTAGCAGTCCTCATGTTGAGTGGGTAACTGCAGAAGGTGTATTTATTCACCCTAATGATTTTAAAGCTCAACATCATGCGCATACAGAATTATAAAACACATTCTTTGAATTTAATTATATTTATGGTAAGTAACTCCAAAATGCATTACAATTATTAATGTTAATCAATAAATCCTGATTATTATTAACAATTAAAATTTCTGTGAACTTACTTTAAAATTTTGTTGCAGATCAATATGTGATAATTTTGTTCTGTAAAGAACTACTCTTATTTTGGAATATAATTCTTTCATCGCCAGTAACTTTTACAAAGAAAAGAATACCGATACTCAATCTTATTTATTCTTATGATTCAGATAAAAGTCGAATAAAATATATGATTTTGATTATCTTTGATAAATTTTTATTACATGCAAGAATATAATAACAACAGATTATTTTATATATCATACTATACATTTGCAAATTGTTTAAATGTATTTGTGAAAATTTATATGAAGAGTGTAGTACAATGTATGGAAATGTATAAATGTGTAATTGTATTAAGTACATGTGATATTTATTATAATACAATTTATAATAATTAAGAAATATGTATTTCATTCTATATATATGTATGTACATGTATAAAAATGTACAAACATGTTTTTGTACGATATAGTAATTTACCGATTTATGTTTATAGTTGCAAAAACAATTTTTCAAAGTTTCCATTTTTTTGTTCCACAATCAAATTTTGAACATACATTTATACTTCTTTTAACTCATATTTTCCATGAAGATCTCTAGTACCTATAAGTCCATTATATGGAAAAATAATATTTGAAAGACCATAACTCCCAAAAATTTCCTTTAAACTTTGTCTTCCTGATATGTTTGCATATCGTTGTTTACCTGTCATACAACTGTGCAGCTTCCAAGTTGCATACACCAAACATATGCATAAAATAGAAACTAATACATCAAACATAGTAACCAGTAATATATATGTGTTTTCTTTAGAATGTAATAATTTAACAAGAGCAATAGGAAAACAGAAGTTTAGGAACATATTGAATGAGTGTGTATCTGTTCTTATAATACGATTAATATTTTCATACAAATATGGTCCAAGAATACATAATGAATAGATGCAAGTTACTGATGTATAGAAACAAAATAAAATAAAATTGCCTATATTTTGCCGTAATATGCAGGCACCTAAGAAAAAGCAATGATGATCCCGAAAATGAAAACACTTTTTGCAAAAGATACAATGCTGTGTTGGTTTACATGTGTACTTAACACATTTTTCACAGTACCAATATTTGTACTCTATATTAGTATCTGTTCTATTACATGGTAAGAATTTCTTTTCTATTGTTTTAACTTCCATAGTTGTTGCATTATGGCTTATAACATATACAGAGTACCAATTCAAATACACTTGAATACAAAAAAAAATAAAAACTGGACTAATCTTTTCATTAATATATATTGTTAGAGCAATATCAGTTATGCTAAATAACAGAGTAATAAATGGGCAAAGTCTTGCAATGGTTTGAGGAAATTTTCTCATCGTACACTTATAATATTATTTCCTTACATATATATTTAAAAAAATCTTAAATTAATTGATCACATATTAAATGTAAATTTTTATCTTTAATTATGTTCATTTACTAATCCATAGTAATTGTGTCAATATACTTGTTACTTTCCCTGTAAATAGGAAAATATTAAATAGAACAGAATGAAGACTTATTTTTAGCTTTGTATAGTCCTTACATTTATATTTATAAAAAATTGCTTTCCAAAAAAGAAAACAACATAAATAATGCAGTTTGTCAATGTAAAATAAACAACATACCTTTATTTAATTAATATAACAGAGATTATGAATGACTGCAATGCTGCACTTATGAATCTCTACTATAACCTTCAAATTCTATAGTATACACGTGATTTAAAAAAATTGTTCCTTTATATATAAAAGATCATTATTATTTGTTATTATCATTCGTTTCTTTTTTTTATGTATTCATAAAAAGTATGTATCCCGTATCAGTATTTGAATTTGTATATAGTAATTAACAGGGATGAAAACTCAAAAATTGTGTAACATTGAAAAGATTTTAATTTCTGAACTTTTGTTTACTACATATATAAATAATAATCTAAAAGTGTTTATTATAGTAAATAGTTACATCTTATTTATTTTATTACAAAACAATCGTTTTTATTGATATATTTGCATACATTTATTGAAAAACAGTAAATCTAACAGTTATACAAGAGAATAAAGTTTCTGTGTAAAAATTTATCTCTATTCATCTTACTAGTTACATAAGTTTCTAAAAATACACTTCAATACATCGATATGGTATAAAATCAACATTAAATTATATGAATACTTCTACTCAAAAACGAATTATGTTAGAAGTAAAAGTTCACTGAATTTCGAAATACATTTAATTATACAATTTTTTATATAACAGAGCATCAGATAAATTGTGAAGTTTGTTTTCAATCTTTTAAGACGTAGTTTTATACGATAAATAGATAATTATAACTCTCCTGCTTAATACATTTTTGTACATATTTTTACACTTTCTTAAAATTCTATATAGTTTTTATTATGCTCAATATTTGTACACGTTTCCAATAAAAATTAAACTTAGAACTTTTACTTTGTTGTTCGCAAAAAAGTAAATTATTTAAGTAGTTACGTTAATAAACATTCAAATACATGTTTATTATGCAAAATATTTATATTTTCTACTTTTATTAAAAAAGATAAATCGTACCTATTTTTTTTTTAATTAGAAAATTCGAAAAAAATAATTCATAAACATTGCTAATACATATATAAAGAAATTTTGAACATATCGTTGATTATTTGTAGCTAATTTACATGACTGGTTTTATAATTTTGTTTATTATATATACATTTAATGTTCTTTGTTTGAACATAAAATAGTTTGTGTCTAAATTGTGCATAGACGATTCATATATAATTGCTTTGCAATTTCATTCAAAATTAAGAATAATTACTTGCTTACAATGGTTATTATAAACAATATTACTCTAAGTAATATGATTTATAATATTAATATTCCTAAAAGTAATCTACATTACATTTATAAAATTATCTAAACATATTGTAGCGTGATTTTTATAAGTGATCAAAAATACTACTGTAATTAAACGATGCTTGTACAATTAGAAGTTTCGTAAATAGCGTAAAAAATACATTTTTCGAAACCTCCAATTTGATATAGTGGTAGGCCATTTTAATTTGTGGTCTTCGTTTTAACAATTGTTTTCTTGTTAATTATTTTTCCAAAATAATGTATTCACAACTTCACGACAGTTCACCTATCGGTGCATTTTGCAACCATAAGTCGTGTATAAAATTATATAAATCATCACTGACAGCGACCTGCGTAAATATTTTTATCATAATAATTTTTTTCTTTAGTATCTTATTCCGATTTCGGTGAAATTTTAATATAATATAAAACGCGAAAAAATTGATGCGTGTTATTTAAATATTGATTAATGATTTCTTAATTATTTATTTAAAAGACTTACTTTGTACGGTGTAGGATTTAAATTCCTTTTGTGATCGTTTCGAAGCGTTTTTAGAGATTCCTGAACTCTATTCCGTATTTCGTGTAAAGTCATTAATGGTTGGCACAGTTTACCATTTTTCCAATACACCTTTACATAATTATTTCGATAATTATTCACATTATTCAAATTTATAAGTAACGAAAAACAAGTAGTCTAACAAATTACCTTATGTAACGGCTCTACTCGAGTTGGAATAACATAGGCCCTTTTCGATTCTTGAAACGGATGTCTACAAAGAACTTTTTGTTTTACTTGTGGAGCCTCTTCTGTGGATCTTTGCAACAAATCAATTAATGCGTATCCGTCAGCCCCGTATAATCTAAACGCATCTTTTTTCCCTGGTATTGTTACTTTATCTACTTCTTGACTGAGTTTAATTCTGGGCTGACCATTGATTTCAACCATTTTATAAACACAACCTAGTGCAGGCTGTCTCTGACACGTTACCAAATGTGTTCCAATTCCAAAGCAATCAATTTTATGATTCTATAAAAATCATATCTTTTATAAGAGCAACAATTTTGTTACTAAACAAATGTTCATTTCTTTTGTGCACATTTATCTACCTGTTCATTTAAGCTCAAAATCGTTTCTTCATTTATATCATTTGATGCACAGATTGTCAATTTTCCGAACCAAGGTATATTATATTTGACAGCAATTCTCTCGAATATGTCTCTTGCAGTATTACTTAAATATGCTAAGTCTCCACTATCAATTCTTATACCAATTGCTTTATAGCCCAAGTCATTCAGGGCTAGTGCCACTGCACAAAAATTTAGAAGCCCGCTCCTAAGATTAAATCATAAGACATATAAAATCTTTTTCATTGAAAACATATATTATTAATGATACATGCATTTATATGATGTTACCATAGAACCTCTGAAACGCAACAAATTATTGTAGAATCGTTTTGTTTCTTAAAAACCTTGTTACAATGTATACCAAGTTTTAAAGTTACATAAACAATATACATATGTTACAATAATTTTATCTACATCATCTACATCAAACTTAAGTAAAATAATACCAACACTTGCTAGAATAATTAATAGTTTATCTTAAGTATGAAACATGCACTACCATTACATGAAGTTTTAATGTAACATAAAATGTAGATTATAAGTAGTTTTAAACAAAAGATTTGAATTGCGAATTAAGTATACATGCAAGCTTTTAGTTTTTAAATCTGTAATTTTTATCGTTTAATGAATTTTTTTTTAAATTACAGTCGTTGTTATAAGAATTAATATCATTTTAGTTAAATGGCTGAATTGGGAAGGGTACTATATAAGGTCGTATACTTGTGACAAAAACAGTACAAAAGTTTACAAATTTTTCAACATAGTAATGCACTGTTGTCCTGAGCTTTTATTACAGTTGCAAAAAAAGGGAAAAAAATAATGGAGTAATGAAATATAAATTTGCCTGCTTTACAGAATGATGTTTCTGTGATGTTGATGGTTTTTGACAAATTAATTGAACTCAATAGAATGATAAAGGATACTTATTCTTTTGGTTATTATTTTGCATTCTTTTGTATATCAATGCTTTTCACATAACTAATAATTTAAGATTAAATAAAATGTGAACACTTGATTAAATGAAATATTAGTAACCAAATAATTAATTATAAATAAAAATACTGACTTATCCTGCAAAGCAGACAAAGAGGATAATATCGTACCTCACATAGAGCTCACCCAATTCGCCTCGTCTTAAAAAGCCATTCTTGTGATGTGAAGTCGATTCTGATATAATTGGATTGTTTCTGACACCATTTTGGGCATGTGTATTGGACCCATTTGTTAGACGTTTATTCTTTACATTTAGGCTGGATATACATGCCTGTCTCTTGGCCGAGGCTTCGATGCTATAAACACACTCCTGTTAGGCTATAGTGTGTATATGTTTCATCATGCCTGCTTTGTGAATTTGTAATTAGAATTACTAATATGTATATATTATACTTGTAATATATATATATTTTTTTTTATCAAATTTTTAATAAAATAGTTGTATCAATTAGTCAATGTCTTGATAATGTTTAATTTTTGTTCTTATATGTATAGACAAATATACTAAGTGGCGGTATAATTTTATTGATTTACTTGCACTATTGGATAAATCACTTTTGCATGTACTGAATGTTGCTAATATTTTAATATTTGCAGACACTCCTTGTTTTAATATTTTACATTCATGCACACTAAAATGGGATAGAATAGTATCTACAGAATAATAAATCATTAAATAAATTATACGTATATATTAAAAGCTTACAGTTAACAAAGTACTTTACAAATAAATTAATATTAAACATTGCATACTATTCAATATATTAATCAATAGGAAAATATGGCAGTGCACATTTAAATAAAGTATTAAATACACACATGCAAATATAAACACTATTATAAAAGAGATAGATTACACGTGTAAAATGCAGTCAGAATATAGTATCTACTTACATGTACCAAACATATAAAAGAAAAATGTATGAAATTTAAGAAAGAAAAAGTATAGAGTAAATAAAATAAAAGTGAAATTAAACACAATATCATACCTTTTCACGTCGTATGTATCTACGAGAGCAACAAATCGTTGTGGGAAAGCAATGGCATAACTAATTAAAGCAGCTAACTCTCCGCTAGAAGCCTCAGAAACTAATGTTCCTACATCAGCTGCAATGGCATCCCGGTGTTTATAAGCTAATTCTAGAAGATCATAAACTTTTCCTGTTTCTTTATGTGTTAAAGTCTAAAAACAATAAAAAACATTAATATCAAACATAACTTTATCAAATTAAATCACTTAATTTATTAACTTACTCTTTCCTGTAAATCATCAATACTGGTGAAAGACGTAATATATGAATGTGCATGTGTACCACTTACAGGAATATTGTACAGTTTTCCTGCCAAAACATTACTTGTACCATCAAAACCACCTGGAAAATGTTTATTCATATTTATATTTGTAGTTTTATATATTTTCTAAATGTATAATAGAAATACATCATGTAAAAAATAAAAGAAAATATTAGTACAATAAATAATTACCGATATAACTATACTTAGAGGCACTTAAACCACCATCAGGACCTTGAGCTCTTCGAAGACCAAATTCTAGCAATGTTATATTTTTCCCAGCAACCATACGATATCTGGCTGCATTTGTAGCCATTAAACTTGCATAGTTAACTAAGGTTAACAGTGTTGTTTCCAAAAGTTGTACCATTATTAATGGACCTTCTACTCTTAGTAATGGTATTCTGCATAACATATCAATTTGTATTGAAGTTTTAACTTATTAAGATTTGACGTTTCATCAAATATGTAATGTTGATAAGCATTCGAACATTAACTCTAACTGCTGTGTTAAGAGCAACAAAGTTTCCTAAACGATGACAATGATGACGATGATTAACATAACTAAACTCCTGCATGATACGTGCAACTTCCATAGAATTTTTACTAACCTTGGGAATACAACTGAACCTTCTTCCATAGCATATATAGTGACATCTTTTGGAGTAAGGTCTTTTAAATATTCAAAAAATCTTTGATCAACCGATGATGGCATTATTGACTTCAGGTACTTAATATCTGCATTTTTAATGTTTCATTAATATACTTTTCAATATAAAAGTATATTTTAAATATAGAAAAATGTATATTATTTAAATGATAAAATGCACAAAAATATACATAGGTACATACCACTGCAAGAATAACGAAATTTATCTAAAAACTTAATACATTCTTCCAAGCCAGCAAAAATTGTGAACTCTCCTTGGAAAGGATTTCTACGAAAATATAAATCAAATACAGCATGATCATTCATCTTTCCACTTTTCCAATATGCATACGCCATTGTAATCTGATATAAATCTGAAATAAAAGATTTATATTACAAATGACAACATGTCCTAATAAATCTGAACACTTATACAACAATTGTACTGTTATTTCTAATATGTATTTTACTTAAATTACATTTTAAGATCTGTATTATAAGCTATACATTTAAACATATACATGTACATTCAGTTGACAATCAAAGGTCACATGGAAAACATAACAATGTATTAATTCTCCAAAGATGAAATCATTTCGAATAAACAAAAATAGTATAAAAACAAACAAGAAAGTGTATCAGGATTTCAAATCGCAATTATAATAGACAGTTCACGTGGGTCATATTATGAAACAACACGTGTTATATCATTGTTCAATATACGTAAATATATTTATGTATCTACATGTGCATATATGTATTCAGAATAAACGATAAGATAAAATAAACCCGCGTGTTTTAAGGTTATTTTCCTGAACATTGTTTTTGACGATTCGTTAACGTTAATTAAGATTATGTTATATATACCTGTCAAAAGTGGTTGAACCACACAATTCTGACGTGAGTGACACCATGATTTACCTTCGTCATCTGACATTTTCTTAAAATTCTAGCAACGTAACTTAAAACGGTACGATTGAAACAAAAAAAAAATAGTACGACAGCCTCATCCAAGAGTAACGAACGTTACCACCAGTCACCGAGCGACAATCGGTCACGAACCGTTACCGACGAACTAACATGTTTCGACGGTGAACTTCGTATTATAGGTCTCCGTGTACTCTTAGAATCGATAGGAACGTTTGAAGGACGTTACGAACGACACGACCTGTTATTCCGCCATTTCCACCAATAGAAAAGACCTTTCTTAAAAAATTACTAGGATCCGCGTTATCATTTTCGCTCAAGAAGATAAATGCGTAGAAAGTGTATTACAGGTTTTACTGCACTCTGTCATCGTTGAGTTTTTCTTTCCTTTTCCATCTTTCATGCATCCCCTCTTCTTTATATCCATTGCAACTAACCGACTCGAAGAAAATTGAAGTACGTATAATTATATTATAACATAAGTTCGTAGCAAAGAAAAAAGTTGGTCAACTTCTTTTTATTTATTAGTTTGTAATTTTAATTTGAAGTAAAAGATGTCGCGTTGCATTGTCACATGTTGTATAGCCACGCGTTGTAGAATCGTACTTTATATCGCCATATATTGAATACGTATTAAAATATTATAACTACATGACATTTAATATAGGTAAAATTTTATTGCAAAAAATTTTATTCGTCAAAAGTAATTGTTATGTTCTAACAGTACTTGTGTCCCTCCGAAATAGTATTCTATTTTTTTATAACATATAAAGATGTATAGAAGATTCATTTATCTTTATATAACTATTTCCTTCTCTTGTTATTTTTAATGACAACACTAGATGTTAATGAACGGCATCTTTATATCAGCATCATACGTAGCATTGCATTATCACGATTACTATGACGTCAACTGCGAAAGAAGTTCACAATCTTTTTGCAACTCGAGCAACAACTAAACGCTCCTTTCTTAAATAAAACAAACGAAATAATATTTACTTTTCGATACACTATCTTAATCATCAAAAGGTCATTTTTAATGCCCCTAAATTTGCCAATATAGATAAGATTTCAGATGAAGCGATGCGTTCTACTTTGCGTGCCGTCCTATTTTCTTTTCTCTTTTTTGTTTCAAAGATAGAATCAAGTGAAACGGTACCATGGTACAGAAAATACAATTATAGAATCGGTACTCGTAGGGATAGGAGGCATCTTCGATTAAACACGTACATCGTTAGGGGCAACTTGTCCGTACACGACCTTGTTGTAATGATACGGCATTGCAGCTGTTCCTTCTTCGATATGTGAAACTTTTAAAACTGGGAAAATTAGAGTGAAACAGTGAAACATATAATCACGTGTGATGCAACTTCGAACTTAGATTCCTTCCGTGCTCGTGCACGAGTTAATTACTCGTTCACTTGAACTGTTGGCGCTGCTTGCGCAACATCGCATTACGATTTCTCCGAAACTGAATAATTTTTCAGCGATATATGTACACGCAACAGTCATGTTTGTTATTTTAATGAATTACCTATCATTTTTGTATTAGTAATTGTACTGTATAAATAATGAAAAACTAATAAAAAATTCCACTGTTGCGTTAAGTATCTCAAGAGAGAAATGCCTCAAAACATTAAACATAGAATTAGGAAAAATAGAACTCGTGATAGCTGTTTGAGCAAGCTTATCAAATGCTTCATATCATCAGTCGTACGTTACGCGCACAAGTTTTATGCAGATTATAGAAGACAGGAAACCTTAACAATGACCTGCATCAGTTCGCGATAACTTTTGATTTACGATACCGAGTGAACTTTAAACTCCTTTCAGCTTTTCTAATCCTAAGTTAAACGGCAGGGGGGTATTGCGTTGCTGGGGTGGGGGGCGTTTAACGATAGAGTTACATTTATTACGATGTTCTCTCGTTCTAGTCCATAAATCATTTATCCAATCATTCGCGGCAGTAAAATAAGTGGATATTTCCTGAGTCACACTATCAGAACGCGGGTTAATAGCATTCAGTCATAATTTTTGACCGTTATAATGATTTATAATCGAGCTCATTCATTTGTATTCCCGCTTTATTTCGTTCGAACGTTTCCGAATCTAATTCCGGTATTTGATGAACGAGGGCTGTCCCTAAAATTGGATTTTTTCCAATGTAACCTAGACTTTAATTCGATTTACAAACTAGGAGTGACCAATTAATAGTCTTATTGGTATAAACATTTTAATTTGTCTAAATTGTCAATTGGTTAAATTCATCCAATGCAACTTGCATTCTTTTTTCTTATCGGTGATGATGTATATATATATATCTATGGGCGTGAACAAAGTAGAACAAAATTCTAATTTAACTCGAGCGGAATTCTCGCATACATGCAATGCTATTGATGCAGGTACTCGAGTTGATTTTCGATGTATTTAAGATTTGTATCTGATGTAATTCTTTCTTCGTTTATAAGTAAAAATGTGTAGGAGGAAAAGACAATAAAATGAAGGAAATTTTTATACAATCATTTTATTAAGTGTCACAATCGATATTATCGACAATTCATATTGTAATTCTACATGTAACTGCGTGTTTATCTGCCAAAGTACACTACATTTATTCACTGCGTTACTGGCACTTCTGAGATATTGTTAATTGCTAATTTAAACACTAATCGCCCGTGTTATGTGGACTTTATAAAAATACTCAATTTTTGACTCCCTATTGCAAGAGCTGAGCAAACTTTGGCTAATGAAATATTATTTTTGAGTTAAAAAAAAAAATATTTTTAAGAAATAACAATTACGTTGGAAGGAATAACATTTGGCAGTCTTAGGAAGTGTAAAGAAAATTAAAGGGGAAATTTGCTCATCTCTGCTTTAACATCTAGATGTAAAAATTGAGCCATAAAAGCAAGATCACAAACGATCCTGTTTCTTTTTCCGTTTCTTCTTATCAAAAATTGATTATTTTCTTTCTTTTCGTTTTGCGCATACACAATTACCCAATTATTCAGATTTAATCAATTATATAATTGGCAAACATACGCGATGGTGTAATTGCAAAATATATATTGTATTTCTAAATAAGCTAGAGTGACTGTGAATCGAAGCTTTCGCGTTTAAACCAATCATTATTTGGACTATTTTTTTCAAGTCATAAAATTAGGTTAATTCTTTTAATCCTGCCCTCCTCCTCGCTTATGCTTTCACTTCACATTACTTGGAATACGTTGTAGCAACGTGTTATGTCAAATTTTGTGAAAGAAGGTGCAGTACCGTCACCATTGAGCAGATTTGTTATTATATAATATTATAAATTTCTAAATTTTTAAATTCGCTCGTTCATGTATCAATTTTTGCCTAGGCCGCGCAAACTATAGTAATGGCTTTGAAAAGATGAGTACAAAATTAAACTGATGTAGAAACAATTTGCATTTGAAGTTACATAGAACTGAGGAGAACAGCAGAGTTAAATGCTATTTGAATAAAAAATTTGATAATATAACGTTTTACATTTTTCTTGGTCCATTTCATTTTCATTAAGGCGAAAGCTTGATCACCCCTACTACGCTAATGTAGCAACGCGATTACATACGAACTTTTAATCGTAGTTACTACTTGTCAATTACATAATTATCGTCGTACATGTTTCCATTATCGAACATCTTCTTCGTCTTGGACTATCCAGCACATGTGCGAATGTATACGGTATTATACGGAAGCACAGGCTATAATTTCTACAATTACAATGGTTCCACGCTAAAACTTATCTAAAATTTCCTAGAAGCTACTCAGACTTTAGTTAACATTCAGTTTAATAATAATTCTGCTTAAAAGAATAACATTATGATCGCTTGTAACGTTGGCTACGGCTCCTACGATTTGTTCATAATTAATTACTTAATACTGTATCCGAGTAAACTAGATTTACCGATATCGTACAATCTACTTCTTATATTTATACTTTTACTCTAATTTGACACAGAATTTCAGTATACAGTCTTAACGTTATTTAATCATGATATTTATGTACTGTGCTAAAAATATGCCGTGATCTACAAAATTTCTTTCATTTTCTGGAAGAATTTCCTTCTTTTCTTCTCTTCGTTCTTTGGTCATTTACGGCTTTTTGTATATAAGTATCTTATTTAATACTTGCTGTCAAACAGCTCTATGTAATGGACAAAATAACGCGTTTTCTTTTAGAACCTTCACCACCGCTCAAATCCATTCTTGACGATAAACAAATAAAACCGCATTAATATAAGAAGATTCAAATTGTAGAATAAGTATAAAATAATTCGATCGTTTAACCCTTTGTGCCGTTTTACGTCTTCCTTAATATCACATAAAACTTTTAAAAAATATTAACTCTTTACCTATACATAAATATTAAAAAAGAAATGCATACTTAATCGAAGACCAAATTTTGAGCGCACGCAATTAATACAATGTTATGTTAGGTACTATCTTCTTCCTTTTCCTTTTCCTTTTTTTTGGTACAACTTACAATCAGTTATAGGCAATATGTCACAACTTGAAAATTCTTAGATCAAATTTAGATCTTTTCCTGCCTATTACTGATCTACAATATTTAACTTGTATAATATTCAACCCATCGGATACGAATGAACATCTGTCCTAATAATATATCGCCGATTTATAAAAAATCACAGTTATCTTACTTATAGTTACTTCTTTTTCTACTAAACAATTATTAACATTCTCTAGATAAATTATAAGAAATATCGTTTTAATCCTAAATTTTTTTAAGGCTTAATACTTTATTGTATTCATTGCCGATGGGTCTTGGTACTAATTTTTAAATTATTTAAATAATACTGCGTCTCAATTGTATGATGTTATCGATACCATATCACTAACGATAGTTGTTTAAATTAAAATCATATAAAACTGTTTCTAAGAAATTGCATCAAGGCGATCTAATTACAATTTCTACCCTTAAACATGAACAAGAAAATTTATACAAGTCAAATATTGATAAGTGAGTAAAAAATACAAATTTCTTATTTTGGCTAGAGAGTTAAAAACCTATTGTTATTATCACTTGTACTATATATGAGTCAATAAATAATAATCATTAAATGTATCAACAACAATGGAAGTGTATGTTCAGTAACATTAATGAGATAAAAAATTAAAAAAAATATATATTTCTCTCTATTTTGTGTAAAGAAGTTACGCGATAAGAGCAAACAACTAAGTGCTTGTTAACAACAATAACGTATCTAACGCTAAGTTTAAATGAGTCAATTAAAGCATATAAAAATTTCCGCTGCTTCTTACGTTAGCACCATTTCGTATTCAAAACTAAAGTTTACTTTTTTTCGTGATAGCTAATATACATTAATTCGATCGTTTATAAATTATTACGTTTCCTTAAAACCATTCCTCATATTGGCTACCGATGGATCATCTCATTAAGTCTGCAGCTCTTTGTCTATCTCGATGCACCTCCCGAGGATGCATTCTTTTGCGATGTGAAAAACAATTTCCAGAACTCGCAAAAGCTCTAGGACAATATGGACATTGATAAGGCCTTGCACCTGTATGTTGATTTATGTGAAACTTCAAATCTTGATTTCGCTTGAACGTTTTATCACAAAGAGGACACGCGTGTGGCCTTAAATTCGAATGAGTTATACTATGAGCTCGTAACGTAGAATTTGTTGGATAAACTCTTCCACAAACATTACATGGAAATTGTATTCTACCATGATATTCTTTATGTTTAAATAAATTTGGCTGTGTTTTAAAACTGAAAAACGAACAATAATTTTATTAATAGCTATTTTACAAAACGTTTTATTAATAGAGCAACTTAGATACTCACATCCTTCCACATATATCACAACCATATTTTCCCTTAGGCTGATGAGTTTTCAAATGTACTTTTAAATTTCCCTTAGTAGAAATTGTTTTACTACAAATTGGACAGATAAAGTTACCAGACGAATTATTATCAGTGTTCATATGAAGTACACCATTTGTAGAATAAACTTGTTGAGATCTTAAAATAGGCTTTCCTTCAAGTCGTTTATCTTTAGGCAAATGAGACCATAAGTGATTTTGTAGACCAATCTGTGATATAAAGGATCTAGCACAAATTGTGCATTCATGAGGTTTTGTTAATGTATCAGAAGCAGGGTCTTCGCTATCTTCTTGTGATCTTTCATTATCTTCTTCTTCTTTTTCTTCTCTCTTCACTTCATCAATTCTATAAGAAATATATAATTTAATACATAGATAATTTTAAAGTTTACCGATAACAGTTCAAGTATTCATACTTATTTGTTAATGATAATGGTTCTGGTGAATTTGTTCTTGTCATTGTTTCTTCAATGTCTGATTCTTCTGAAATTTCAGATGCTGAATGTTCCATACCACACTGTAAAAATAGCATTGGATCTACTTTGACCTCCATTTCTTCCATACTTGGTGTATGACATTTATCTTCGTGCGATAATAATTCTGATGGTCCCAATGGTTCACCTTCAGCTAAAATTTCTATTGCTCCCTGCAAAGGAATATACATTTAGTATTCAAAAATATGATAATTAATTACATACAGTAATTAGAATTATATTATTACAATTAAAATTTACTTTTGTTAATATCGTGTGTAATAATCCCCGATCTTCTATTCTCTTTGTTGTACTTTGTACATCTTTAACACTTTCCACTTCCATGTCTCCGCAGTGTACAATGCTTACATTATCTGTACTACTATATAACTGTGATTTCAACTTTTCTTGTGTCCTATATGCCATCATCGCAAAACGATGAATGCTTTCCAATCTTTTGATACATGTAGTGCATACCATTTTTGATAGCTTATCTTCAGTGGACACCTAGAAATAGAAAATTTAGTAATTAATAATAAATAGGAAATAATAGACTATTACAAATTTTTAATAAAATGGGTTGAAACATAATTAAAAAATAAATAAAATTAATCAAAATTTATATTGTCTAATTAAAAATGAATATAAATTGAAAAAATATACATACGTAAATATATTAAATTCACCCAAAAATATTTTTTTTTTAATCGAATAAAGTTCCAAAAATTTATTTTGTTTGCTACGGTTTTTTTCATTAAATAAAAATTAACCTTAATTTTGTACTATTTTTAAAATTTCTCATTATCGGAAGTGCAATTTTTTTGTAACATTAATATTACATGTTTAATAATTTATTCATAATTTTTCTTAAACGCTACGCATTACTTATGACCATCCTATATATCGAATTATATTTATAGATGCGCCAGTTATATAGCGCATACAGTATACTTATTGTAATCAATAAAATGCTAATTTTTAACACTTCTGCATTTCTACCAAAATGGATAATTCTTCGTTCTCGTTTCGAAATATTTCACATTTTTAAATTAAATACGCGCATATAAGAATTAATTCAATAAGATTTTTATTTTATTTTGCATAGTCACATTAAATTTAACGTACAATTCATTTAAATAATATATTTTTTATAAACACTCACAATTTTAGAAAACTATTAATTTGAAATTCTTGTAAACATAATTTTCTTTTCAGCACTGAATATTCATCATTAATTGCTTAAGTTTGATTAAAGATTTGCTTCTGGTCCATTTTTCTGACATTTTTTCAAGTAAAAACGGAGAATATATGTCAAATTTAAATAATTAACAATCGATGTTTAACTACAATTTATGTACGAAATCATACTCGTTTAATAAAAAAAATATATTTTCCGAAACTATTAGTAAATTATGCATTAATTGTTAATAAATAAATAAATATGTATTTATTTATGTGTTAATAAATTATAAATAATCAATTGAAATGCATAACTGTTAATTTTCATTTTTCTCAGAAATCGGCAAAATTTCAAATTTTCAAATTTGGGGGACGAGGAGAGATTGGGCGCGAAGGATCGTTGAAAATTTTGAAAAAAAATCTACACACAACCCCCAATCTAATCGCATGTGTATATACATTGGCGCACACAACGCGCTAATAATCACACGAAGCATGGATAGACTTACCAAGACGTACAGATATTTTCGTATTTTAGTCTGCAAGTAGTGCCGTCTACCATCCTCGGCGAAAATGTGGACCCCGTCGTTTCTTGGTATGTCACTAGCACAAATTCGACAGTGGAGCTCGTCTTCTCGATCGCGCTCGAAATCGCGACCCGCCGTACCCATTTCAAAAAAAAAAAAACAGAAAAATTTGCCAAGATACCACCACGATAAAAAAAAATCGTTATTTTTACACAGTTAATCCATGCGTGAACACGTTTAAAAAACGATTAAACGATTTCACGCGATCCCTTTCACAACGTTAAATTCATTGCTTATGTTATTTTCCCCCCCTCCCACCCTCTTAGCACCTCGATGAAAAACGTTGGAAAATGCTCGATATAAAACTTTCAACGATGCATCGTTATGACATGCCAGCGTGTCTGAGAGGGTTGATTATTCTAACGATTTTTTTTTACTTATGAGTCGCCCGGATTGGGTGAGATTACTTCGACACAACGTTGACGCTTTAAAAACGACGTCGGCGCCGGGCGTCGGCGTCTCTGCCGAAACGAGTGCTCAATACAAAATATATAATAGCATTCGTCGATTTGAAAAACATATGTATATAACCAATTGTTTTATTTATGGATTCTGCTCATATTAAACGATATTGACGTTAATAGATCACGATGCAGGTATTTTTCATCGTGCGCGTGCTATTTGATCCAAAATTGTGACTTTCTTGTAAAATATGTAATATGTATACTCGTAAAATACTACTGCGCGATATAAATAAAGAATAAAATGTATCAGCGCGGCACTCTTAATTGGTCCGCCATCTTCTTTCGCCCGTTTGGCTGTATTTTTTATTATCTTGTTTAATGACTTCTTGGAGGCGTTTTGCATCGTGTAACGTAACGAAATCGTAGGTTTATCTCATTAGATATTGGTTTCGATCGAGAGATTTCTTGAAAGTTATTCAGGGTCTCTGAATTTGACGATAATTTTTCCGAACTTTCCCGCCATTTTTCTCAATGTGTATTACTACGCGTCGTAAAGGGTGGGATAAATGTGAACGTTTTTGTCGCTACGGAAAGTAGTTCCAGGTACTTGCGAACGAACAGCCTCCCCCTGGAACATTCTACGTCCCCATTTAAAAAAATCAATACTTAATAATTAGCAATTAATACTGTTCAAGTATATATGATTCTGTTGTCTCTTCTGTAGTTTTTCGCGTGTGTATATGCGTTTTTTGTTTTATACATAATCACTTGTATCATTAATATGCAATTAAAGACGTTAAGCTCGGAATGTCAATATTAAAAACATTTTTTAATGATGGATTTTGTGAAAGTATAAAGAGAAATTATTTTTCAGTGGAGTGAAATTAGTTAATACATTTTAGTATCGGAAATAATGATTTACGTTTATGCAGAAAAATTAATAATCATTAGCTTCTATTCTACGAATGCGAAAGAAGTGTGTATTTTGTATCAAGACATATATTCCTAAATTCCTGGATTTCTATATCCCAGTATCTCTAAATCTTTAATTATTCAGATTCCTACATCTTCATATGATAATATTTTTTATCTCTGTAAGAGGCATCTGTGCGTAAGAGGTTAATTTCGTAATGTCTAATAAAGGACAATGTTTCTGTTAATTTTATACTTTTCTTTTATATCAACTTCTTAAGTTTTATAACAATTAAGGAACTTATGTAATGAAAGTATTATGCTTAATATTAGGGAACAAATATTAACGAAACATATTTTATTTATGCTCGTTAAAACTGATGCTAATGTACTAACAATTAATAATAATGAATTTATTTTACAAAAGATAACAATATTCTGAAGTGTAACGAGGTACATTAATTAATTGTTCAATTAAATAATAAAATGTAAATCATATCGAATAATTTTTGGCGCCATTTATTATCTATTGTTAAATTTTAATCTTGCAGCGACATCTATCGAATGTATGTTATCTAAAGTCGATGTACTCATTTACTACATTACCAGTTTCTGCAAGTATTTCAAAAATTCCAATTAAAAAACCAATTAACATATAATTATTTTCACTTTACTAAACTATTATCATTTTCTAACCATTTTTAGGCTAACCCTAATTCATCTAAAGGTTTCTGTGCCGCCATCTAGCGGTAGAAGATGAGAACTAATTAAACTACAGTTTCAAAAGTGTGTAGTTCACCCTGTTCGCCGGAGAGATGGCGCCACTTGTTCTATTTCCGTGAAAATTTAATTAACATTAATTTTATTAATTAATGTGCTTATATATTTATTATACATTTATTAATATTGATTTTTTGTCATTTGCAATATATTCTGTGGGTCCAAAGATGCGGATTATATGTTCAGAACAGTTCGCACTCTATACTATATTTCGTCGACAATATAGGAAATGACATAGGAATGTCAAAAATTTTCTTTCGAGTCACCAAAAACCATACTCACAGATATTTTCTTTTACAAAAAAGAGCTTATTTACAAAATTTGGTCGATATCGATTCGTTATCAATAAAGAACGAACTTTAACTAGTCTACAAGTTAAGATTGGATGAAAAGGCTTACCATTAAATGGCTATGCGGTTTAGTGTTTATGGCGGTTTTTTGAAGGTGGAGCGTTTCATCCAATTACCAGCAATATTTTTTTAATAAATTCATACCGCGAAGGAACGATGAAAGGAATTCAGTGGTAAATATATTTATTTTATCTCTTGGTGTGACTAATAACAAGACAAATGATATTCTTCTTATAGAAATATAGAAACTTCAATAGAATAAGTATTATAACCGATAGAATAGTTCAAGTATAAAATTTACAAGATCGTTATGGTTCCAGAATCCAATGAATTACCAACAATTTGAAATTAATTATGATCGTAAAATGAGCAGTAAACGGTAGGTACTTTCGCTGCTACACATTTGCATATGGATGTATATCGGCATGATGTGGTAACCTGCCAATAAGGAGTGAGAAGGCAAGAGGAAAGTGCGATCGGCTGGAGGTGGCTAAATCGCCTAACGAGCCTTCAGTTCGTCTCAACGCGTCTCCGTACGCTTTACAGTCCTGTCTTTAGATCAAAGGAACCATGAAAATCAAAAGTGTGACCATTTTGTTGGTGATACTTTCACTATCTTTGAACACTGGTAAGTGCATCACTCTTTCACAAAAATAATTCATGTCTTATAAACTAATTCTAAAACAATGACCTTTTTATAAGTTAACTTTGAAGTCATATGAATCGATCTTACAAATTTAAATCTTATAATTCTAATCGAAGCTAATATATGGATTACTTAAAACGAAATCATTCTGGACTATCAGAGAAGCAAATGTATCTTACTTTTTTATTACTGCACAAGTGTTTACACAAACGGCGTAGGTTATATGTTTTCGGTAGATATCCAAGCTACCTGCACAGATGATCTCAACCGATGATCTCATGTGATCCCATTGTGAAGATATAGAATACGTGTGTTTGTAATAGTGAAGGTAACGTTCGGTGTTTGACATGTCAAATTTAAAAACAGAGAGAACTTAGTAGTAGTTAGAAGATTAAGCTTTAGAAAGGTATGCAAAGAGAAAAGCATCACGTTTCTAATGTTTCGTACTTTAATACAAAGTTGGAATTTTTTAAATAAAATAAAAGATGTGAAACAAGATTTTATGGACACGTTTTTCTTTCTGTAGGAAAGGTAGCTTGAAAGATTTCTATAGGAAACGAAGACGAATGAGGGGGAGATGCAGGTCAGAAAGTATTATATTTCATTTATGAGTTCTGAAGAAGGCTTCTTAGAAACCTTGAACTTCAAAGTAACCCGATAACATCACTTGTATTCACAGATACATTTACGAGCATTAGGTGTACATATACTCAAGTTAAACATATTCTTGTTTTTTAGTAAAACAAATAAAGTGGCATTCAACAACATCGAAGGTTAAACACGTTCTAAAACAATGATTTCTTCGTGATACGAATTAATGAAGAATTTCGTCCTGTTTTGTAACGTCCTGCACGAAAAATGACGTCTTATCGAACAGTTCTTTGAAACAAAATCGTCGATCGTGTAAATATTTATTTTCCATGTATCACTGTATTTCCTTTTATCTACTAGAATATTCGAGGAAAACGAATCGAGAAACACGGACTTGTTGAATTATAAACATATTACACAATTATGTTATTTTTGACGTCTCGGTTAAATCTATGTTATCAACATCCTAGATTCTAAATTCTAAACACTTCGGTTCATTAGTTGCATATCGTCAAGGTTATCGTAAGAGTTCATACTGAAATCAGAAAGTTAACCAATATTTAAGACACGTAAGGGAGAGACAATAACAGTCGGCATTATAAATAAAAGTAGTGATACAATTATCGTTTAGCACAATTGTTCAGTGTATCGAATGAGTAATTGCATTGACCTCGCCTCATTTTTAATCCCAATCTCATGCGAGAAACGTCGGAGATCGTTTTAATGTCCAATTCCTTATGCAAATTTACACTGAAGAACGCAGATAACTGGAATATAATCTGACCCTGATTTCTTAGTAGAATAAAACTGGAATAAGTGATTCGATGTATGGCATCAGTTCCTATAATTAATAAATAACTTTTACAACTCTTATTCTTTACGATAGAAATAATATCGAAATTCATTGGCTTTCAGTCGACGTTGAGGCAGGATGGAAGTTCTGGAAAAAGAACAAAGACAAAGATGCGACCACAACAACAATCGCTCCCGATGCCGCGAATCCCGATCTGACGAATGCAAACGCGGCACCAGGCACTACGTCTACAACTGCCAAACCCCCGAGTAGCCGCGATAATGTAGGACCTGCTGTTATCGGGGCAGGTGATCCTGGATTGGCGATTGGTGTCAGTTCAACCGGTGGGAAGATAAAAGAGAATGCACGGCCAAATAAACCGAACCCAGGAACAGAAGTGGGTCTTGATTTCCCGTCAGCGAAACCAGGTAATCCAGCAGTCGGTGGTAATACTGGCCAAGGATACAGAGACTGGGCTACAGACCTCGCTGGAGTTGGAGACCCTGGAAGGAAACCTCCTCCTAAATTACCTTCTGAAGGACCAGCATTAGGCACTGGAGGTAAATTATTCGGTGTGGGTTTTACATTAACATCTATTTGTTATGGTAAATAATTTTGTAGATTCCAGACCAGCTAGTTATCCTGGAAACACGCCAAAGCCGGCAACACCAGGTAAATTATTCAGATTTGTGTGAAGCATAATGGAAAAAGTAATTGGGAAATTCTTTCATAGGTGCCAGACCACTTTCAGGTCCAGGTGGTGCACCAGTACAACCTACATCACCAGGTAGCAAATAAAGGAAATATAATGAAGTCGTATTTAATAGAAATGCATTAATCTCTTTTATATTTTTCAGGTGCTAAACCATCATCTCAACCTCAACCTCAACCACAACCACAACCTCAACCGCAGCAACCACAGCCACAACCACGACCGCAACAACCTCAGCCGCAGCAACCACAACCACAACCACGACCGCAACAACCACAACCACAGTCACCAGGTGTGAATCAATATATCATCGTTATAACTTAAAATGTAGATTGAAAAATATAAGATATTATATTTTGTTCCAGGCTCGAAACCTTCTTCAGTACCAGGACAACCTCAACCATATCCTAATCTACCTGGAACTGGAGGTAATCAAGTATCAACCTTAAACGTGGGACCTTTGAAGCCTGGAGGTACTAGTCCTCCATCTCCCACTTCTAGACCTGGAAGTCCAGGTTCTTCAGGAAAAACCTGGGCTGATGTTGCGGGTGGCGGTAGTAGACCTAATTCCCCTACACCTGCTCCAAGACAACCCGGTTATCCAAGCCAACCTGGCTCTCCAAACCAACCAGGTACGTTACATAAAAAGCAACGACTAATCCATAATTAATTATAGGTCCCTAAATCTCGTTCATTAAAAATGTGAATCGTCTAGGTCAAACTTCACCTAAACCACAAGTACCAGTCCAACCATGGTCATCCAAACCGTCTGCAGGTGCAATCGCGGGAGGTGCACTTGCAGGAGGCGCTCTGGCAGGCGCAGCTGCAGCAGGAGCAGCCTCTACGACGAAGTACTCCAGCAATCCTACTTACAGTAAAGGGAATACGATTACGGATGAAGACCTGGAAAAGCTTTCCGAGGCTCTGTATATCAAAGACAATAATAACGCGAATAAATACATTACACTGAATCTGCAAAAACAGACAACCAGCAGCAGTACAACAGATGATGCGTCACAACCGTAAGTGTCTAAATGAAAATCAAGAAGATCCTAACTTTCCCTGAACTTCACAAATAATATTAATTTGCAGACTATTCACGGTGAACGCACAAGCGTACCAAATTCCAACGGTTGAAAGGGTAATATCAATCTACGATAATTATAAGCCGGAAACCAACGTGAACGAACACATCAGCCCGTTGCAAAGACAAGAGGAAAGTATGTTGGTGGACACCTTCCTTAGTACCAACGTGATGTCTGCTGCCATGAGATTCCTCGCAGATAAAGGAAAAATTCGCAAGGATTATTATGAATACAAGGATACCTTGAGAAAGATCTGGTTTAATCTATTCTCGCGTGGACAGGGCAAGATCGGCAGCTCAGGTTTCGAACACGTTTTCATGTCGGAGCTTAAAGTTTCAACGACAGGCACCGAAGTAGTCGGTCTACATAATTGGATCTACTATAGCAAGGAGGAGAGTGGCGGACGAGCAGATTACAATGGATACTTGAAGAAAGTCGATCTTGGAGATGTAAGTCAACTTTATTATTCATCTGAGATACGTCATTTATTAAATATCTTTTTCAGAAAGCCTCTATCGTCAAAATACGCACGAAATATAATGGACACGATAAGCCGGTAACTACTGTATTTGTGGGTACCTCACCTGAGTTGGAGATGGCTTTATACACGGTGTGTTTCTACGCAAGACCGGATGGAAATTGTCCGGTCTCGTTGGGAGGGACGAAGTTCAACATCGTTACATACAAGTTCAAGTACAGAGGTAATGACCTCATAGGAACGGCGTACCCTGATATATAAATTTAAATAATCTTTGTTACATTTTGACAAAATATGACGATCAATTTTTAATATGTAAGCCTGGTCCTTACACATTCAGCTAAAGAATAATTTTTAAAACAATCTGACGAAATTTATTTAGTATTTACAAAACATTGTAAATTAATAACATATACAAGGACCCTTTATATACATATTAAAAGCGAATTGTAGTTAATATAACGAGAAAAAACGAATGATATCAACAAGTGATATTAGTGTAAGCAGAGATTTTTTATCAACAAAATTTGTACTAATACTCATCAAATAAAGTTATATGCTCTATCCAAAGTGTACAAAATTTTGCCTCCCCACAATTTTATGTAAATATATACGTATATCAACACGTATCGCGTATGTATACTATTTAAAAACTGGTAATCTGAAATAAACAGATAACGTTGGATAATAAGATCGGGGGAGGGGATTAAATGAATGAAATGACTAGAAGTACCACAATGGGAGACTGTCAGTCAATCTATAGATCTCGTAGCGAGAAGAATAATGCATGCGATTCTACAAGCTTTTCGCAAGAATACATGCCCGCGTTTTGAACGGATAAGTGGTCATCCGATTTCAAGATGCATCACTTATCGACTGGGCATCTTTACACGATCTTATCACAGCGAGAACGGTGTTTATGGATACAGACCGCAATCACAAAGACACTTTGAAGGTATTTAAAATGTGTATGGTGTTTTTTCTACATAATAGTATTTTAAACCGACTTGTACTTCACTCAGTAATCTAAGTAACATGTGGAACTTGCCAACATCATCGCTTGCCGGCATCACACATTTCATATGTTAAGTTCTGTGTATTCCACGAATGATTTATATTGAACTTTTCACTTAGATTTTGGTAACTTTTTTTTATAAGAAGAAACATATGCTTGCAGTATTTTTATAGTCACATATATTACTAACAGAATGCAATATAAATTTGTAATAAATAATATAATATATTTTCATTATCAACCAGTTCCAAAATGTTAAAGTTCATCATTTTTTTTCTTTCAGTTCCAAAAGAATGTTTAGAAACACGATCAAAGAACAGCAATTTCTACAGGCTGGTTACCGCGTACAGAGAGCATGGTCACAAACAAGCGGACATTAACCCAGTCGCGATAAAAAAACCAACGTTTCTAACGGAATTAAAACCAGAAAGGTTTGGATTAAATTTAACCGATAAAGTTACCTTCAAAGGTATTTTAGAAATGGGGAAGGACGAAGGAACAGTACAAGAAGCTTTGCAGTTTTTGAATAAGACTTACAGTAGTTCAGTAGGACTCGAGTTTAGTTATCTGGAGGTAATACATCAGCAACTTATCAGATTTTTCTGAAAAGAAATTGTGCAATAAGTATTCACGATTGACTTATTTCTTTGTAGAATATCTGTATAAGTAGCTGATTTCTGTTAATGTCTACACAGACCGAGGAAGAAAGAGAATGGTTCGCGGAAACTGCGGAAAGGGTTTTGGCGGAGTCTTTAACCAACGAAACACGAATTGCCATCGCGACGGAAATGCTGAAGAGTCAAACGTTCGAACAATTCTTAGCCATCAGGTTCGTGAGCCTGAAGAGGTACGGCGGTGAAGGCGCTGAGAGTATGCTGGCATTTTTCTACGAGTTCTTCAAGTTGTGCGCACATGGTATACCTTGAATGCATGATTCATACATTTGCAAAATATTTATATAAATGGTAGAACATGGAATAAGAAATAAAATCTAGTTACATTGACTTCGTTGCTATTACAGACGGTAATATCTAAACTAATTAAATTGTAGACGACTTGAAACATATCGTATTATGCATGGCTCATCGTGGTCGACTGAATTTCCTCACTGGCATGCTGAATTTCCCGCTGGTGAAAATGTTCCGAAAACTGAGAGGGTTTAATGAATTTCCGGACAACGCGTCCGCCACAGGCGATGTGGTCACTCACTACGTGTCCTCTACCGATTTGAATTTTGACGAGAAAAATCTTCACGTGACAATGTTGCGAAATCCGTCGCATTTGGAGGCTGTAAATCCTGTATCCATGGGGAAAACTAGAGGAATAATGCAGGCTGTTAAAGACGGAGCCTACAGCGATGACGAGAATACACGCTGGAGCGACAAAGTGTTGAACCTCCAAGTAAACTGCTTTGATTTGTGGAATTTAGATTAAAGTATTAACTCGACATATTTATTCTTGAATTTTATCACAGGTGCATGGAGATGCTGCTTACGCTGCTCAAGGCGTTGATCAAGAATGCTTAGCCATGACCACGGTTCCTCACTTCGAAATCGGTGGAACCGTTCATTTGGTGATCAATAATCAACTAGGTTTCACTACTCCCGCCTCTAGAGGAAGATCATCTAGGTATTGTACGGATCTTGCAAAGATGATCTCTGCTCCAGTGATTCATGTGAATGGAGACGATCCTGAAATGGTTGTTCGAGCGACCAGAGTAGCTTTCAACTACCAGCGGAAATTCAGAAAGGACGTTTTCGTGGATCTGAACTGTTTCAGACGGTGGGGTCACAACGAACTGGACGACCCTACCTTCACGAATCCTCTTATCTATAAAATTATACACAACCGTCCGTAAGTTTGCTTAAAAAACACTTTACATCCATGTGGTAACAAAATGATTTTCTTCTTTGTACTCTTTCAGGACGATACCGGATCAGTATGCAAAGAAACTTGCCGAAACTAATGTTCTTTCAGCAGAAAAAGCTAAAAGCATCGTTGAGAATTACAGTGCTCGACTGGACCAAGCACTGAAAGAAGTTGACACTTATATTCCACAGCCTGTGCACTTTACAGGTTTGTGGAGCGGAATGCGGCAAGCGGACGCCAGCATAACAGAATGGGACACGGGTGTTGATTTAAACCTATTAAACTTCATTGCTAAAAAAAGTGTACACGTTCATGACAACACGGTAAGAACATGTACTTCAATTTTATCACAGTTTATTGCACCTGTTCTTTGTACTGTAAGCGTCATCTCTCATCACACGACAGACAGTTCATCCTCGTTTAATGAAGAGTCACATTCAATCTCGACTGAACAAAATAAACAATAATGAACGATTGGATTGGGCTACTGCTGAAGCGTTAGCCATTGGTAGTTTGTTGTATCAAGGATACAATGTTAGAATAAGTGGACAGGACGTGGGCCGTGGTACATTTTCACAGAGACATGCGATGCTAGTTGATCAATCAACTGGAGGTAACTGAAAAATAATGAAAACTAATAAAACTAATAATATAAAAAGCTATTAATATCATCGATAATTTCAGACATACAAATTCCACTGAACTCCATGGTTGAAGGACAAACAGGGAAGCTGGAATTAGCCAACAGCATTCTAGCAGAAGAGGCAGTGCTGGGATATGAATACGGTATGAGTATATCTGTGCCAACGACGTTGACCATTTGGGAGGCACAATTTGGTGATTTCTTCAACGGAGCACAAGTCATTATTGATACTTTTGTAAGCAGTGGAGAAGCTAAGTGGATGTTAAGCAGTGGTCTAACAATTCTTTTACCTCACGGTTCCGATGGCGTTGGGCCTGAACACAGTTCTTGCAGAATTGAAAGATTTTTGCAGCTCACCGATAGTCAAGAAAATAAACCGGACGGTGATAATGTCAATATGCACGTTGTAAATCCTACGACACCTGCTCAGTACTTTCACCTATTAAGAAAACAAGTAAGATAACATTTAGCAAAACGATTGTAAATTATATTTTTATTATTGCAAATTTATCTGTGTTCATTTTAGATGGTAAGAAATTTCCGCAAGCCTTTAATAATTGTGGCTCCAAAAACATTGTTACGTCTTGTAGCAGCAACATCCCCGTTAACGGAAATGGGACCACAGACTAGGTTCAAAAATGTTATAGGTATGTTACGAGTAAAAGAAGATGTAATTCGTTTCTAACTAATAGCATTATTTTGATAGGCGATGATAAAGCGAAAGAATCAGAAGTTACCAAAGTAATTCTGGTAACTGGAAAACATTATTACGCTCTCGATGAGTATAGAAATAGTACGATGCAAAATAATGTAGCTATTATCAGGCTAGAAAGCCTATGTCCCTTCCCCGTTCAAGAATTGTTGCAAGAGATTGATAAGTATAAATATGCAAAAAGTAGGTACATACATACCAAGAATGAATTTTATATTATTGCTCGATATTGATACAAACGTCTTTTGCAGCTTTTATATGGAGTCAGGAAGAACCACAGAATATGGGAGCATGGAGTTTTGTTAAGACTCGTTTCGAAAATCTATGTGGCAAAGCAGTGAGTCATCTGATATAAAATGAAGTTGTTGTTATACTTGAGTTTACATCTCTGTTATAATAAAATTGATGATTATTTGCAGGTGAAATATAGCGGACGTGTTCCTATGGCTGCACCAGCTGAGGGTGAAGCACAAATGTATAAACGAGAAGCTCAGGAAGTTATTGTTAAACCTTTCCTTATGAAATAATTTTTGTATTATATTATATTTTACTCTGTTTTATTTGTACACATGATTCAACTGCCAAAATTCATATTTGTCCTGCAATTACATCGTCGCCATACGCTATATTACGGAATAAACTATTTACACATTCTTGAGCAATAATTATTATACTGCTTCGATATTATCATCAACAAAATATATTCGCAATATGAATAGCAATTACTAATTTTCAAAAAATATGTGTTGGAAGTTATGCTTTCATCCTTAATGCGATGAACTCTGGCTGGCACTTTCCGTTTCCAAACGTTCGCGTTCTTTTTCTATCAAATCTTTTAGTTCCTCCTACAAAGAAATAAATTTAAATTAAATAATGCTAGTTATTCTTAAATTATTGTCAACAAATTTTCTGAAATAGCGAAACATACTCCCCAACCCAATTTTTCTGCTAGTACTTGACAACCTGTATCGCAGTCACCTAACCAAGCAACATCGCGACCGTTGCGTGCATTAAAGTTCAATCCTTCCCGCAGTCCTAGAAGTCGTAATAGACGGTCTCGCATACCCACTTTTTCCTTATTGATCAGTAAGCGTGGACAATTTGAACGAACCCTTCAACAAAGTCCTAATTATAATAATTTAAACAATAACATTACAAGTGATTTAACGCAAAATTTATTATCAGTAAACTATGAATCTTTACGTGTCCATAACATATCATAGTATGCATAAACATCCACAGTCTACTTATTAATAATACACACCTATCTACCAAAGATGCAAAAGGTTCAACAACCAAACTTGATCCCATAATTATTAAGAGATCTGCTTGTGGAAAATCTTTAGCCGCAAGAAAATAAAATTTTTCAGATAACTTTTCTCCAAAGAAAATTATATCAGGTTTTACCACACCCTCTTTGCACTTTTCACATTTTGGTACAAGACCTTCCACAATCTTCTCTAAAAACGAATATCACGATTAAACACACATTCTCAATGACCAGTACTTTTTTGTTATTTTAAACAAAAATGCAGTAGGAGATAGATAAACTACCTTTCATCCATGGAAGAGTATAGACAGCTTTACATTTGAGACATCTACCAGTATCGAATGTTCCATGAGCCTCTACTAATTTTTCAGGAGGTAAACCAGCCATTCTCTCTAAAGTATCAATATTTTGTGTATAATGTCGCAAAAGTAATCCCTTCTCGTGCAAAAGACGAATAAAGTAATGCGATGGTGTAGGTTTAAAACTATCAGGTAACAATTCCCGTGCAAGTGTAAAAAATGGTTCTGGATTTTCCGTAAAAAAATCCACTTCAAAAATAGCTTGAGGATAAGGCAAATTATATTTCTCTAAATTATGATAGAGTCCACTTGATGGTGAACGAAAGTCAGGAATTCCTGCAGCTGCAAATATAAAATGTATCTTTAATGTATGCAAAATATACAGATCCATAGTCTATAGATTACATAATTTAAATATATTTTGTAGACTTCTGAGATACTTACAGGTGGAGATACCAGCTCCAGCCATAGTAACAATTTTGCAGTTTTCTTTTTCCTTAATATATTCTATTATTCCTTCTAAGCTAACTTCGCGTAGCACCTTTTGGTGTGAATGTTCATTATCATCTGAATGTTCACTGTCAGCTGAGTGTTCACTATCATCAAAAATTTTTAATTTTTGTGCTACAAATTTACGTATCATCTCCATGTCGGTATCTTCTATCTCTTCTTGGTCTGAACTTGAACTATGTGTCGGCTTCTCATTAGGTTTATTTTCTAATAGGAATCAACAAAATAATTTTATTGAAGCATTGCATTAAATATGAATATGTATTAAAGAACAGATTTCTTTTTAGCATCACCATTTTCTTTGCTTAAGTAAAAAAAACTCATTATTCGAATAAATAAATAAATATATACTGACTCAAAAAAAAATACAAAAATACGGATTTTTTCTGAGGATATTGAATGAACAATCGTTGCTGATGGCTAATCAACCGAAAAGCAAGGCGCGAAAACATTTTCACTGACTATAAACAACCATGATGATGATGATACAATTGTGTAATGGATTTGAAAAATAAAAATATGATAATTACTTTCGGATTGCTAACAATATATGACTAAAAATATTTTGCATCTGGAGTGACAATCAAGCAATAATTCAGTTATGATGCAAACTATTTTATTTAATTAGTAAAATTCCGACTTTCTATAGATGACAGTTAACCTCTATAATCGTCATTCTTTAATCATTTATTAACGTTATGTTGTAAAAACCGTTATAACGTAATAGAAACGTAAAAGCATTTTAAAAAATATAAATTTTACAACAAATTAATACTCATTTGCAAAAATGAAAATTAAATTAAAATGTTTTAAGATTGTCTTTTAAAAATCAATAAATTGAATAAAGTTAATATTGACATGAAATTATGTTAAAGTAATAAACATTTTAAAAGAATAATAAAACACTAAATGAATGAATTTTGTTATATTCAACAAATGACACATTGTAAACATTACCCTTTTCCGTGTCATCATTATGTTCAGACATGTTTTCAGAGTCGTCCTTAAAGGTGTAACAAAATTTCTGTGCGATACGAATGTGCTAATAACAAAATATTATTCATGAATTCACTTGAACGTATGATCAAAATGTACTAACGAAACGCCACTCGCGCGCTCGAGCAAATAGCAGCACCTCGTGAACTTTGTCTTCTTGCAATAACTAATAATGTTTTTAAAAATATGATTCTTACTATTTATAGTCATTTCTACTGAACGTCATAACTGAAAAAGAATAAAATTTAAAAACTCTGATTTTAATACCTGTTATTTACTGTATAATCATTCCGCCGTTAGTGTGAAACAAAAGCGGCATTTTCCCATGCCCCATATTTAACTAGATTTTACGAATAAATTTTCGAATCACGAAGTTTTTACACCTCCAAATTTACGATCATTTAAGTTCTTAAATAATCTAATTTTTTTCATTTTTAAATACCCTAAATTTTTGAACTTTCAAACTTCTCAAATGTTTAAACATCATATACATTATCTATATACTTTTATTATAGTACAATATCAAATCCAAAAGTGGTATTTTAGAAAGGTTACTATTTCTTTAGAAATTAGGATATTTATTTGAATCATGAAAACATGTCAATAATAATATACATATAAAATTTTATTTATATTATTGAGCTTTCTTGGATGCATCAACTCCTAATGTCTTACGCCTTTGGACAAACATGTGCAAATATAATTGGGGAAATACTGTAACAAAGAAATAAGAACATCAGTTTAGTGCCCAAATATGACACAAATATAATAAATATAATTGAAATATTTACCAGGAATATATGTTAATCCTACAATTACAAGAGTCATGTAATAACTAAAAGTAAAGTTCCATGTATTAGGAAGTCTGTAACTCCAAGCATCTGGGTGAGAACTTGCATATTTTATAGCAGAATATAAACATAACAGTTCACCTGTTACACCCACAGGATACAATATGATAAAAAGTGTATATCTAGAATGTAATAGGAATATTAGTTTCAAAATTTACATAATTTAATAATAAAATATATTACATGAACCTTTCAATTTCGTACCTTAACCATGTTAGTATATGTGGTACAAAACCATTTAAGTTCATAAAATAAAACATATATCTAATTATTTCTGTTATTGACCATGCTGAAATGGCAAGTAGGAGACCAAGAGAAGATGCTGCATAACTTTCTGGAGTAGCAAGTAATACACCGCTTACAATAATAATACGACTAGAAACTTGGAAAATTGTGAGCACAGGGTTTGATTTAACTAAACCAAATGCTGCATGTAGTACCTATAATGATAATAAATAATATAATTTCCTTTTCTTATCTGGTCTCATTAAAATTGAACTTTTACCTCTAAAAGAGCAGCATGTTGGAAAATAATAACTGGCCATTTAACATCGTGCCACAAATTTAACTGTGGTGCAGAAAAATCATTGGTCAAAAACTTATAAAATATGTAACTCCAGCTGCAACATAAATAATTTTATACACTTTAGCATAAGGTTTTAATTTATTTGAAATTAAAACCAAACAAAATAATATGTACATATATATTTCCTTTTTCAAATCATTTTATTGTAATTTATTACAAATACATACGTATAAAAAAGAAATTTTATACTTACCCAAAAACTTGAACGAGATTATAAGTTTTCAAATAAACTGCTGCAGCATTACCCGACTTTTTGGATTTCATATTTGTGAGGAATTAGTTTGTACGTTAATTATTTTAAACAGTACTAATAAATAGTACTTATTACTTCGACGACGAACGTTTCAAATTCATGCTATACTGCACAAATCATAAAACTGGCGTGATCATACCCGCAGGAGATGCTATATGTGTTTTTTCTATAGGAACGTTGCGAGAGTTTACGGGACCCGTAGCTAAATCATTATTTTTTCTGGCAATATAAGAAGAGATTTTTCTATGCAGCACTTGAAAGTTTAGAGACCCGAAATTTTGAAATATTAAAATTTAATTTTAATATTTGAAATGATATGGATTAACAAATTTTTAATTTAATAATTTAAAAGTTTAAATTCAATTAATAAAGCTGACTAGTTATTGTAATCATTACTAATAACCGTGAACAATATAAAAATTTTAGAACCAATAGTAATTTACATATATATCATAAAGTACTATCATGTTATATAAATACATGTATTTTATATATTCACTAAATTTGTACTTTAAGCTGAACAGTTATTTTAATTACGCTCCTGAACGATCAAAGTTCAAATAATGAAACGAATTCTGAAGGAAAATGAAATGCGTATAACATCCGATGTTTATTCTCTGCTTTCCGCAATTGAATCATGAATATGTATATATTTTTTATGACTTAAATATTTGAACTTATTAATGATTTGATGCTTATATTTTTAAGACTTTTTAAATGATTGCTTATAAACAGTATTAGAGAAGCAATAAAATTATAGGTATTAAAAAATCATGAATGTTGTATTAATAACCAATTACTTTAAAACTATTTTGCGCGCCAAAATTACAACAAATCATTAAGAATCGATTTTTCAAATTGCAATTGCAATCATGTATAATCGATAAATCGATTCATCTAGTCGAGATTTTTATTGAATTAAATTATTTGTGATAAAATAATTTTCTATCTCAAATGTTATCATAATTATGAGATCTGTACAGGTTAGAAGCGTAAAAAATGGTCAAGTTTTTTTTCTATTTTTTTGCACATACAAATGCTTAAAATATTTAATAACCTGTTGATAATATTATTATCGGCAAGTAATGCTTATAATTGTTAACTTAACATTTCAGTTTATCATCAAGTAATAAGCAAGATAAACGTAGATATTTTCACACGTTCAAAAACATGAAGATGCAGTGGATTAATTTTCAAAAGCTTTTTAAAATAGCAACAAGATGTAATTCATTAAATAGCCGTCAAATTAGGAGCATTTTTATTTATGGCAATGAGGTGAAAGTGGCAAAAAAGAATGGATTTCCAATTGTGGCTTTAGAATCTACAGTTATCACTCATGGAATGCCTTATCCCGATAATTTAAACACAGCTGTTAAAGTTGAAAATGCCGTCAGAACCAAAGTAACTGTTGCTCTATTTTTAAATCTACTTTTATGGCTTTGTTTAAATTTGTTTATAATATGAGTATGTATATGTTTAGGGTGCAGTACCTGCAACAATAGCTATTTTAAATGGACAGATTCATATTGGTTTAAATCAGGAGCAATTAGAAATATTAGCTCGATCAGATCCTATAAGAACCATTAAGTGTTCTTGTAGAGATATATCATCTCTTGTTTCTCAAAAACTTAATGGAGGAACAACTGTCAGCGCAACAATGTTAATAGCAAATTTATCAGGAATACCTATAATGGCAACAGGAGGTATTGGGGGTGTTCACCGTGGAGTAGAATCAAGTTTTGACATTAGTGCTGATTTGGTAGAACTTGGTCGTACACCTGTAGCTGTTGTGTGCTCCGGTGTTAAATCTATTTTAGACATTGAAAAGACATTAGAATATCTAGTTGGTATTCATATTTATATGGAAAATGAACTTTGTTTTGACTGAAATTTCAATTTCAGATTTTCTATTTTATAGGAAACACAGGGAGTACCTGTTATAAAAATTGGTGAAACCAATCATTTCCCTGCATTTTATTGTACAGAAACTTTTCAAAAACTAAAAGTACCTCATAGAGTTTCTAATTCAAAAGAAGCAGCAGATACGTTAAAAGCTCAGAAGGAATTGAATCTTCAAACAGGGTTGCTGTTTGTGGTTCCTATTCCTCAAAAATATGCACTAGATCCTAAAGAGATGGAGTTAGCTATATGCAAAGCTTTGGAAAAAGCTAAAAGTAATCATGTAAGTGGTAAAGATGTGACTCCATTCTTGCTAAAAGAAGTGAATAACATTACACATGGTCAATCTTTGCAAGCTAGTAAGTATATCTAAATATATGAACAACATAAAATTTATACTTCTTATTTAATTTTCTTCAAATTTCAGATATGGCACTCATAGAGAATAATGCAAATATAGCAGCAGAGATTGCAGTAAATTTGACCAGGAAACATCTCCATGGCTATACCAATACTAGTGCTGTCAAATGTCAGTTGGTAGCAGAACGAAATCCAGTAAGCAAAATTAATATAAAAATCTGTATATTCACTATAAATGTACTTAATTTTATTTTTTTGTTTCTCTTTGTGTTCAATATAGATTGTTATTGGTGGGGCTGTGATGGACACTACGTTGCAAGTAAAGGAGGCTGAGATAAAAGTAAGTCGAGTCCCAAGTCAGAATTATACTAAATAACCAATTTTCCTTGTATTCATATTTCAGAGGAGTTATAGAACGTTTAACAGTATTTACATACAATTACGACCACATAGGTTTTATGTACATTTAAGAATCGAATAACATGAACTCATAGTACAGTATGGGGAAGAGTGGTATGATGCAATCAATACAGTATAGGCATAAAAATACATGATCATTGGTGCAAGATAGAAAATCATTTTCGTTCCAATTGTAAAAACGTCGAAAGGAAAATATCGAAGTTAGAATTTGTTAAAAAGAAAGAGAAAGGTGTGTTAAGCGTTTTTCGTTGTGCACGATAACATGAGAATAACAAAACGTACTTTACAATGTACAATTACACTTTTTCCCATACTTGGCTACGGTAGTCCTAGTAAATGTACCGTGTACGAAATAACGTACATACCATTAATCTAACCATTTACAGATACGGTAAATTGGGTTTCTTAAGCAGGCACTATTCAAAGCTCCCTCTCTTTCATTCGTCCCGATATACATGTGTTACATTTAAATATCAATCAGTTACAAATTTACTACACATTTGAACCATTTTTTTAAAGCCTTTCTCGTATAGAGATCCTATCGTTATCAAGGTGTATCCAAATACAAACGTAGAGATACGAATCTTTCCGATCAAATGAAACGTGAGGAAAACAGGAAACAAATCATTGTACATATTTAATTTCGTTTAGCCGAAAGTTAAAGCTTAGTCTAATTTAAAGATAGCGTGTGGTAGGTTTTCACTTTTTGGGCGGTTTACGAGAACATAGTTGCCATCTAAATGATCAGTTAAAAATCATTTACGCTATCTGTCGTTTTACATATACATATAGTATCCCTTATGTATATACATTTAGTGGCAGAGGCTGTATGTCTGCGAGGTGTAAGCTTTCGTATTATTATTTAGCTTAGTACATTCAACGATAATTCGATGGCCCGGTTAAGAAAGAACCCTCGCTTCGTTCATGATCGAAAATCGTATACGATGAAAACTGAAGAAAAATTATATTCAGAACAAATGTATCAGATTGTTGCAGATCAAACGGCTGCAATGTTGAAACACAGAAAACATCCCCCGTTTCAAAATCAGCCGTTCAATGCGTAACCACCCAATCGAATGATTTCGGTAATCTAATAATTAACGTACAATGCTAATGATACCCTGTTGTCCTGACCGATATAACGACGAGAGAAAAAAGTACAAAAGTCGAAACAAATGTAAGATCAAAAGGAAACGTTTCCAAGCGTGTATTGAAAATTGGTGTACAATGGATTTGGTCTTTTCTTAAACAGATCATCGACACTTATATATTTTCTACCATACACCGCTATATACAGTCTACTAAATACGTATATTCCATTATCATTTGCATTCGTAAACGTGTAACCCTAAGTATTCGATTAATCCTAGCTAGGAAGCCAATTACTCTCGAGTATATCGTATTTCAGATTCGCACGACTGACCGTACAAATCAGTGTCATAGTTAGGCATTATTCGAACGATCTTCGAATATAAATATATATATTATGACGAATATATTACGAAAAGAATGTACTCGGCAATAACGGAACAATTTTTTATTGCAATGTGTACGATTTTTTAATAAAAAATTATTTGCTACTTTTGGAGAAATTTTGCTAAGGAGATTCGAGGATTATAGAGACCTAGAAATATAGGAACCTAGACATTTAGGAATACACGTCTCGATATAATACACGCTTTTACAGTACAGCTCGTCGAACATCTTCGTTCTATTTTAAAATTGCGTTAGAAGATTATTCGAATAATGTCCAACTCTGATAGACTACTCGCGCTGCGTGTATCGTTTATATAAAAAGAACTAGGAATTTTATAGTCCGTTAACTGTTATGCAGTGTGACGTTGTGTTCCTCAAACGCGTTTCGTTTCGAAATTATTAGCTCGCATATAAGTGATACAGCTGGTCAAAAGGACAGATTTTTTCTTTTTATTAAGTCGAGCTCCGTTGGGAGAATCAGTTTGGCAGTAGTATCCCACAATATTCTCCCGTAATTATCGCGTCGATGTTTCTGACAGAATAAAAACAGCAAAAATAGAAAGAAACAGACGATTTTAAAAAAGAAATTCTGTCGAAAGAAATCGAGAAGCTCCGATCGGAGACTTCGTTTTTGAGATATACGATTGAACAGCCAACTTCCGGGGCGCTTCGAGATCAGCGTGGTCCGGAAGTCGATTGTTCAATTGTACTTATACCTCGAAAGGAAGCTTCCGACCGCAAAGAGGACCTTCCGATTTCTTCTCTGACGAACAATTTATTTCTCATGCGACTTTAGGTGGCTTGTACAATTTCTTGAGTGTCCTACACGAATTAACTCTGGAATGACGGAGTTGGGTCAATGCAAATTTTCTAAAGGAAGATTGTACATTAGGAAAATCATATTTAAAGAAATAAATTAGTTTATCAAATCTGAACAGTCAGAAATGTATGGTCCATTTTTTCTACAGCTTCTAAGATTATACACGTATCAGGTCTCGTATCAATCTTTTCATGAAATTAACGAACGAGTTCAACCCTAAATCGTCATTCGAGGGTCAAATTGCATCAACGCCCGAAACAATAGAACCGTGTGTGATGCAGCGAACGGAAAGTGGAACACCGGTGTTTTTTGTCGTTAAACCTTCACATTGTAACATACCGCTAGCGTGATTCGCATGAAAATCAATATACAACGGGTTCTTTTCGCTGTTAATTCATCTCGACTGAAAATAGAGAGAAAAACGCGCGCGTCAAAGAGGAAAACTTACCCGCTAGAAATAAATCTACAAAAGTAATTGATTTTTTCACCGACCGTGCGAGGACGGAAAGACATATAAGGAATACGCGTAGAAAGTGTAATCGAAAGGATATCGAAGGCGTTCGAGTCTCTCTTCGACTTCCTGTTTTCAGCTTGGATGCGCCTCGGTTTTTTTTATTTATTGTTGTCCGTGATTCTTCCTTGAAGTTCGCTCTTGATTCGCTGACCGTGGAGAGTCGCTCAGGGGAAAATTTCTTCATCAGCACTTCCGGTGGTCGCATTGTGCGGACTCCGCAGAGAATGACGCGAGGAGAGTGTATCGTTTCGAAAATTTCTATGTTTCGGGGATGGACGCGGTCATAAAACATGGAATATTATTTGTAAAAATACTGAAAATCGTAAGATAATAAAAATAATCGTTTTATGGGTACAGCAATTTTCAACAAAAAGTATACATAAATGTTACTATTAGGACTATTAAAATATTAAACATTTGTAAGATACTAGTTATGAACTGTATATTTTTTTACATAAATCTTACGAATAAGTTCCTTTCAAATATGAAATAATAAGGTAAACGAAATATTTTTTTTTTGTTTTTATATATCATTGTTAAATATTTTCTTGGATATTGGTAGGCCTTTTGCATTTAAAATGATGGTTAAAAGTAAATGTACAAGAGCATTTGTTTAAAAAATAGATTTCGTAGATGAAAAAAAATAAATCATAGTTCAACGATACACTTTCCTGGCGACGCGTAGAACTTTGAACGTTATTCGCTTATTGTGAACTGCCGCGTTCGTGATGTCGGTAGAATCTTTAGAAACCTTAGCTCCGGACTGTGGACCTATCCTTTAAACACCAACAAACACATTTAGTTGTAGCCTTTGTTATCATATTAATTTTTAGAATTAAAAAAGTCTAGAAGCAAGATTGAGAAAGATTCAGATCTCTACATCTATAGATCGAAGAAAAATGTAAACCAAGAAAATGTGGACCTTCAGATATGAATCTGAACATCCAGAGCGAACAAATATTTATTTTAACAATTCACATTCTGTTGATATCTAGTTGCGAGGCTCCTTTTAGAAACGTTCATTAACGTTAACGAAGAGATCAGATATTTATTCCCTAATTGAAGTGTCGTTCATCGTTAATCGGTTAAATCCCATTCCAAGAATACCACAGCCAGAGAATTAATCAAGACTGTCAGGTGTCTGAGTCTGAACTGAAATAGCAGTTCTTTAACCCCAGGCGAGGTCAAAATCAATATAGAGTTTCCAAAAAAGGTGGTTTAAATTGGTACCTAGTCCAATTAAGATTTCATAAGACTGTCACTCGCAAGGTACGTTTCGAAGGTATATTGAAAATCGCATTTGGAAGCAGAACTATAGCAGCTAATTCGAACAAACATGTACTGGCAAACAAAGGAGAACGTGACGCAAAACTACCCGTGCACAGAACATGTCTAATTATAACCAAATCATACCGGAGCTCCTTTAACCCTGCAATGTATTGTTGCGAAACTACCATTTGGCAAATCAATAGGGTTCTTACATCCGCTCGAATAATGTTCTTTCAACGCTGAAGAAAGGACTTTGCATTCAACCTGCAGAAATTCACTTGCGTTCATTGAATAAAAGACTCGCGAGCAAACTTGTGAAGAACAATCGACTAAACTTGGATTTTTATAAGTTAAGTTCTGTTAGGTTTCGAGTGATCGAAGAGTGTCGAAGAATAAAATTGCGAGGATGATGGAGATGCATCTGAGGAATTCATGCATTTAAATGATGTATTTTTGTATGCAATTTTTGACGCGTTCTTAACCAAAGCTTAGGAGAAGCTTACGGGTATTTCGAAGTCGACGACCGAACCGATGAGAACTCGCGAATATTTCAGGTTCTCGTGTATAATAGATGCTATTGGGTTCCCTGGTATGTTGGGTTATACAGATTTAATTCTAACTTGCGAATATTTTAAACTTAATGTTGGGAGAGATGGGTAGTTTAAGTTTAATGTTGGGAGAGATGAGACTCTTGAATATTTCGTCTTGGTACATTCGGGGCTCCCAAATTTGTAGATCGTCAAATTCTATATTCTCATATCTTAGATCTCTAATTTCCATGGTCCCAAAGTTCCTATACTTTCAAGTCCCCATCTCCAAGTCCCTACGCACATCCCATAATCCCTGCATCCTCAAATCGCTATATCCTAAATATCTGTATTCCCAAATTCAAGACTATGAATACTTGAAAGCTACCTAAACTCTAGTCCAACCCTGAAGCAAATCCCAAACCATAATCTAACCCGAAATTTAATCCCAAACCAAAATCTAACCCGAAATCTAATCCCAAACCGAAATCCGATGCAACCCAAGATCTAATAGAAAGTTAGACGAAAGATTGTACTCGTTCCCATAAGATAGATGAGCTTACTTATAGACGGTGATCTCGGTGGACCGATTGCTCCTGTAGAGGAAACGGTTCGACGTGTTTCGCCACCAGTTCCATAGTCAGGTGCGCCTGCTTTGACCACCGGCTGTTATACCCGTGCCCGGGCTGCCCCCGTTCGACAGCCACAGTCTTCTGCTGAATTCTCTCATCTCGTAGTTATTGTTACAGTTGCTCTTCTCGCGAGCGCCACAATTGTGGTTCGCCGAGGTGGGTGTCGTTTCCTCGAGGATCAACGCGCAGTGGCTGTTCGTGTCGCTGTCAGCGCCGCCATCTTGCAGGTTGTTCGCCAACAGGGGATGCCTTCCGGTGTTGCACTCGTCTGTTTGGATTAACAACGACGCGTTTCCTGGAAAACATTTCTCTCGTTACTTTTTAGACATGAAATCACGGATATATTCATGAAAATTTTCCTTAAATTTTCCTTAAATTGTTGATCTTTTTATTGGACTACATATTCGATCTCGAGGTAACAGACACAACAGAATTATGATAAAACAGAGACGCAGAACGAAACTGATTTATTAAATCTTGTCGAGTCTGAAGAATTTAATTAAGTCTGTAATTGTGTGTAATTTAATTGTCTGTAAGTGTTTGTCAAAATATTTTAGCAAGCAGTTTCAGTATTTTCTTGATCTTCCAAAGATCACTTCCGATGAACGTTTTAAGTTAAATGCATTAAGTATTGTCCTGATTTTGCACCCTCTTTTGTTTTGTCTCACGCGATAAAGCTCGTTTAAAATTGCCCTTCCTTAAAAGGTTAAAAGTATTTCGTACTCAACCTAGATTTACGTTCTCCAGATACCGTGGAAAAATTAAACATCTTTCGAATGGCTTCCCTTTTCGGTATGATCTCGTTTTATCTAGAAAGGTTCGATGTTTTCGAAGAGAGAATAACAGTCATCTCGGGCTTTTAACTTTTATCTGCTTGTCTCGTTATCAGCTAGATTGAGTTGCAAACTCATGGTGCGTCGAACACGCTCTGCAGGTGACCTGATAATGGCACTTCAATTGTGATGACTTGTGCTATGGAGATTACCGTAATTGATGATAAGCCGATTCAGCTGCTCTCCGAAATAACGGACGTTATCAAAAAGTCATTCGACCTAGAGAAATTTTGAGGACCTAGCGAAATGAGGAATCATAGAGAAAATATAGGGAGTGACTGTTTGCAAACAGCAGCTTTAGAACTTAATTAAAAAATTAACCCCTTCCCGTGCTTTAACGAGACTCACTCGTGACGCACATACAGTTCAAATGTGACAAACCTTACTCAAATTTTGAATACTCTTCAGCTTGAAATTTAAGTCCAGCTATAAGTTACATTATCAAGGATCTCTGAATATAAAATAGTTACATTTTAATTTTCTTTGTTCGTTTTAATGTTATAGCCCTGCACAGTCTTGACTGACGCATCTGTTAAATAAATGGCGCGGGAAGGGGTTAAATGAATTCTCTTGAGGTTATTTCTCTACAAATAATTTCCACTATTGTTATTTCTCTATGTTTATACATCACACGTATCATATTATAGAATCAGTTAAAAAATGCTTGATTCAAATTATTGTATTAAACAAAATGGTGACTGAGAGTCACCCCTCGAGCGCAGAGGAGAACTTGTAGAGTTCGAAGAAAATTTGAAATGCCATCGATTGTCCGAGTTCTGAAAATTCTATAAAACCTGTATTCTCAGAATCGAAGAAATCTCAAGAGTCCTAGAGAATCTTGTAGAGCTTAGAAATCCGAGTAACCTAAAGAAACCTGGAACTTATATCTAAAATAATACGTTGGAAGTTTCTGCACGGTCAAGAGATCAATCATCGTATTCTTGGTCTATTTAAAAATTAATCGACCGGCAATTACGAGTGGGGTATAAATTATTTTTAGTGGCACGTGCACGTATCTTGCACGCCTCTAATCCAACCGTTTCAAGGGTCCGGAAAAAATATTGCGCAGATTGAAAATATCGATGTCGTGGTACAAGAAGCTGCGCGAATAATTAACCGGATGTCGAGACTTTAATAATCGCAGAGGAATTAAATTCGTTAACGAGCTGTCGCGAGTGTCGTTGGCGAGGAGATTTCATCGGGAGAAACAAGAAACTCGCCTTTTTATCGGTTGTTATTTTTTTGTCCTGGGATACTGTGAAACACGGTTCTCGTCCTACAAAACGCTTATCTCGCGATGAGAGGGGAGTCTGCGAATAATTGTTGGTTTTGGGGGCGCGAGGCAATCAATCAACTCGCAGATTTAAAGGTGTACAACGTGCTCGTCGACCCTTGAAAAAACATTGCTCGTTTGCTCTTTCGAAAGCAAGGATTATCGGTGAAACTTTGATACGCTTATTCGAGCACTTTACCCCCGGGGATTTGAGAAAAACGAACAACCGAGAACGCGAATTAACATTTTAACGAGGGGCGGCTTTCGTATGTATTTCTTTTTCATTATTTGAAGACGCGGATATTTGTAAACGTCGGAATATCGATACGCGCTTTTGCGATTCGGGAACTGGTACAAAAAGGAATAAAACCAGCGTCGCAACTCGAGGTGCGTGTTGAAATGTATTAGGAGACCTTTAACGTTTCGTATTTGTGTTATGAAACACGCTTATCGTAAAATATGACCTTTGACAGAAACAACGATAGTCAGTGCGTTTAGACACAGATCCATAACTTCGCTTAAAGTTGAAATCCGCCCATATCGTTTGTGTAATTATAGACAATGTCGGCGGGGTGTTAAATACTTATTATACCCGAGCACGCAATGTCCTAGTTCTTTTGCTTCAATTGGAATGGAGAAACGGGTAAGTTCGCCAAATAGTCGGTGAACATGAAATTAAGCGGTTGATTATAAAACTGTAGACTTTCCACTTTCTCCATTTGTCATTATCGTTTTTCAATTCGTATAAACGTTTGTCGAACGAGTCGGTTATCGTGAAATGACACGCGATGTATTTATCGTCTATCGGTTGTCGTTTCTGGTCAATTGCATTGTTATAATTCGGTAACAGCTGACATAAACTTTCTTGAAAATTTCCAAGATGCAGCAAATCGATTTGCGAGATTAGTAAAAGGTTTCTGCACGCTGCAATTCAAAACGGTAATTTGTACGCTCGGAACATCGATGCGAAATATTAATCTTGTTAAAAGAAAAATGTCCGTACAATAAATTCAGATGATCAGTTCTCGTTTTTCAAAAGGCGTTGCGTGTTTCACTGGCAATAACCGTAGTCCCTTTCGTGAGGTGAGTTTCTCGTTTAACCCGTAAACATATTTTTCACCGTAGGAATTGCGTGCCAGGGAAATAATCGAGACGATCTAAATTTCCTAGCAACCCCGTACACGCTTTGAACTAGTTTTATCTTCCGCGAACCTCGTTAATTCGACCGTTGGAAACGTCAACTTCGTTCGTCGTATGTTCCTTCGACAGAAACGATTAAAACTTTCGATGTTGTTCTCTGCTATCGATTTTGCATTTAAATCTCACCGTAGATAAATTATCGCGATAATAAGAAATGATAGATCGAATGGAGTTTATTGAACCTTTGCAGTTTAACCTGGATCGTGATTCGACATTATTTTTCTCTTGCTGCATAAAATTAGCTTTTGCAACCTCTTTCGCGACGAAGGAATTACTGTTCCGAATTGGGGTTTACAGGCACGGTAATCTACGGGGTTTACACGCACGGTAATCTCCACGGGGTTTACACGCACGATAATCTTCACGGGGTTTACATGCACGGTAATCTTCACGGGGTTTACACGCACGATAATCTTCCACAGGGTTTACACGCAGGATAATTTTCGCAGGGTTCACATTTACGGTAATCTCCACGGGGTTTACACGCACGATAATCTCCACGGAGTTTACACTCACGATAATCTCCACGGGGTTTACACGCACGGTAATCTTCACGGGGTTCACACGCACGGTAATCTACGGGGTTCACACGCAGAGTAATCTCTACGGGGTAATTTTCACGGGGTTCACACCCCAATAAAAAATGTAAGAGAGCACATTCTTGTAACACGAGGTTACGAACCGAAATCTGACAAATCTAAGAATGTAACAGTGTTTGATCAGATTATTGGAAACCAAGAAAAGAAATTCGTACTATAGAGTCTTCTCTGTCTTGCGTGAAAGATTAAAGAACATTCATTGTTGAATATTCTCTGCAACACCTTGTTCCTGTTCTAAATTCTCATTGACACCGCATCAGTAAACCGTGTCCAGTTAACTTTATACTCATCCAATTATATCTCGTTAGGTTTTCGCCGTTGATCCGATCTTTTCGGCACGCCGTTGTCGTTTAGATCGTGTAAGTGCTATTGACTGCGAAGCCGGCCAACTGCGAGAAGGCTACTCGTCCTCGACGAAAAAAAGAAGTGCCGTGGACGACCTTAATAAACGTCGAGAGATCGACTACCATCTTGGTCGACAAACGTTTCTATTACTGCATAGATAAGAAACTTGGACTAATGAAGAAGTTTTTGAAGGGTAAAAAGCGCTGAGTTTCGTTTCTTTTACCAGCGAAAGTTCTGAGAGATGTTCTTACCCTCGAAGGGTTAACATCCTCGTTATTACGTTGGGATCATTATTATTCCAATGCCTTTGTAGCATAATATATGCATTACGTTTGAGGCTCGGAGGCGTCAGAATAAATTAAATGTGGGAGGTTCTCGAAGATTAATTCACTTTTCATTTAAAGGAATTTTATGTCAGAAATGTATAACTACTTTTCTTGTCCTGCTTTTCCTGAAAGGCAACTTGTAAATTTCCGCGATGAAATTACCGCGACTCGAACTTCCGTCAAGTTTGCAAGCAGATACATTACTGTCGGAACTGTTACGTCTTGCGACCTAGGTTGAAGTTTTAAAACGAAAGTATCCGCGTCAAACGCGTAATCGAAAAGCGGTTTCCGAAAAGGAAAGGATTAGTTGTAAATTGTAGGTAGAAACCTACCGGAAGGTGTGACGGCATTTGGCAGGGTTGTGCGTCGTACGATGCTTCCATTGTTTGTGGCTTCCGGCATCACCTGGGAGAAGGGTGGCTGCGCCAGGGTGGTCGCCGGAGGCGGTGGTTCCCGAAGCATGCGTATCTTCTGTATCATTTCGCGTATCTCGTAGCGCAGTATTCCTAGGAAACAGAGTTTGGCGAACGCGATCACGCAGAAACCCAAGACGAATAGTAGATCGGCCGTTTTCCTTAGCCATCTCATCAGAGAGTCCTCGCATCCCCTCGCTCACGGGGTTCACACCCCAATAAAAAATGTAAGAGAGCACATTCTTGTAACACGAGGTTACGAACCGAAATCTGACAAATCTAAGAATGTAACAGTGTTTGATCAGATTATTGGAAACCAAGAAAAGAAATTCGTACTATAGAGTCTTCTCTGTCTTGCGTGAAAGATTAAAGAACATTCATTGTTGAATATTCTCTGCAACACCTTGTTCCTGTTCTAAATTCTCATTGACACCGCATCAGTAAACCGTGTCCAGTTAACTTTATACTCATCCAATTATATCTCGTTAGGTTTTCGCCGTTGATCCGATCTTTTCGGCACGCCGTTGTCGTTTAGATCGTGTAAGTGCTATTGACTGCGAAGCCGGCCAACTGCGAGAAGGCTACTCGTCCTCGACGAAAAAAAGAAGTGCCGTGGACGACCTTAATAAACGTCGAGAGATCGACTACCATCTTGGTCGACAAACGTTTCTATTACTGCATAGATAAGAAACTTGGACTAATGAAGAAGTTTTTGAAGGGTAAAAAGCGCTGAGTTTCGTTTCTTTTACCAGCGAAAGTTCTGAGAGATGTTCTTACCCTCGAAGGGTTAACATCCTCGTTATTACGTTGGGATCATTATTATTCCAATGCCTTTGTAGCATAATATATGCATTACGTTTGAGGCTCGGAGGCGTCAGAATAAATTAAATGTGGGAGGTTCTCGAAGATTAATTCACTTTTCATTTAAAGGAATTTTATGTCAGAAATGTATAACTACTTTTCTTGTCCTGCTTTTCCTGAAAGGCAACTTGTAAATTTCCGCGATGAAATTACCGCGACTCGAACTTCCGTCAAGTTTGCAAGCAGATACATTACTGTCGGAACTGTTACGTCTTGCGACCTAGGTTGAAGTTTTAAAACGAAAGTATCCGCGTCAAACGCGTAATCGAAAAGCGGTTTCCGAAAAGGAAAGGATTAGTTGTAAATTGTAGGTAGAAACCTACCGGAAGGTGTGACGGCATTTGGCAGGGTTGTGCGTCGTACGATGCTTCCATTGTTTGTGGCTTCCGGCATCACCTGGGAGAAGGGTGGCTGCGCCAGGGTGGTCGCCGGAGGCGGTGGTTCCCGAAGCATGCGTATCTTCTGTATCATTTCGCGTATCTCGTAGCGCAGTATTCCTAGGAAACAGAGTTTGGCGAACGCGATCACGCAGAAACCCAAGACGAATAGTAGATCGGCCGTTTTCCTTAGCCATCTCATCAGAGAGTCCTCGCATCCCCTCGCGTACGGTTGCTGGCAGGTGTCGCTGACGTTCGCGCTTGGACCGCAACAGGTTTGCGGCCAACGGGTCCCAAAGTCTCTGGGCCCGATCACTCCGCAGCAGGAGAACTCCTTTTGCAGACGGTCCCATTGCTCGCTGAATCGCAGATCCTTCCCGTACTCCATCTGCGAAGGCGAACAATCCTGTTAGCGTAATCGGTCGTGGAACCGAGACGCCGCGGGCTAACGCTCGGTCCAGGATACGCGAGGTTCGACAGGGTCTAAATTTACGCGTCGTTCGCCGAAAGGGACCAGGCTTGGTATTTTTAAGCGCCTCGATATCGAACTGGTATTTATGGTTTGCCCGTTCACGCGGTTCTAGAGAGTAAATGTGGCGCTTCGATTATTGGATCTCGTATTTCGATTTAAAATTCTGAAAAATTCATTCGCTTCGGAATTTACCCTTATCAGTCGAATCGCGGTGTGTAACTCAGAGTTTAGGAGTAAAAGCAGCAAAGTAGATACGGTAAGGGCCCTCGCATCTTAGCGGAATGAGAAAGTAGATTCGCAGGCTTCCATTTTATTATGTGTGCCCTAGGGAATTCCGCGTAGCTTCCCCAGCGTGTACACTTTGTAACTCTTGAAAATCCAAGGAAAAAGCGGAGCAAAAATTCGACGAACGAGTTTAGTAAGAAAGCAGATAAAGAGGAAGCTTTTGTATCAGGAAGAAAGAAGGATACGTAGTGATCGTATGGTTCTACATCCAGGTCGATTATCCCGGGGTACGCACATTTTCCCTCGATTATGCGATCGACCTAGATAAGAACGGGGCTAAGAATAATGACTGCAGATACGGACAGAGAAACGAGGTGAAACGGACGAAAGGTTGGAATTGTTGGTAATCTCCCTGACACTGATTTTTCATCGTGACGTGTAATGAGGGGCCCTGTGTAAACTAGTTCACTGTTTCTTAATTAGAAGCTCGAGCCAGTTTATCGTCGAAAATTTGCGACGCCCCTAAGCTCGTATCGATCAGTACCGAGCGGAACAGAGTACTTTCAGCCCTCGAGAAAAAACAAACAGAGATTTTCTCGAAAGGCTGCCTCGAAACGAACAATCTAACGCGGGCAGAAGTTTCAAAGGCAATGTTGCTAACGCGTTGTCTGCGTTGATAAAAATTTCAGACGGTTCCGATTACCGGAAGTTATTTAAAGTTTCAACTTGTTCGATAAACTGGCGCCGCTAGTTAAAAGTTTCAAGACAGCGTGGAATTTACCGCAATTAAACGAAACTATGTTATTTACAGAAGGCAAAAGTCTGGGGAAAATTGATAAGTTGCGATGATAGTCTTTTAACGACTCTTTCGGTACTTTCTTTTATTCCTCCGTTTAGAAGCGTTTTATGCTTTTAAAATCATATCGGCGATGTAACAGTACGTGTAGCGATAGGACACAGAAATACGACTCGTGGTGCAATGCGTAGTAATCTGATACGTGGTAACGCGTGGCAAATATAATCTGAATGATAGAATTGAATATTGAATACAATAATGGAGAAGAGAATATAAACTTAGAAGTAAATGAATCGAGTTAATTCGCTTGTCTGAAACTTGCAGCTACAGTTTAATGTCAAACGTTAAAGATGGATAAGTTCCGTGGCGCAAAGTTGCCAGGAAACACATAAATATCTGTATGGCCATGTATAAATAGACACTGAAGCGGTATGTCGCCTATGGTATGAATAATATTCGTACTACCGTACAAACTATACTTCACTAGTCTGCCGCGATCGTTCAAATTATAATGAAGCCACGAACGAGTTGAACGTGAAACGCGACAAAATGGCATCGATTTTTAACACCGGGACTATCATATCCGTCGAAATGACGGGTCTCGAATTTATCGCGACGCGATAAGCTACAAAATTGATTCGAACGATTCGATCGATTTTTTGGACTACGACAGCTCTCTATATTTTTTATGTCTATCGATTGCCGGCTAACAGGAATAGAGTATAGCAGTAATCGAACGGAACTGTATAAACCGTGAGATAGGTTCGATTCGTTGAGCAAGAAAAAAGGAAAACACCCGAAGAATAGAGACAAGACTATTTATAATTTAGCCGACACGTTTCAGCTGACACGAGGGTGTTGGACCTGTTCCATGTTTCCGTAATCGCAACACGAACCTGCCCTTTTTCCTGGTCGATATTCCATTGAATGTTACCCGGTGATAAGAGGAGCCACGCCTCCGCAATTCCTTCGCTACAACCACGGAAACTGATTGCTTCTCTCCATCTCGCGCTACTTATGCTCCGCCTTAACGCCGCTACCAAATAAACGCTGTCAATTCGGAAAGAGATTTCCGATACTTCGACCGTTCGCCGCTAGAGGGATCACCCGATTATCAACTTTCTCGCAAGCACTCCTTTAACGATTCATCCAAACATCGAGACTTCTACACTAAGCATTTCTCAAGATTTCTCGTCTGCCTCTTCCCTCGAAAGAGGCACATTTGTCAACAGACGATCAGCGAATAAACCCTAAAAATTATTGTCGGCTCGTATAGATATATCTACACGTGACTTTATACGACCCAACCGTTTGAGAAGTCTTTCAAGATTCTCGTGCGCGATAAGAGGCCTTCTCCATCGATGCTTTTACTCGAGGAGACGTGGACCGCCTCGTTGTTGACTCCGAGCGACTCGAGCGGTTTTATTCGTCCGTCATAAAGCTAAACATCTTAAGGTTCTTAATCACGATATTCGCTCATTGCCAAAACGAGCCACTTATTATTTAACGACAACCTTACGTTACGACTTACCTAGGCGTGGAGCATTAAAATTTCCATCGCACGTATTCTCGACACTAGGAAGCTACTGGGAGGCTCGTAAAGGAAAATGTACTGTTTGCTATCTTCGTCGCATCTAAACAAATTTCTACCTCACGGTTGTCTACCCAGCTTGGTTATTCTCGGGACAATAAAGCGATGTATATCACCGACCTGGCCTGGGATAGGTGCTTCGTCCGCACTGAATTACGGCCGAGGAAATGGCCAAATAAAATCCCTATCTAAGAGGTGTGTCCACTATCGATCACAGATTTTTTCTTGACACTCGTGTGGGACGGAAACGTGTCCTGTAGGTGTGTCTGTTGATTGTAACTTCGTGAGAATTGGGGCAAACGTTGTTTTCACATCTTCTATTACCACGCGTTATTTGCTTGCATGTACTATTGGAATTGCACGTTGTATCGCCACGAGCTCTTTCGCCTATAGTCTATTCACTTGTATCGCTATGCGTTCTGTTACATAACAGAAAATTTGCAGTTTGTATGCTACGTATACGTGCAAGTTTTCGCGAAGCATTATATGATGGAAAGTGGATTATGTTCTATCGACGCATAAACTGGATTATGTGATGCTTCGAGTAGGAAGAAGTAGTTTGTCGAGGACGGAACGTAATTTACATTTATTAGCATCGAATGTATAAGCGATGATTTATTTGTGCACAATATTGCTTGTTAATGTCGAGTCGGATCAAAGTTCATTTTGCGGGACGTGGAAACTGGAAATTGAAACGAAAGAACTTGATTCTTCAATCAGCCAAGTAAATGGGAAAATGCGATCGCGGTGTTCGCTTCCAATATACAAAGGATATATAGATTGGATCGGTGAATTTGTTTTAAAGACGATTACTCCGCCGAATTCGAAGCAACTTCTAACTGAATGCGGTAAAAAATCTGCTTCTGTTTTCAAATTTTAAATCTGTGAAAATGAAAAGATTGATTAGCTCGACTGTTTATGATTGAATTACAGTGTACCACAGACTTCGCTGATTAATAAAATCAATGATTAATAAAAACCTAACCAAGTGGTTATTAAAATTAAAATTAAATATATAACTCGGGTCATCTCTGCACATGACACAATTTCAATCGCACGTAAAATTCTGAAAGGGAGAAAATTGTAGGAAGAAAAGAGTTTGTTCGATTGAGCAACTGGGTCAGATTGAAATCCGAATTAGACTCGTGTGCATAGAGTTAAACCACGTATAACAAATTATTTTTGCTAAACAAAGTTATGCAGGACTTCTAATATTTGCAAGAATTCGTGATATCCTGCGAGATTTATAGAAGATTGCAGGAAGGAATAAAAGAGAGTAATTTGACTGTAAGATCACGAACCAGAGTGCAGACAAACTACCCTGGCAATGGAATTTTCTCCCTAGACCTAATGTTCCAAATGGCTGCCGTCTAGACCATTACTGCCCATGGGTGGTCTCCCATGGTATCCAATGGTCTTTCTCCCTTTTATTCTCTGTCGTCGAGAAAATCATTTTATATCGATCGACGTGCTCAACGAGGATGGACAACCGGGGAAAGTTTTCGAACTGCTACTTTTATTTACTCGATGTAATATTGGGACGTGGAAACTGGAAATTGAAACGAAAGAACTTGATTCTTCAATCAGCCAAGTAAATGGGAAAATGCGATCGCGGTGTTCGCTTCCAATATACAAAGGATATATAGATTGGATCGGTGAATTTGTTTTAAAGACGATTACTCCGCCGAATTCGAAGCAACTTCTAACTGAATGCGGTAAAAAATCTGCTTCTGTTTTCAAATTTTAAATCTGTGAAAATGAAAAGATTGATTAGCTCGACTGTTTATGATTGAATTACAGTGTACCACAGACTTCGCTGATTAATAAAATCAATGATTAATAAAAACCTAACCAAGTGGTTATTAAAATTAAAATTAAATATATAACTCGGGTCATCTCTGCACATGACACAATTTCAATCGCACGTAAAATTCTGAAAGGGAGAAAATTGTAGGAAGAAAAGAGTTTGTTCGATTGAGCAACTGGGTCAGATTGAAATCCGAATTAGACTCGTGTGCATAGAGTTAAACCACGTATAACAAATTATTTTTGCTAAACAAAGTTATGCAGGACTTCTAATATTTGCAAGAATTCGTGATATCCTGCGAGATTTATAGAAGATTGCAGGAAGGAATAAAAGAGAGTAATTTGACTGTAAGATCACGAACCAGAGTGCAGACAAACTACCCTGGCAATGGAATTTTCTCCCTAGACCTAATGTTCCAAATGGCTGCCGTCTAGACCATTACTGCCCATGGGTGGTCTCCCATGGTATCCAATGGTCTTTCTCCCTTTTATTCTCTGTCGTCGAGAAAATCATTTTATATCGATCGACGTGCTCAACGAGGATGGACAACCGGGGAAAGTTTTCGAACTGCTACTTTTATTTACTCGATGTAATATTGTTAACACTAAAACTACCAAACCGGTCAAATGACCGCTTCACAAGTATCTCATTAAAAGGTACACATTTTGATAAAGTACGTTTCTTGAAATCAGCATTGATTTTCATCAAAATAAAGAATAAATGTGTGTGCTAATTTATGTTTCGTCATTTGTATATTTATTCTTTAACTTCATTTTTAATTTCAAAGTATGTGTACATTATATGCCGGTAGGTTTAGTGTTAGTAGCCAGAATCTTCGTATTTTGTGTCGTCTTAAGCGTGGATGACATTTTCATTTTCAAACAATTCTTAGGTTACTTGACTTATTACGTGATCGCTTGCATGATTTATATATTGCATAGTTATATTATGTTTTTCATTGTAGATTTCATGTGTAAATGAACATATATGAACATCACTTATAGTATAAAATTCTATGCTATAGTGTTTATCGTACTGAAGAAATAGACCAGGTACAAACTTTCGATTCATTATTTGCACCTGAAGTATATAGAAGTTCATTTAACTCCTTGCCGTACTTTGACGAGTTTCATTCATGACGTACTCACAACTCGAATATAAAAAATCTTACTCAAATTGTTAATGCTCTTCAACTTCAAATTTAAGTCCAATTATAATTTGCATTATCAGTCTCACTCGTGACGTACTCACAACTCGAATATAAAAAATCTTACTCAAACTGTTAATGCTCTTCAACTTCAAATTTAAGTCCAATTACAATTTGCATTACCAAGGATCGCTGAATATAAAATATTCACAACATTGTAATATTTATTTGTTTAAACATTATAGCTACGAACAGTAAGTTTTGACTGACGCATCTGACAAATAAATTGTATGGCAAGGAGTTATAGTACATGAAGCAGCTTCCGCGTACAGTGAAACAAAATAAAAACTAAGCAATTAGCTCCATACCGTAAAGGTGTACATCGAGGAAAGGGAAGAAAAAAGAATAGAAAGGTACTGACCTGCAATCGTTGTCTGAGAGTGGGTTTGAGCTCGGCGCGCATCCTCTCGAACCGGAAGACCCAGGCGACTCCGATGACGGCGTCGCCGAAGAGCAAAGCCAGCAGCAGCACCCAGTAGGCGTTCAAGAGCCTGGCGCTCAATCTTCTGGCTGCTATGCAACCGAGCAACTGCACGAGCCCCAACTGCGTGGCCAGGGCCAGATAAGCGTAAAGCGCCGTCGGGTCGAATGCCCTAGGTACCCCTGGTACCACGTATCGACGCGGATCACCGGTGAACAAAAGAGTTCGCGAGACCGCGGCAGCGAAGCCTAGCGCGCTACCGAGCAGCACCAAATTACAGGTGTAGATCCAGAGCCGGTAATATCGCATCGCGACGTCCTGGCCAGAGTCGGCGCGTCTCTGGGACGTCACCGACGCCGCCCCCTCGTCGGCGACGTACGACCGATTACTGTCTCGCCGATTGTCCCCTTTGAGAACGTTATTGTTGTTATTGTTATTGTTGTTGTTATTGTTGTTGTTGGTTGTAGTTATGGCGATGGTGGTGTCCGCGGAGTTCGGATGCTCCTGACGGTCGTCCAGCAGGAATAAGAAGGGCGGCTTCGCACTGCAGTCCTTGTTCGCTGTCTTTTGGCTGTACGTCGACTGCGGGGTGACTGAACGTTCCAGCAGCATCACCGTCATACTATCGTGCCTCCCTGGTACGCGTGTCCTCGTCGTTAAGGATTATACCCCGGGTAGAATGGAAGCGAGAGCGAGTAATAGACCGAGAGAGAGAGGGGAAGAGCCTTGGGCCAAGATGTGTATGTACCGAGAAACGGCGTGTGTCACGCGAGCCACATTATGCGCCCTGACAGCGGCATGTTCGTCGAGGTTCCTGGCTACCGGCTTCTCTTCCCCTCTGATTGCTCTTCGGTTTCTTTCCTCCTTGCGATCGCGCTGCTCACTCCTGAGGTACAAACCAAGAAATCGAGACAGGTTCGTTGGAACGATTCATATGGATGGATTTCAGGTACTCGAAGTTTTTACAGACTAGGGAGGAGTTTAAGGAACAATTCGAGAGAACCTTAAACGTGTTTAGGAGTCTAATTAGAAGCCAGGATTTTCTGTGAAGTGTCTCGTCCTATTCTAGGGCAGGTATAATAAGAACGTAACGATAACCTAGAGACCTTTTTCTAAGAAAAGCCCGGAACGCAAGGTAAATGTAATTAGAATCTAGAGGATACTAAGAATCTCAGTAAGAATGTAAAAAGAACATAAGAATTTAACAACCTAAGATTTTCTAAACAAAGTCCAATCCAGGTTATCTTCACTAAGGAATTAAGTCGAGTGGTAGATTTCCCCTACGCTACTTCCTCTCTGAAGGAAGTCTAAGTTGCACCCACATCTACGTTGAAAATGTTACAAATCTATCCTACTAGTTACAAGTAAAATAACCCTCTGTTTTTAGAAACATGTCCTAAGGACTAAATCTCGATAGCACCTACAACTCTGACAGCTGACTCGATTATCACCACTAAACGGCCGATCGGGACATGTAACGTCTTCCGTCGTCAGTGCTCAAATCACGTCAGATGTGTTTAATCGTCAACGTTAACCTATCACGGTGTAACGTGCCTAATCGCCAACGATTAAGCTGTTGCAGGGTATTCAAACATTAAAGCTTCGAGAATTGAACGCTTTAGATTCTCAAAACTTTCAGCGTTAATTAGGTACACAGTGGCTCGATAGCTTACAGCGAACAGTGCATGTTCACTGGGTTAGGGGATTGCATCGCCTTGGAGTTAATAGACTGATTAGGACCGGTTTGATTAGGGATTAGGAGGGCCAGCCCATTTACCTAGCAGATCCATCTGTTTCGCTACAACGGCTTGTATTGTTATATCCTCTGTTATAAGCATATGTATGCTAGGTGTATAAAATTCATCATTTCTACGGATCTGAATAGCGTGGAAAATTGGTTTTCTCTTAGCTACATATATTTTTTTAACCATAAAAACGTCACTGAATGTACATTCAGAATTATTGCGCTGATATAAAATATGGAGGTTAGCGTCCACAGTAGCGTCAACAGAAAAAACCACATCGGAAATATCCTGAAATTAGTTTTCCGTTAAACGATGTTAGCTTATCAATTTTATCTCCATTTTACTCTTCATAAACTATCGCCTTTCAATAAAAATTGCATGTTTTATAGGTCCGCTAGCATCAGATAATCCGAAGTCGTTTAAAATTACAGATTCAGAGGAATAAACGGGAAAATGTCACGCAATACATGATGAATGATACGAACGAGCGAAATATGTCGTTTTAATAGAGATTACGCGTTAAGATAGATTTATGAAATGAAAGTGATCGAATCGAATAGGAACTAATGGTCCTTCATTTAAATAGAAACTGACCGAGTCTGTCCGTAACAAAACGATCCATTTTTGTTCCATGGAGACGACAGTATCGAAGCATCGGCGTTTCTCGACCTATTCGTGTCAACGATGTAAAGCAATAAAGTTCTCGATAGGGGACGATTTATCTTGCGGAATATCGGACAGCGGACCGTCACGGCTCTATGGTCTTCTCTCGAGAAACGGAGTCGAGAGAATGTCGAAAATTGATAAAAATATCGTCTAGGGTAAATGAAACGTTCGCGACACGTTCCGAGCGTACGTCAATAAAGTCGCGCGCGAACAACACGGGAGAGCAATATAGCTTCGCGGAGGAAGAGCACCGGTTACCATGAAATATACACTGTGGAAAAATAGCGAAAATTATAATACTTTAGAAAGTTAAATTTAAAAAGTTTCAGAGTTTCAAAATTTTTAATTATCAAATTTACTTTTCAAAAAAGGATGTCGAATGGTAGTAGACTCCTGGATTTGACCATCCTCTACAGTGCCCCAGGGAAATTTTAACCGGGATAATTGTCAAAAACTCTCGAGGCAGTCGTGAATTATTACTCGTAAACATGGAATTACAATGAACGGCGTGCCAGCCTCCTCGGGAGCAATGTTTTACCATTTAATTACCTCGTTATATTCGAATTACAGTTCAGCTGCATTTTTGATCAAAATTAATAGACGAATAGATAAATAATTCAATGTCCCACGTTCACGACAATTTATTTGAAAAATGAAAGCACAAGTTGCCCGAGAGTGTATTACGAAATGGAGTAGCGCTTATCTGACGCTTATAAAATAAATCGTGGCTTCCAATACGATAATTTTGAACCGCCTCAGCAGGAAAAAACGAGATTAGAGTATCTAAAATTCACGATTTCGCAAGAGAAGCGATCCTATAAATTCGATTAAGTTTGAAAGACATTTTACGACGGAATAAGATGTCACTTTGGAGCGTAAAATATTCTCTTTTTCCCGCGGAAGTCCACGGAATGTGAGTTATCTAATGCGCAGAGTGTCGCACAGATAGGAGTAATTATTAACCTTCCATCGTGATAGATCACGTTGAAGCGACACGAATCGCTGGCTACCGTGTACCTCGCTAAATTGTATTTCTTTCTGACAGTTCTAGCGTGCAATAGGCAATTCTCTTATCGATCTCTTGGCGACTGGTTGTGCGCGGCGCGTTGCCTTCTTCGAGGCTTCTACAGGAACAGAAACAAAGCGGAGGAAGTTTAATACGCCGAACGATAAATATTCCAATAACAAATCTCCGAACACGGAAATTATGCGAAAAGCAATTTCCACGGGGCTCTAATCGTCACGAACATCCATGCTATTAAAGCCTCGTATTTATGTTATTTCCACTTCGATCGAATTTCAATATTCTTAAACCATCTCTAAATCCAGGTTCGATACCATTAAATTTGTGATATTATACCATTGAATCTGTGATACACCATATATATAAATTTAGAATATCGTTAACCCCTTTTGACGAGTCAGACTCGTGACGCACTCGTACTTCGGCCGTGATCAATTTTATTCGAATTTTTAGTACGCTTTAATTTGAAGTTCAAGTCCAATTATAATTTGCATAGTCAACGATTGCATAATAACATATTAATATAACATTTCACATTTTTTTGTCTGTATTAATATTGTAGCTCTAATTAGTCAATTCTGACTGACGCACTTGACAAATAAGCCATAGTGCAAGGGGTTAAATGCATAGCTTTCCTAAATAAGGTTCTTCTCAGACCCATAGGAAACTATGTCTTTAAACATCAAGTACTCCTGTGATATACAACATTCGTACGCCACAATGTATCTAGAAATACAATATACATAGATGCATATATGTGTGAGATACCCATATGGCTACAAATGCAAAATGTTCCCAAAAGATTGACACTTTGTGCTCTAAGGTATTTTTGCTGTTGACAGCAACTGTAAAACTTTTTATCTGAGAGTCTGGTATATTATTTTGAAGTTATCTCTCTATGCTAAATGCAGTTACTAACACATGTATAATACATGTATATGGACCGTTCCTTTTGGAAGTGGTGTAATGCATTTGCATGAATATACATTGTTTTAGTTAAATCACCTAAAAGAAATTCGTATAATCAAATTATATATTGATCAATTAGTAAAAAATTGCTGAATTGTCAGTCTTGATATAATTAACACTAACGACCGCTCACACAACATGTGTGTGATGCTACCGCCGAAGGTTGTTGTCCAGTGCCACACTTTCTGTGTGATAATTTATAATATTAAATTTGTTGTCAAATTGTTGTCGTTTTTTGTTAACTTTTTTGTGAATTTAATAAAGTTCTTTTAAATTAATTCTTCAAAAATACTGCCGGCCCCTGGCGACGTTTGACTGCGTAGACGTGCGGTCGTTAAAGTGTTAACCTATATTGTTTCATTGACATACGTGTTAACATTTAATTTTCTCAAAATAAAATGGACTTACACTTTCAAAATAAACGATCCATATATACTTTATCACGTGTATAACACTAAAGATTTACTTTAAAAAATACCTACTTAAGTTGAATTAAAAAGAATGAGTCACCTTTGGAAAGTTCAATATAATAACGTAAACGAATTTGAAAATTTATTAATAACTACATAAGTGAAACCTCACAGTTGTATATAGTATTGCATAGTTCTGTCTACACTTATAGTACAGGAAAGGAAAAGTTACAGTACAGAAAAAATCGTATCAGGAAATGAAATTTGTACCGACTCGCACAAAGATATTTTTAGAACGAACATCGAGATCTTCCGCTTCCTGAATGTCAATCGCTTCCCGTCTATACCCTGACGATTCAGGTGTAGTTCATAAAGAGAAGAATTTTGTTTTCATTCGCCGGAGGTGACGATATCCTTTCAAAGATTATTTTCGGTCCACGATTTTTACGGGATACATCGTGTTCTTTATTAAACGACTCGTGTCCGACCGAGTTATATTAGTCTCATTCAAATTAAAGGGTTCTTGCGAGAAGGCCGTATTTTTTCCACCTCTGAAGGAGATAAATCAGAGTTCATCAGACACTCTTCCTACATCGCTACCTTATTTCCCCTACCAACGATCAACCTCGTTTCCCTATGCAAGGAAACAAATTGTAGCGGGCAAAGGGGTCTCGCCGTTAGATTGCTCTAAATAAAAAAAAACTTCTCGTTTGAACGTGGCTGGAATTACTGCCAGAACCTGTGTTATACGCGGTAGATGGTAGAAGAAATAACTAAAATTTATCTTGTAGATAACGAAATTTATCTTGTAGATAACGAAAAAATACTGACAGTATGTTTGGAAGGTTTAGAACGTGCAACTTAGGCTTCCAGCATTGCCAAGCACCTCTAAACTTAGGCTCTCGCTAGAATTTAGAAATTCGTGAACTTAGACTTTTAAATCTTGAACTTTCAGAAACTTATTCGCAATTTAAAAATTGTTAACAAAGAGTTTATCAAGTTTCCGAAGAAGTAACCAGTGAATCGGAAGGGGATGTTCGAAATCTCGCTAGAATTTAGAAATTCGTGAACTTAGACTTTTAAATCTTGAACTTCCAGAAACTTAGCGATTCACAATTTAAAAATTGTTAACAAAGAGTTTGTCAAGTTTCTGAAGAAATAACCGGTGAATCGGAAGGGGATGTTCGAAATTTCGCTAGAATTTAGAAATTCGTGAGCTTAGACTTTTAAATCTTGAACTTCCAGAAACTTAGCGATTCACAATTTAAAAATTGTTAACAAAGAGTTTGTCAAGTTTCTGAAGAAGTAACCGGTGAATCGAAATCTCGTACGTGGTACACAACACGTACGCGAATTAATGGGTATGAAAGGAGTTGTTGGCACGGATCGCGGAAAGAAACGACCCGCACACGTGGTGGTTGAGAATCACTGCAGCTGGGTTCTCGAGCTCGTGTCAGAATATATGTAGCCTACGTGCATGGATAAACATACAGGAGAGGGTGGAGAGAAGTGGAGAGAGACGATACATGCACCTATGCTTCAGAATGCCCACGCGTCCCTCCTTCTGTATAAAGGGTGTACCAGATTTTTCCCGCCAAATATCATTACCACACCTGATACGTTTCAACGCAAACATACGATGTTGCTCTTAGGTGTCGATATTGCTCGATAATTTAAATTCTGTTAAAAAGTTATGATGGACAGATCAATGATATTTGCATCTAGTTTATGTAAGCTGTCCTTACTGTCTGAGCTTATATCTGGGTTAGCTCCGTCTATCGATTGAGAAAAGAAGGATTTTTATTGAATTTTTGAGACTAAAATTACACTATTGTAATCCTTGATATGAAATTATTCCGCATTTTCCAGGAGAGGTTAAATTCTGTACACATATTTATATGCGCATAATCTGTTAGCCCAAGGTTTCTATTATTTGAGTTACATTAAATTCGAGTTATATTTGCCGAGGTTACATGAAGAGAAATTGCAGTGGATATTTCGGTATTCTCATAATCCCACTAAGGAGTATATACACAGCTCTAATAGGATCAAGTTAGGGTACGTGATAAATTTCTTGCGAGCGCCGAGTAATACAATGCAATATTCTTTTGTTATTCAGGACCCATAAACGAAATGAATGTGTTCGCGAGCAATCGCGGCATTTCAGAGCCTCAACAATTTACTAATGACTGTGGCAAAGTTACAGTCAACAACTTCACCTCCCTCGGATGGTAAACACGGCTTCCGCAAGCAAATATCATTGATATATTTCACTGAATATTACGGCAAATGCCGAACCATCGCTGCTTCGTAACTTATTGACCTTTCAAAGGTCACGAATCTGAAATTTCGTGTTTCCTCGTATTTCTAAAATTATATTTCGGAGGTTTTATTGTATAGAGGGTGACGTTATAATTGCAGAGAAATAAAGAAATATAGGAATTTAAAGATATATGAATATGGGAACTCTAGTGATCCTGTACAAAAATATAAGTTCCTAGAGATCTAGCTTTCCAAAGATGTTCTAGATATTCAGGGACCTAGGTTTCTGTCTAGGTTTCCAGATTGCTATTCAGGGACCTAGATCCACGATTTAGATTTCCAAAGACCCTAGTGTTTAGGTATCTAGAAACGTAAATATGAAAAGAATCTACCTTCCAAAAATAAATAAATCAAAGAAACACGTGGCGCGTCAAAATGTTAGCAAATAAATTGTCTATATTTAATATTCGCACCTAAGGTTTGAAAAAGAACACCCCGTAAATAAATGTGTGCTGTGTCGTGTGGATCTAAGAAAAGAAAGAGGGTAAACAGAGACGTGGACAGGGTGGGGGCAAGGAAAATCTCGTCGTCGACAGATTCGCCAGGATCCAAGGAAAAAAGAGAGAGAGAGAGAGACGCGGAGAAAGAGGTGGCACGTTGTTGTTGACTATGCTTTAAAGTACAGACCTCTCGATGCATCGATGTGTGTTGTACACTGGGGAGCCGAAAGTGGTGCATTGTAACGAAACACGGAAGAAAGTTAAGGGCTCATCGATCGTTTAAGCCCTCCGCGCTTGCTCGGGCCAAATATACCGGTCAAAAAGGAACGGATTTTCGACAACGATCCCTTAACCCCTTAGGCGTTTCGAACCGCTCTGATTTTGTTTCCTCTCTTCTCCTATGGAAATATGAAACAACTTTCTACAAGTTTGATAAGTTTGACGAGCTTGTACTTGCAGCAATTTCTTCGTCTTAGAATAGCTAACGAGCAGACTTCTATAGTTCGCGGTTAAAATGAATGAATCGTTGAAGGTGTTACTGGAAAGCGTGTTCGCACCTAGTTAAGTCATTTTTAGGCGGGCTTTATTTATTCTTGAAACTTTATTTGGAGCGACTTTCTTCAAATTTATGTTTTTGATAACGATTGATTTATAACGGGATCGTTTGGCACCGGGGTTTACGAGCACGGAAAGGGGTCCACACGCACGGCATTTGCGAAGGGTTCGCACGCTATTTCTACCAAAAGATATTACGTTCGAAGTTATTCTACATTTTCGACTGGCAGTAACATTATTTACGAGAAGCTTAAAACTTAATTATGGCAATACAGACCACTTTAAAAACAATGCAATTAACCTCCGCTACTAAATATTTCTTAAAACCATAATTACGCTATCGTTTTCTCCCCTACCGAAGAAATTCGATAGGACATCGAATCATCGAAGATAAATGGAAACAATGTAGTGTCGTGTAACAGTCAACGTCCTCTGGTCAACGTCCAGGTACCTAAATCCGTACAGCATCGTCAAAAAAACAACACGACAAAGCATCGATCTAGCCCCTTTCTCTCTGCCAGATTATCACGGAAAAAAAGAGGAAATGCTCTCCAAACACGTCGCAAAAAGTGAAGAGTGAGCCGACCTTGTCCAACGAATTAAACGACATCCGCGAATGCCTCCGCGGAGAATAGGACGGTGTCTTTTTTAATTAAAATTCCTTTAGCCGGAGAAATGCTGGAGCAAGCTCGGCGGAAGGGACCCAGGAAGAGGAGCAGTCTGGAAGCGCTTTTAATTAGCTATCGGCTCGAATGTTTGTTACCGTTTGAAGGAGAACTGACCGAAGGAGGGAAACGTTGAAACGGCGACGGGAGTGGGCGAGTTAGTCGAGGGGAGGCCTACGGGGAGGAGGGCTGACGTTATGCAATCCTCCTGTCGACCTTCCCGGAGGAATTTATCGTCGCTTTTCCTCGATTCGTTTTCTTTTCGCGAATACGTAGTATTCCATTATTACTCGTACCCTCTTTCGCGCTTTTGAAATACGCGTTTCTATTGGAGACGTATCGCATTTGATCTCAGAATTCGGTAAAGGTTGGTTAAGATATTATGAAAGGGAAGGTAGATCCTAACCTTCCATCGCATCCCCGACGTCGGGGAAATACCTGAACACGCACCACGTGACACCTCTCCACTGACACCCGGAAACGTGGAACGGGAATTTAGGAATTTCGAAATTTGGGAATTTGGGGTTTGAAGGTTTGGACATTTCGACGTGCAGGAATTTAGGGATTTAGCAGCGTGTCGGTTCGAGAACTTAGAGATTTAGGAATCTAAAAATGCCAAAGCTTGAAGATTAGAAACTCTGGTAATTGAAGATTAACAAAATTGGGAATCGGAAAACTTGAGGAAGCTAGAAAATTTAGGTATCTGACGACACAGGAAAAATTCTAAAATCTAGGGATCTAAAAGTCCATGAATTTGGAGATACGTATGACTTGTAAATTTGAGTAGGACTAGAGCCTTGCCACGAAAAAGACCTTTCGAGAACTCCGTTACTGACCTTTGGTCGAAGGGTTGCTCACGTTTCACGTTGAATTTTACGCGCACATCGTCATATCACAAATATCACGAGTAGAGTCAAGTTCGAGCACGTAGGACGCTATCGGCGAACAGAGCAGGTAGGTCGCGTCACGTCTATGATCATCGTCGCGACCGCGAGCGTCTTCGAGAGTGTTATCCTCGTCGTTCATGCCAGTAGCACTGGCTTCCGCCGTTTGCCTCTGCTCCTGGTAGCCCCGTGCCCCTTCACCGCCATGATCGCACACGGTTCGTCGTCCGCCTCGTCATCCTTTTCGATCTTCGGTTACCGTTCGTCGAGGTGGTGCTCCTGGTCGCGTAGCTGTTGGCAGACTTCCCTCCGAGCCAACAGCTGTATCGCATAACGAACGGACACTCGGAGAACACGAACACGTACGCGTCGACGTTCCTCGGCCACTACGGTGGTCGACTGACGCGGGATTCGTCCGGAGGAGAATTCGCCGCGGAGAAAAAAGGGGTCGACCACTAGAGTGGAAGATACGCGATTCGTTTTCTTTTCGCGAATACGTAGTATTCCATTATTACTCGTACCCTCTTTCGCGCTTTTGAAATACGCGTTTCTATTGGAGACGTATCGCATTTGATCTCAGAATTCGGTAAAGGTTGGTTAAGATATTATGAAAGGGAAGGTAGATCCTAACCTTCCATCGCATCCCCGACGTCGGGGAAATACCTGAACACGCACCACGTGACACCTCTCCACTGACACCCGGAAACGTGGAACGGGAATTTAGGAATTTCGAAATTTGGGAATTTGGGGTTTGAAGGTTTGGACATTTCGACGTGCAGGAATTTAGGGATTTAGCAGCGTGTCGGTTCGAGAACTTAGAGATTTAGGAATCTAAAAATGCCAAAGCTTGAAGATTAGAAACTCTGGTAATTGAAGATTAACAAAATTGGGAATCGGAAAACTTGAGGAAGCTAGAAAATTTAGGTATCTGACGACACAGGAAAAATTCTAAAATCTAGGGATCTAAAAGTCCATGAATTTGGAGATACGTATGACTTGTAAATTTGAGTAGGACTAGAGCCTTGCCACGAAAAAGACCTTTCGAGAACTCCGTTACTGACCTTTGGTCGAAGGGTTGCTCACGTTTCACGTTGAATTTTACGCGCACATCGTCATATCACAAATATCACGAGTAGAGTCAAGTTCGAGCACGTAGGACGCTATCGGCGAACAGAGCAGGTAGGTCGCGTCACGTCTATGATCATCGTCGCGACCGCGAGCGTCTTCGAGAGTGTTATCCTCGTCGTTCATGCCAGTAGCACTGGCTTCCGCCGTTTGCCTCTGCTCCTGGTAGCCCCGTGCCCCTTCACCGCCATGATCGCACACGGTTCGTCGTCCGCCTCGTCATCCTTTTCGATCTTCGGTTACCGTTCGTCGAGGTGGTGCTCCTGGTCGCGTAGCTGTTGGCAGACTTCCCTCCGAGCCAACAGCTGTATCGCATAACGAACGGACACTCGGAGAACACGAACACGTACGCGTCGACGTTCCTCGGCCACTACGGTGGTCGACTGACGCGGGATTCGTCCGGAGGAGAATTCGCCGCGGAGAAAAAAGGGGTCGACCACTAGAGTGGAAGATACGAAAACGCGGCTAGCATCGGGGGAAAAAGAAGTCCGTCGCGCACGGGGGTGGCTGTCAACAGCGCCCGAGGTAGGCAACCGGACTGACTCGCGCTGCACGGTGTCGGCGACAGACAGCGCGACCACCGACCAGACAAGGACCGTGAAGCTGCACTCCACGGGGATGAAACGAGAAAGAAAATACGCGAGAGGTGGCTTGGAGCGAGCTGGATAGCGCGAGAGAGAACACCACGGATGGAGGGGAGAAAGCTCCGCGACACAAGCTCGGGCTGGTGGGGAAAGCGAAACCGGAGAGGGAGGCAACTAGTTTGAAAATCTGCGGGGAGGATGAAGGAAGGGGTATACAGTGTCTCTCAGCCTTTTTACGTCGTACCCTTTTCTTCAAATTTTCTAAATTCTTCGACTTTCTTAACTTTTAGATTTTTTAATTTATTGACCAACAGAGTCTTTCCTCTCCATCGTTTCTGTCAGTAGATTTACTATGGTCACATTCGCACCCCCGAAAGATTACAACCCACGATTTGGGAGTTACTGGTAACTTCAGAGAGAGAGGGTGGTGGAGGAAAGTGATTTGCGGACTGAAAAGAGAAAGAAGCAGTGAGGAAATATGTGGGGGTAGGAAAGTTGCGAGAGAAAGTAAACCGAAGGAAAGAAATATGAACGAGAGAGAAAGAGCTAATCCAGTAACGTGCGAGAAAGATGGAGTAAAGAACCAAATGCAGGGAGATAGAGACAGAATCAGTCGAAGAGTGGGACAAGTCGAAGGGTAGGGACACTTACAGAGAGCAGATACAAAAACACTGGGAACAGGAGAGAGATGGAACACTCGTGTTATTGGTGAAAAGAGACCGATTGGAAGTTCCGTGGAGAGAGTGGGATGCGAAGAAAATGGAGGGGAAAAGCTCGAGCGAAAGGGGAAGAAAACATGAACGTTCGACGAAGACAGAAAGTGTACGAAGGGGAAAAGCTCGACGAAAAGGAAGGGAAGGAAAAGATGGAGAACGAAGGGGAGTAAGTTGGTAGCGGAATAGAGAGGGAAAGGAAAGAACAGAGCCGTTACTAGATTTCGCATGGCCCGGGGCAATGGACGACATTATTTTCTATATTTTACTTACGTCATTGAATGTTACGTTACATCGGTGATGCACCGATAACAATTTAATCTCGTTATATTCTTACAGTAGTTGACAAAGGAAGTCTTCGCTTGCAACGATTGAAATTGAAAAATTTAGGAATATGAAGAATTTGAGTATTTCAAAGTATAAACATTTAAAAGTTTACACGCCGGGTGGATGGCCCCCTATACCGGTGCTAATATCGGTCCTGAGAAAGAGACAAGAACACTAGAGAAGCTCAAATGTTCATAGAAAGGGAAAGTTATACAAGATGAAATAAAAGGAGTGTGATAAGAAATGGGAGAATTTTATGGAGAGTCAAATGAGAAAAGTAAATCGTGCGATAAAAATGAAAACGAAAGTGCTTGAACGAAGAATCCGATACAAAAGAAGCAACGATTCGAAAGAAATTTTAGAGACAGAATAGAATCGAGGTAGAAAAAAACAAACGTTCGAATGAAAAACAAGAACGAACGAAAAAGGAAGAAAGAGGAATAAAGGAAAAAGGAGAATTTGTACGCTGCAGGGGTTTCTCCTTCAGCAATGAGTAGCAGCCTTCTGCTCGATGACTTCTCAAGTACCTTCAGACGGAATGCTTGTCTCATAATTGAATCGTTGTTACGAAGAAAAAAGAAACGCAAAGACTGGTGGTTTCCTTGAAAAATTCCCGCGTTTCCCATATTTATTCTCGGAGTTCCAGGTGGGGAGATTAATCCTTCAAACGTGATGTCCTCGAGACAGGGGCACGTGTTATGGATATAGTCAGTATCGACAAACGCTTTATACCTATCTGAGCTTCAACACCATTCAGAATCTTAAATACAATGGACAAATACGTATACTCGTGTAGAACTTATGTTTACTTTGAATAAGAATAAAGGAAAAGGGAAAAAACATTTTTACAATTTTTACAGTTTTCAAATTTTTTAAATTCCTAAAGTGCTAGATTTATAAATTTTCAAAACTCCTAAATTCTCAGATGTCCGATTTTTCAAATTCAAAAATTTTTTAATTTCCAAATTTGTTTAGCTGCCATCTCCAATCTTGCATTCTCTCTAACGAAACTCTTTTACATTAGCGTAGAAATAATTAGTCTTAACGATTCTCATCATTAATCATTCCCCGCAGAACAGTTCGCTTTCCTTCATTTTGTTTTGTTAATGGGGAAGCTTTAAAGTCGACATTCGCAAAAGGAGAGGAAGCATTCTCGAACGATGGAAGGTCAATTTCTCTCTGATCGCTTACCATTTACAATGTAGAATTCGAAAGACGATCGATCAATCGAGCCCCGTGGTATTCGACGCGCGATTAGAGCGGCGCATCTTTTCCATATTCCGGATCAATAATCGACGTATTCTTTCAGGACGATGGTAGAACGCATGCCGGTAGAAGCAGAGAAAGTTGCGGCGGGGTCGGACGGAACGTCGCCAACGCCTTGATCAGCCTTGGTCTGAACAGTACGCGGTTAATATCCGTCGTCGGTAACGACCAGCCTGGGAAAGCTATAATTAAAAGTCTAGGAGATGGTGGCCAGACCGTTGAGCAGTTGTCAAATATGAACACGGCTAGGTACGCGTACACCTCAACCGCAATCGTGTACACTCATATGCAACCTAGGTTCTCCTTGGTTAAGGAAGAGTACGCTACAGTCTTGCTATATGACAACTTGTTATATGAACCATAAGAGAACTTCCTTTCTCTTTAATAGCGCTCAAGAAGATTTAGAAATTAAAAGTTTTAAATTCTTTAATTTATAGGGATCCCTAGATTTAAATCTTTAAATCTATACATCTCTAAACTTCATATCCCTAGATATGTTTAACAGCTTACTAACTCCTATAACAGTTAACAGATTAAAATAACATTGAAGACTAGTATTGATTTTTAATATAAATTCTTTTACCATTTTTAGATATTTCTTTTTATGTTTCTTCTTTATTCTGATTTAAGATGTACCGTAATAATCGACTACCAAGGCGAGTGCCGTTTTGTAATCGATGAGATGGAAGTACTCGCCAGTATTAGCCCAAACTTGATAAAGAAGTATCAGTCGTTAGTAGAGAATGCAAGCTTCATCGTCCTTGATGGCAATATACCTCTAGACACTATTCGTTATGTACTGGATCTCGCAACGTATTCAAAAATACCAGGTAAGTACTATCTCTGTTTACTTTTGTTTATTGGAACGTTCATTCCATGCGATGAAACGTATTTTTAAAGTATACAAAATATAAAATTTGATATAATGTTAAAAATTATATAATACAAACAGATGATGATACGTGCTCATGTATCATTACATTCCAAAGATTCTTGGAATGTTTTATAACTATAATATCGATATGTATGAACAGTTTTCTTATTCTAAAGATATAGTTTACTCTAAAGAGTGGACGGAATTAAATAGTACATATCAATGAAACACACACAGATAATCTCAGTTACACTATTACATTACCATGTAATAGAGTAACTTTGAAAGCAGATCTAAAACTTTAGTCGAAATTCATTCTGCAATTAAATACTTCTTTGATACTATGCTTGCGACAATCAATTATATGTACCCTCCTCTGGGTAAACCTTGATGGCTTTGTGGGTTAGGCTGCATTTGCATAACTAAATTGTGAGATTCTTTGCGCAACCTGTAGCCAGCTTTAGCATCAAGATACAACAAAAATGCTGCTAACCAATGGAACATAAATGAAATCACTGCTAAACCATACGACCAAGATAAATGGTTAAAATTTGGATACATTAACCAATCTCTGCGCCAGCATTGCCCACCAAAAATGGACACTGCCAAAAACAGTAGTGTGCCTAAAATAGAAAGATTATAAAGATGAATGTTAGTACATAGTTAATATATTATATTGGAAACATGTTTGCTTACCTGCTGCTGCACAGCATAAAAATGCTGTTGCAGAGAGTAGCCACTCATAATTCAACACAAATTTCAAAGGCCAACGCACTAAAGTTAGTGCAATTACAACTTGGGCAAAGAATGAGAGCAAAAGAGCAAGAGTTACAAAAGCTTGTACTACCATTAGCCATCCTGGTATTAGCCACTCTCGAATTACAAAATATTCTTCAGAAAAGATATGATGACATCCATCAAATTGCTTGTCATACAGGTAATATGGATATCGAAATTGTTCAAAACAATATTCCCAAAGTCCCATATGTTTGAAACTACTAAATGTTTCTTGATAAGACTGAATCCAGTAGGGGCTAAAAACAAATCAGTTATATGTAATTATAAAAATAATGAATACAGTTATTACTACTACTTAAAAGATAGTTAATATTCATTGCTTGAATATTGAATGTTACATATACTTTTAAATTATGCTACCAAGGCATACTATCTACTACCATCTAAGTGTGACACTACCTTGAATATTAATGTCAATATTGTTTATTTACATATTGATTGATTTATAAGCAACTTTTTTTAATCTTTACTATTTAAATAATTTTAAGGTTTAAAGATTGTTACCTTGTAAATGCCATTACTAGTAATAAACCAGCAATGTATGTGATAACTCCCCCAAAAACTACTGCATCTAGTAGAGAAATATAATGAAAAGTTAGGAGAGGTTAAACAGTTTTGAATCGAGGTAATGAAGAAACTGTCTTACTTACTCGACGCACGATGATACTCTTGCTTATTAACAGACATGTCGATTACTTGCTTTATTAAGTATAAAAATTATTGATCCAGTTTAATGAAACGTTTGTTTATAAACTTTAAAAATACGGAGTTTGTCATGAACTTGCCACACCTTGCATTGCTTCTGTATTGCCAATAACGTTACTTGTTTAAGATGTTACTAGATGGCTCTGTCTGTCTAAATTTAGAGGTTTCCAAATTTCTATTCGCTAATGAAGATAACTAATTAATTAAGGTAAATACAAATAAAAATATATTTAAACATTTAATTTAATCTTTATTTATATAAGATATGTTATAAAAATGTACATAATGTGCTTGATTGGAAATAACGATTTTAAAGAAGACAAACATGGATAATTTACTAATATATCTAAGTTACAAGTCTTTACAAATTTGTTATATATAAAGTAACCACTGGCAGTGGATGTGTACACTGTTAAAATTGTATAATATTCAACAGTTTCTTATACGTGCAATCTAAAATAGATAACTTTGTTGCATACAACAGAGATTATTCTTTCCCAGATTGTTAAAACTCTTATTAAATTTATCAAAGTCTTAACGTTTGCTTTATGCAAAATTTGTTATTAATTTCTAAACATGCAAAAATGCACAACAGAAGTAATATACTAAAATGACCATACAGAAATATCTCTGTACCATCATCATGTCCTTTATGTATAAAAATGTACAAAAATACAAATCTTGTTACACAATTCGCTTTGTACTAAAAAATAAAAATCTTACCTTACTATTTACTACTATTAAAAACAACCTAATATATGGACGGAATAGTATTACAGAATTTTGGTACTATGGTATTGTGCAAGTCTTATATAGTAGTACTATTTTTTTCACGTATGAGACTCAAGTTGGATTTTTGTTTGTGATTCTTTCAAATATTGTCGCTTTTTACGTTGAACATATGCTTCAATAAGAAACAGTACACCTGCTATAACAGTCAATGTAGTGCCCACATCTGCTATTATAAATGACCAACCAAAGAAGTTATTGTCATGTCCAGGCATCCAATCTTTAGCATTTCCAAACGAAGCAAATATCAATACTGCTATTCCACCACTTATACCACCAACAAGCAATAGAACTCCAATTGTTGTTATAAGTTGTACATATCGTTTTTGTTCTGAATCACTGCATAAAGTGAAGAATAATATCAATATAAATGATATGAGACTGAGCAGGAAACACAAGGTATAAAAAAATTGTGTTGCTATCATGAATGCTGAAACAGGATAAAGATTGACAATTAGAAGATGTTGATGATAAAATAACAATGAATGTTTATATAAATTAGTAAAAACAAACTTACGCGGCAACAGAAAACCACGAATTTCAGAATAACCTGCTGTGAAAGGATCATACACCCATCTACAGCCGACGAAATAACGTCTGGGTGCATCCATCTCATTAGGATTTGGTAGAGATTTAAAGCAATGCGTCCATAGTCCTAATTTCTGGAACTTTGCATTAGTGATACGACGATCACTCACTAACCATGATGGTGTACCAAACGCAACGCATACACACACGAAAGCAATGATAAAAACACCGACGCCACAGTTGCCAGAAAAGCCTCGTTTCTTCATTTCGAAAACGCGTTTGGTGTACGGTGAGAGTTAAATGGTGGAATAGCGCGTATGACAAACAATTCAAATCCACCTGATCTAGTAAAGATCCCACGGTATTAACCACACCCAAACACGTTATGTTATGTGGTGACCATGTAGCAGACCGTCTAACCTAACCTTGTAAAGCTCAAAGTATCCCACGAGTGAAGATGCCAGTTACGTCTCAGTGAACGTTAGTCGATATACGTATTACAAACAAAAGGTTCTCAATCTGCGATTAAAATATACCCGATTCGGGAAATAAGACCGTACTTTAGTACACTTATGGATTTGGTATTAGCTAACCGTTTCAGAGGATCTATTGTCAAGAAAGAACGTTTAGGATAGGATTACGTAAATTTTATAGACAGAAAGAACTGCTGCTGACAGCATTGCATTTAATAAAGTTTCTCGCACTTTGCGTTATTGGATGTGTCATTCTGCCTATGATTCATTATGTAATACTGTTTCCATGATTTAATACATAATTTTCAAGGCTGGAGTGAAATAGTTCAGTACGTTCCTTAGAATTCCGGATTTTGGTTACAGTATGAAATTTTCAAATTCCAGAATTACAAGTTTCAAACTTGAAATGAGATCAGTGTTCATTCGGCCCTCTGCTATTCTGCGCACTAATCGTACCCCTTTCTCGTGCACAAACAATTAAAGATAATAGAACTGATTATTTACGTGAATACTGATGTAATAACAAGGGATGATTCATTAAGTTATTTATAATTTTTGCGATGTTATAATTTATTATTTTTATTACTGTCAAAACTATGCAAAATTGTTAATGAAACGTTTTTCAAACGAGATCGATATAATATGGGAAATTGTAGAAGTTGCTGATTAAAATAGAACCTAAACTGGGTCAACGACTTACATCTGACGTCGATCTTTGTACATGCAATCTCAGCCGTAATTCACGTTGAATTATTTTCTCGGATAACAAAATGGGTCACAACCTGACACTGTTTTTCCTTTCACAGTTTATTTTTTCCTGTAAATCTTATTTATCAATATTTTTCTATTAATAGTATTGTAAATTAGATCTTTTTTAAGGAAAATAACATTTTAAACAAGATATTTTATTGCTTTAACTTTTCATACAGTTCTCTGATATAAAAGAATAAAACAAATATATAATATTTGTTTACATTAAGATCATGCAATACTTTAGTTACAGTTAATACTAGTTATATTTACAGACTATTTGTCTCTTTTCATAAAATCTCTTATTTCTATGGACGGAATTATTAGCATTAATTATTATATAGAACAGATAATAAATGCACAATATTTGCATTAAATATTTTGTCCAAGTGTATAATACACTCTCTTTGATGTTATAATTTTTTGCAATTATAAAAAAGTACTTCAAAATTGTTACATAGTATCTCTGGATCCACTGTAAATAATTCTTACAAAAATAATGAGTATAAATATCAAAATATACAATGAAATCTTTAAAAATCTATGTAAATATTAAACTTAATTTAAATATATATATTTGAACTGAGAGCTATGTGCAGATCTTTGATAATGCAAATAACTTATCCATCAATGAATGTTCAATTTCAATTAGATAGTTGTATGAGTCTTCTGTTCTTGATTTAATATTCTTTCCTGCTTTTTCTTATATCTACGACCTTCGATCAAAAAGAGTACACCTGCTACGACCAACATAAAACTACCAACTACAGCTAATGCATAAGACCAGCTTATATCATTGTGCTCCCAATTGGGCATCCAATCTCTACCATCACCTCTTGCGCCAAATATTATAACAGCTATAATACCACATATTCCACCCAATAGTAAATTTCCACCAGTTGTCCACAAAAGCAACTGATACTTGTCATGATGGCGAGGACAACAGGAATATAATATAGTTAGGAAACATCCTATTAATAACAGAGTTAGGCACAATGTGAAGAAAAATTGAGTTGCAACAAAGAAGTCTGGTAGAAGAATATCATGAATTATATAATATTCTTCTTCGAACACCCACCAACAACCATAAAATTTAACATCATACAAATGATGAGGGTGTTCAAATCCTTGAAAACACACTTGCCATAATCCTGTAACAATGTGATTTTGTTATAACAAAGTACAATATTTAAGATACATATTATATAGTCTTAAATGTGCTAACACAATTCTTTTAATAAGAAATTTGTATTTTTTAGTATAATATAAACATTTTAAATTTGGTTACCAATTTTAACAAATTTTGGATTTTCCAATTTTCCGTCAGTTTCGAGCCAGTTGGGTGTGGTAAATGCAATCACGATCAAAACAAATGCAAGTGCTGTGCAAACAACAGCAGCTTTCCCATTTCGAGTTTTACCCATGATTTAATTCTTGATTTAATAATAAGTATATTTACTTATAGTTTAAAAATAAAAAAGTATTTTTGTGTTTTAAATACAACGTGTGGTTATGTTGAAATTTGTACACATTCTCAACCACTCTTTAATGTTCTCAATGAACTATAGCTTTGGTAGATGTCCGTCTGTTCCAGGAATTTTTGGCGCTCTTACAGCGCTTTGTATTGCGCGGGTTTATTCAAATTTTTAAATTTTTCGAAATTCGAATTATGCCAAAACTAATCAAGTGATGAGATATTCACTGCTAAAAGGAGTTAAGAAATAGCAACTGATACGTGATCTAACATTGCATATATATTTATTTTATAACAGTGCATAGAAAAATATACATTTATTTGATATGTTTCAATTTGTCTCTAATATATCTGTTTTATTTTTAGTATGGTATGAACCTACGGACATAAAGAAGGCAACTAAAGTATTTGAAGCAAAATCACAGTGGCAAAATGTTTTACACTTTATATCTCCAAATCGAAATGAGTTATCAGTCATTGGAAAATATCTTGGTATACCAGTACCAGAAAATAAATTAAATATGGACTTAGAAGAAGTAAAAATAATTGCAGAACAAGTGGCTGAATTTGTCCCAGTAGTTATAAGTACATTGGGATCACAAGGAGTACTGGTAAACATTTAATACTTAATTTTAAAAACTTAACATAGAATTTAACTAAAAATGTCTAATGTATAATTTAATACTGTTTTTTCCAGGTCGTACGTAAAGCCTTGGGAAATGATCCTTTTTATGATGAAGGAGGTAAATTGATTGCAAACACTATGATTAATTCTCGTTTGTATCCTCCTTTATCCTATGTTTCTGATGATTCAAATGAAACATTCAACGTAAGTGGTTGTGGCGATTGTCTTACTGCTGGAATAATTTATGGAATTCATAAAAATTTAGACGAAACGGGTTGTCTTTCTTTAGCTTTAAAAGCTGCTGCACTTTCGTTAACTTCATTAGATGCAGTCCCATCTTCACTCTCATTATTGTGCAATGATATCAAATCTTGATATATAGAATAACTATTAATAATAGATAAAAACATTATTGAGAAATACAGTAGTTCATATCCTAATGCATTTATCAAATAAGCTAGTTTATTTATATTTATATTAAGCTAAAGAATTTTTATCATTTTTTATATATGTATGTAATTAAATAATACTATATTTTTTCAATTTCTCAGAAAAATAAATTAATATAAAAATTTTAACAAAAGATCAACATTTGTGTTCTAATTTACTATATCACAGTTCATTCTTTTTCTTGCCCCATTTTAAAATAAATTCTTTAACATCAAATTTTCGTTTGCATCCTTCATAATTCATGTATCTTATTTTTCCAAATATTTGTCTTTCTGACCAACCTTGATCATGAATGCCACATATAGACCACATACAACCTAATCAAACAATTATTACATATTATTATATTATATTTAAATAATTATTATTATATATAAAATACAAAACTGACCTACATAACCATTAGGATCACAGCCATCTATACTGTACTTATTATTTAAATAAATAGCCCATTGTAAGGCACTTTCAGGAGATTCAGTCCATTCTAAAATTTTTTTTGCCCAATACATTCTCAGAAAACCGTGCATTTTGCCTATCATTACCATTTGATTTTGACATGCATTCCATAAATCATCATGAGTTTCAGAATTTTCTAATTGGTCTAAAGAATATAAATACTTTCTTTTATCTTTCCGATGTTTATCTAATGTTTCTATTGTCCAAGGATAAGCTCCTTCAATAAGATCATACTTTTTATTGTAGAAGCAAAAATTATCGCTTAGTTCTCGTCGAATAATGGCTTCTTCCATGAAAGATTCAACAGATTTTGGATGTATTTTTTTGTATTCCGTTATTTCTAAAATGCAACGTTGTACTGATATCATACCAAAATGAAACCAAGGAGACAAATTGCTAAGAGCATTTGCTAAAGGATCGTTGCGTTCGGTCGCATACTTTTTTATACCGTTTTGTAAAAAATTTTCTAATGCTTTGACACCATACTCATAGCCTGGCTTAGCCCATGTAATCTCATCTACAGACATATCTACTGATATATTTTGTAGAGCCTTTTCCCAATTATTTCCTTCAATCTTAGATTTTATTTTGTGTGGATGTTTTATAACAGGTGGAAATTCTGTTAAGAATTCCTCTAATTTTGTATTTATTTTACTTCTAATTGTTCTAGCAGCATATTCCTGCTTTGATGATGCAATCCAGCAAGGTACAATATTATGTGCATCCACCTTAAAGAGAAATATATGTGTATAAAAGTGCAATCATTTACTGATTAATAAATGTATTAAGATTATATTTACTTGACAAAAAGGAATATATTCAGGAAGATCCTTTTGTAAATCATTAATCCATGACATAGGTAATCTTAATGGATTAAAATCTGCAATCACAGCTCCCATTCTATGTGCTTTTACAAATTTTAAAATGCTCATATTTGGTTCACCATTCAAAAGATGAAAATTTATATTGAGATTTTTACATTCCTCCTCAACTTTCATTAATCCTTTTAAAAGAAATTTATAATATCGTATGGAAGCATAAAGAAAACTTGGCATTATACAGAAACATATATGAAGAGGCACATTATTTTTTAATGCAGTTCTTTGAGCAAAAAGCAAAGCCCAATTATCTAAAAAAAATAAAAGCTTTCTTTAATAATCTGGTATGATTAAAATAATGACTGAATATATTACATCAATACCTTGTACCCTAATATCACGAAACATCCAATATAAAATTCCTTTACAATCTTTAACATCATTTAGTTCACTTAAAAGTCGAACACGTTTTTTGTTAAAAGGAAATGTCATGATGGATTCAGATGCCTGAAAGTATAAAAAAAGTTTATGCAAAATTCAAGAGAATTTGTATATTTATGCATACTTAAAATGTCCACCTTACATTTTCCCTGTTATTTTTAAATTTTGTCAACAAGTCAGATCTTTTCTTCCGTTTAGGTGGACTCGATTCATCCATATCGTAATAATGTAATGTATTCTGTAAAGTTAAATAATATTTAAATATAAAATTATGTTAAAAACCATTTATGCACTTTACCTTTAAACTAAAGTAGTTATAGAGATATTGATACGTACTGTGTCTTATACTGTTGCTAAAACATTTTTCTTAAAATTATTAAATCATAATGCGCAATTCGCGTTTACATCTTACAATAAACTATAGTTTAGTCGGTTTAGCAAAATACCTATTACAGCGCGGGTAATCTAGGATTTAAAATCCACCAATCTAAGTTTATATACAGATATTTACATTTGCGCCATAGAATTTATACTAGTACAGTACTTGGTCTAATGTGAACTGTCTGACACGTATATTCGCAATGTAGAATTTTCTGGAGCCGTGAGAGAGGGGAAGTAACTTTTAAAAGGTTAGAATTCAGAAATACAGGTTTTCAAATTAAGAAATAAAGAATATATAAATTCCAAATTTCCAATTTGATTGAAGTTACACTAAACAGCAACCAATCAAAATTGGGCATCGTTTTACCTCATCCTGCAATGGCATCCCCCTTGCAACTATATTTTCTGTTTCTATACTCTATGTCGAGCAGAAAAGATAGAGGGCGTCACATAATACAAGAGAGAAACAGTAAAAGAGAAAGAAAGGAAGGAAAAGGAAAAGAGAGGAACGTACGAGAGAACAAGCGGACAGACTGGCAGACAGACCTGTCCGACTCGCGACTCGCGATCTCGTGGTTGCGTTTCAGCTGCTGTCCCGTGCCGCTGTTCACTAGGCACATTCGAGCACCAGAGGTCCGCGGCGTAGCAGTAGATTCTGTTCGGTGTAGAGAAAAACATACATATACAATATATATATACTAATCACACACACATACACTCAAGCATATATATATAATACGTATATACACGCATATATAGAAAGAAGGAGAGATAGAGAGAAAAGAAAAAGAAACAGATCGAAAAGAGAGTAAGAGCGAAGCGGGCGCCGTTACGATAAAAGAAGTTTTTCAGAGAGCGTATTCGGGAGCGTTCAATGGTCGAAGCAGCTATGCGCCACGCCGTCGTAGGACTCTTAGCTAGCTAGTTCGGACTCCGGGAGGTCTCGGGCCGCAGTTACGACCTCGAGAACGAGCGGGTTCGCCTCGCGAAGATGACCATAATAGTCTTTTTGATCGACACGTCGGCCTCCATGAATCAGAGGGCATATTTGGGCGGGCGACCCACACTTTTGGATGTAGCTAAGAGTGCCGTGGAGACTTTCGTGAAGGTACGCCAGTCACACAGCTTTCCCGGCCGGGCTCGTGGTTGCCAAGTCGTCGACTCGCACCATCCTCGAGACCAGCAACGTGTCGATGCTTTTATTCTCTTTACTATTCAACGCTGATCCATTTTTTTAGGTAAGACAAAGATCACCGGAAAGTCGTGGAGATCGTTACATGCTCCTGACCTTCGAAGATCCGCCCCAGAATATCAAGGTACGTTTTCTTCGTATTTCACTGCCTGTACGTTCTGCGTCTTTTTGTCCTTCTTTTTCCTTCTCTCTCTTATTTATAAGATCTTTTTATCTCTCTCTCACGTATGCTCTGTGTATTGGCCGTACCGTGTACAGTGCCCCATACGCAAAGGTTTTACGTGTTAATTTTCCTTTTGAACGTTTTTCAGTTTCTCTTTCAAACGCATCTATGATTCATTGTATCGCGCGGAGGGTCGATGTATTTGTGTTGATTGCTGCATTATTTGTGCTCTTTGGTTGCTGAATAATTAATGTGCAGTAAGAAGGCAACAAAATGCATCGTGCACTTGCCGTATCTTCCGTCCACCGTTACGGAAGAGCAGCATTGTGGGTAGTGACGCGCGAGTGGGGGGCCTACCCACGAGGGTCTTTCTCTATTCAATACGTGCGCGCCAAATTTATGAAAAGTGAATGATAGAAAATTGCTTCTGACAACAGAAATGTCATTATAGTGTTATTCTGTAAACTCTAGAGAACTATAAATGCATTATTATCCAGATTCCATCTAAAATACATTTGTATATAACATATAATTGAGGTTTACAAAATATTTTCTAGGTGTTAGATCTACCAAATTTTGCATAGTATTTTCTATCATCCTAGTTAGGTGTATTATAATCTGAAGTTGAGATTTTTTATTTCAGAATTGAATAATGGTGGTCAGGCTCATGGTTCAAAAACAAGCCAAGGTTGAAAGTTGTTACAAGGATTAAGGTACTGTCACCAGTTTAATGATGGTAGAGAAGTCACAAAAGAGTTTTCCATGTGTTAGTGGAGCCCAAGGCAATAAAGAATTAGCATGAATTCAATGGAAGTTGAAGAGATTTGGAATCTCTGGTATATAATTGATTAAAATCAATGCAGTAGGCAATTAATATGGATTTCTTTTGGCTATTCTTTATTGTCTTAATATTACATGGAGGTTCTTTTCGCTCCTCTATTATTGCGGAACTTCAGTGACAGAAGTACATGCCTCGTGACAAATTGAAATTTTGTATCTTTCTTGAACCATTAACCTTGTCATCATACTTGACAAAAATAAAAAATAGTAATAATTAATATATTTTTAGTATAGATAATGTTTTAATAATAAAGTATGATCTTATACTTTTGTCACATTGACAAGAATGTTTCCCACTCATATGTAAATAAAATTTAAAAGACAAATTTATATTATGAATTGCTATTTTTTTCTAGGCTGGCTGGAAGGAAAATCTAGCAACTTTTATGAATGAGCTGAAAAATCTACAATGCGTTGGACTGACAACATTAGGTGCAGCTTTGAAACATGCTTTAGATGTTTTGAATATAAATCGTATGCAGACAGGCATAGATACGTATGGTCAAGGAAGATGCCCTTTTTATTTGGAACCATCAGTAATTGTTGTTATTACAGATGGAGGAAAATATACAACCAACAGTGGAGTTAATCAGGATGTAAGTTTTAATTATCCATAAGGTACAAGTATGATTAAATATATATTAAATATTTAAATTTTTGTTAAGTTTACATTGCCAATGCATTCTCCTATACCTGGATCTGAGCTAACAAAGGAACCATTTAGATGGGATCAAAGATTATTTTCTTTGGTATTACGTTTGTCTGGAACACCAGCTGTTGAAAGAGATACTGGCTTGGTGGCAAGTGATTCGTCTCCCATAGATGCTATGTGCGAAGTTACTGGAGGTATATAATATTTTTTCAAGTATTTTTGTAGTTTAAATGTTTAACTTCTCTATTTGTAAACAATGATTATTTATATAATTCATTACTTATTGCAGGTCGTTCGTATTGTATAACGTCTTTCAGAATGATGATGCAGTGTATAGATTCTTTGGTACAAAAGGTTCAGTCTGGTGTAGTAATAAATTTTGAAAAAATTGGTCCAGATCCTCCGCCTTTAACTAACGAAGCACAGCATGCGGACGATGATGAAAACGAAGACGAGAACAATACAGTAAATGGAGTGCGAACATACCCACCTAATCCAACAGTACCAGGGAACACTGCATGGCATTCTTGTAGAAGACTGATTTATGTTCCAAGATCTGCACAGAAAGGTTTTGCAGTTGGATTCTGGCCGATTCCTGAAAGTTTTTGGCCTGACCTTAGTGCTAGTTCTTTGCCTCCTAGGTCGGCACATCCAAACGTGAAATTTACTTGTACCAGTCAAGAGCCTATGGTGATAGAAAATCTCCCATTTGATAAATATGAACTGGAGCCAAGTCCTTTAACTCAATACATATTAGCTAGAAAGCAACCAACAATATGTTGGCAAGTTTTTGTAGCTAACTGCTATAAATCAAGTGATGTAGGTCATCCATTCGGATATTTAAAAGCAAGTACCAATTTAACGTGCGTGAATCTTTTTGTTATGCCGTACAATTACCCAGTTCTGTTACCTTTGCTGGAAGAACTTTTTAAAGTTCACAGATTAAAACCAACAAACGAATGGCGAACGCAATTTCAAAATTATATGAGAACCATGCCCACTTATTATGCAGCGGTAAGTTTCTAACTGATCTCGTGTAATAATGAAATCATATGTGTTATTTTACATTTAATAACATTTTATTTTACAGTCTCTCAGAAGAGCTTTAACTAGAATGGGCGCTCCTGCACCACTAGCACAAACGTTAATACCTGATAACATGGACAACTCTTTATCCTATAGTGTGTTAAATTATTTAAAACGACTGAAGAATCAAGCTAAAATTGAATTTGACAGACTTTGTAACGAAGTTCTTTCTAAGCAACTCGTTAATGCCAACATGACAAAGAATTTAGTAAACGGAAGTACAACAACAATAACGGAAGGAGTAAGAGTGATACCTAGAACTCCTTTAAAGAAAGACTTGGTAAATATTACTTTTTGTCTAACAAATAATAGTGTATCAAGTATTTGAAGTACCTTCTGTAACTTAATTCTGTTTTTCACTTTATTAGGTATCACATCCATTATTACAAGACAAATTCACGGGATTGAGGGATCAACTAAACGAATTTGGCGGTTTTGTAGTTGGATTAGTTAGAAATCAACAGCGTGGAGCACACAGTTACAGGAACGCATTCGATGTACCGCGGAAATCTCTTTTAGATCAAGTTGTCAGAATGCGTGCCAATTTCCTACAACCTGGTTTGTTACATACGAAATTACTTGACGACGATTACGTTCATTCGATGCCTTTAGCTCAAATGGGAAATTATCAAGAATACCTGAAACGTATGACTCCGCCTTTAAGAGAAATCGAAAGTGCTCCTGTTAGACAACACATGTTTGGTAATTACAATTTATCAGTTAAATTTTTTCGAAGAGTTCACGTTCAAAGTGATTTATTTCTTACGATTGTATTTTAGGTAATCCTTTCAAAATAGATAAAAGAATGATGGTCGACGAAGCGGATATTGATATGGTTGGCGCAACGTCTTCGACATCGAAAAGTGGTCTTAAACGTTCGTTGCCCGCTTCTGATGGAGGGGGATCGTTAGCTTCAAAGCCACCACCGAACAAACGAAAACCGGGTCCAATTCCTAAAGACGTAGTTGTACGAAGACCGTCATATACACCTACAAATACTCCACCAAGTTCGCCGGTACCATGGGTTGATGAAACGAAGAATCAAGTGATTCCAACGGCTGATTCGAATCAAGTTCCGTCAACAACTACGAACTCAACACCTAGTGTATCGAGTACGCCGTGTGTGACTCCACCGGAGAAATTAGTAAACGGATTAGCAGAAATGCCGACCATACCAGTTTTCGAGCCAGTTCCCGTAGAACATACAAACAATCACATGGATGCTCCACCGACTTTAACACCGATTGTTAATAACGTTGAGGTCCCAAAGACCGAAGGAAAGACGGAGAAAAGTGAAAATGTTAAAAACGAATGTAACAAACTACCTCTTAACGATTGTGTTGAAAATAGTGTGAAGGTTGAAAACTCAGTTGACGAAAGGTTATCCAACCACGTCGAAGAAAAATGCGAGGCTAAAGTGGAGAAAGATAAAGTTTTAACGAAAAAAGAATTGGAAGATATCAGAAGACACAATTTGTCCGTTCGAGAACTTGTTTATAAGGAAGTGCGGAGAAGAGGTACAAGTAAGTTGAAAACATTATTCTGATGCATGAAACTGCTAGTATACAAACATTACAGACATAAGTTATGATCTACATACAATTTGTAATATTGTTCCAGATTATGCGACACTATTTTCACATTTACACCAAATTCAAGGAACTCTAGATATACGACTTGCATTTTTGCGAGATATTGTCAAAGAATCATTGCGATTTAAAAGGCGCAACTTGGCATCGTTACTAGAAGAATATTTGAAAACTATACAAGAGGATGGCTGGACTGTAAACCACAAAGTGAATCACAATGGTGCCACAAAAATAAGCTAAGATTTCATTGCATAATCAGGGCATTATTTCGATGACAAAAATTAAGAATTCGATAAACGATGTGGAAAGTATAAATAGGATACAAGGTACCCTAACAAGCAAGTCGTACAGTAGCGAGCATGGTAGGCTTCCCAACAGAAAATGACTATGTAGGGAAAAGAGACTCCGTCACTTCTTGGTTTTTGAATGATAAATTTTCAAATTTACATATTTGATCACTGAAGATCAAGTGGTGCAATCCCCTTCCTCTATGCTAGTCTTTATATGAAGGAAGCCTACGTTGCACCGGAGTGTACATCTGTATAACGTTAAGCGGACTAGTGTTTAAGGATGTATGTTGCCAAGGCATGTGAAGTGATAATAATTGTTAAATCTAATAAAACAAAATAGCATTTTGGATGTCAACCAGGGATATATAGCTTTCAGTGTTTTTGTTCTTGTTTTCAGTTTATGACTGTACAGTTGGTAGAAATATCTAAGACGAGTATGTTTATAGCGATAATAAGTTCAATTCGGTAGCAGTTCAATAATTTTACAAATATATTTTATGTGTTCATTAAATAATCAAAATGTTATGTTTCAAGATTTTTCACTTAATCAGTCAACATTAATGACTATCGCAAGCAAGTTCATTATTATAAATTGTTTAGCGTACGATATAAAATGTAATTATTTTAAAAAATTTTTCACTTAACGTTAATAAAAAATAATAATGTGTCATTTGTAGAACACTATTTGAAATTTTATTGACTTCTCGAATGCAGGCATTTGAGACCCTTTTAATTTGATATTATTTCCTGGATAATAATTATTAATTACAATTTAAGGTCTAAATTTCTCTATTTTGTGAACAAATCAATGTAAATATAATGTCCTAGAAAAAGTACAATGGTTAATTAAATAGCTTCATTCTACCAGCTGCGCAATCAAGAATATAAGTAAAAGAGAAATAGATATATTTCTTGTATTATCTTCTTTTTTTTCATATAAGATTTAGTACTGTCATCCAGAATATAAGTGGAAAACCAAATCCATCAGCACGTAACATGCTCTGTAGATTTTGTTATATATATATATATGTTGTTAATACTGTAAAGTTAAATCGAAGTGTAATTTCTATAAACAAAAGAAAAGACGCTTACGTACGAATTTTTAGAAGTTGAATACATATCTTCTGTTAAAAAAAGAAAGAATTGTAAAATTTTACATTTTGTAAGTAAGAGAAGTATACTATATTTGATTATGTAATTCTCTAAATTAAAAGACTTTAAAAATAGAACTTGTTTGCTCATGGATACATCTTTTTTTCTGATATTCAGTATACACAATGTTAGCTTTACAAACTGTCATAAGAATAAATGTTTATATTTGATATCTACTACTAAACTTATTAGACAATTTTTAATGAGGGGTTGACAGTGCCTAATGCTATTGAAATTACTATAAAAAGAAATGGTATTTATTTCTAACCCACTTTGGCAACGTTTTAATTTAATATAATTCTTCAAAGTCGTATTGAAGAACAATATATCAAAATGGCAATAAAAATACATCAAATTGCTAATAGAAACAATAGCAAATATACATAATCATCAGAAAATGTTTTCATTCCAATAAATTAAATCGACTTGCATGGAGGGATGTACAAGTTCTTTTAATCAAAATTGAACGCTTTTAATATAAGACAAAATTTGTACATTTCATATTTAATTTTTGATAGAAATTTGTTTAGTATTGGATGGAAACGAATCGGGAAAAGATGCAGAAATAGCAATGATTCGTGAACATTATTATAAAGCTAATGTCAGTCACTTGTTACTATCTGTAAGGAGTCATAGTGATTTGACCAAATATTAAATAGATTGTCCTAAACTAATTATCAGGAAGATTATCTTACAAATTGATCAGGTTTGTAAATTGTAAATACTTCATGTATATTGGAATCATACTGTATGTAAATATTGAAGAAACTTTTAAAGAGATATATTAATAAAATATGACATATCATCTCTATCATTAAATTACAAATTTATAAGATTTAAATATAAAGGGGCTCCTAAAAGTTTCTAATATCAGTTGTATGACTGATTTTGATTATATTAAAATCTACTTTTATATAAAATCATGTTTATTGTCCCTTTATATTTAAACAATGTATCTCATGTAAGATAATCGACCTGAAATTTTTTATGGGGACACTAAATATCTATATTCTGCTCTTTGTAAATGTAGTAGCAAAATTGTATATCAAATAGTATTTATTGATTGATACCGTTAAACGTTTAATAAATTATTTTATAATAATGGAGCTTAGCTGAGTCTCAAAGACAATGATGCTAGACGCTTATTGGCTCCAAAGAGAAATTAATAAGAAAGTTGAATGAATCTAACACAAAGTGCGATTCTATGAAGAATTAATAGATAATAAGGAGAAGAAGATGATAGAATAAGTAATATAATTATGAAACTTCTGTTATGCAAATAGTAATTTTTTAATCTATCAGAATTTATTCGATTAAATTAATTGAAGACAGTTGTAAAAACTGGTATAGAGTATTTTCATTAAGATGATGAATCTTATAGATTTATAAGAAAAGTTTGTTTATAAGTTTTTTTTCATAAAAATATGGAAAAATCAGAAAACTATACATTTCATACTTTTGCACCTTTAAAAAGACCTAAATTATATACTTTAAAAATAGGAACTAGGGAAATAATAGTATTCGAAGTTTTTTTTATATTGTAAAGTCCATTAAATCCAATTATTATTTAACAAATGTCTTCAATTTATTTCTACGTGACATGGTTTAAATTATAATTTACTATATCTGTTACACATTTTTATTGTAATATTCAGAATACATTGAGTTAATTATTTCTTTCGTTGTACCTAATGTATTAATATGTGCTTTGTTGTACATATATCACTGTAAATAGATATGTATTAATGGTTACTATTAACAAAATTCATATTGAAATGATTGTTCCATTTTTACGTTTATATTTTAAAAAAGAAACATAGCAAATGAGCTGAAAAAATAAATTGAAAAATCATTGAAACATTATTTTATGATTCATTATTTCTACATGACATGATAGTTTAAGTGATAGAACAAATATATTCAAATATAAGAAGCAATTCATCATTAAAAATTTAGGTTATGTATACCATTTACAGTATCTACACTTCATCTATATTTTACATTCAATGCTAAATTAATTTTGGTACGACTAATTTGCATACAATGAGAATATAAAAAGATTAAAGCTTATGCACCACATGATTATTAATCATTTTTGTAGGCCAAATATCAATGACATTTCTCACACTGTCATTAAGATTTACATATATATGTCTATAACTTTTATTTACAAAGTGATTAAATGCAAAATCTAACTAATTTTAACTTTTAAAATGCGCAAAGAATTAATGTGTTTAAATATATAGGCAGAACTTTGGGATTAGTCAAATCCCAAATCTTAGGAAATTGATAAACTTAGTATACACCAGGATGTTTCTCTTGCATTGCTCTATAGAAGTGAGATAAGGACAGCAGCTAGGTTGACATATAAAAATGCGATTTCGTTGTTTAAAGATTTTGAAGTGAACAACATTTCCTGATACTTTCTCGAAATATTTCTTATTTAATTGTACAAAGGCGATAGAGCCTGACTTTGCAACTTACTTAACATTTTATATCAAACAAAAACATAAAGTGCATTCTTTTTAGTTTTAAAAGCCATGCTGCAAAATCAGGATATGTAGCACACTCTATAGTTACATTACAAAATACATTAAAAATCGGAGCACAAGAAAATATTTCTTCAAATTCTTGGAACAACGAAATCACTACTGTCTTTGTCACATTTTCAGGAGGCAATTTAGGAGCAGCAAAGATCGACGAAGTTTCTTAGTTTCGCCGCACGAGGCCCCCAAAATCAATTCGTATTTGGCCTGTCATTTCTTTAAAACCATTTAATATTTTCATTAATCGTACAATAAATATTAATGACCGAATAAAATCAGATAACGAAATACTTGTTAATCGTTGTAACATGAAATCATTGTTAGAAACATATACGTTTGAAAATTTATAGCTCGTAAGTTGAAGAAACGAGAAGTATCGATAATTACAATCGATATTGCAGACTTTTAAAAAAATTGGCAAGTAGGATGTCCTTTGGAAGGGATGAGAGACGGTGGCCGAGAGGCTCACATCAAAATGGCCGCATTTTAGTCTACAGACGATTTTTCTTTACTGTTTGCCAATAGCCGCGTAAAGGGCCTGGCAGTGTTTCTTAAAGTGGCAAATCTGTTTCGCTGGAAATTTCGCCGTTGAATAACTTGAAAATTTTCGTGAAATAGAATAAACTTCGGTAAGAAAAACTGACCGCATAGTTTCGCTGCCAAATAGCCGGGCCAAGCCCATTGTCTATTGACTAGTTCATTTAGAGAAAAGAAATTTTTTCTATGACCAACGACGTTATATATACTGCCTATGAATAAATTTTCTAAATTCTATTTATGACATGAACAGCACAACATATATTTGTTAATATTGGCAAATTTAGTTGTTGTTTTCAAAACTTACGAACTAATTTTTTCCTAATATATTGCTTCAGTTTAAATAACCAAAATTGTCTGAAAAATTATGGTATTAAGTTTTTTGAGTATGAATATTTCTGTAAATTAGTTTTTAAGTTTTGATCATTAATGCTCATATAAAAAGGAACATTTATTGTAAATGTATCATTTTAAATTAAAAGATATGTACATTTTTTATTTGGTATGATGTTTTGTCGTCTTTAATTTCAGGTTTTGCATAATATTTTACATGATGTTACGCCATCAACATCATACAATGCAAAACCAACTTCGAGATCATAACAGGTTTGTAACAAATAATTTAAAATTGCATTATAATTTTATTCAATATCTATGCAAATGAATTTGTATCATTTAAAGCATAATGTAGGAGGATTATGCAATATATGATTAAATGTTTTTACACATAATACTCACTATTAAATGTTGAAATTTGAAGAATTGTTCTTTTTGATATTTTATTAGAATGGGTGGTCCGATGCGTCCCATGCAGCAGGCAAATATGGCCCCTTTACATCAGCCGCAGCATCCGTTATCGCATCGGAATCCACATCAACCAATACTGTCCATGCCCCCCCATCAACAACATATTCATCATATGCAGCACCCTGGACCTCCTCATGGAAATCCACGGCAACCAATGTTGATGGGCATGAATGCGCATAATGTGAATGGTAGTATTTGATAAACCTACTTACTATAAGTTTCAAATTACAGTACTAATGTTCTTTGCATTCCTTTAGGTACTATGGTTAGCGTTAGTTTAAAAGATCAAGCAAATACTGTCTCTGTGACTCTACAGAATCCAAACGTTCAGCCACCACAGTATCAACTGCAGCAGAATAATCAACCAACTCCTCCACCACCACAACAACATGTTCATCAATCGCAAAGTATAGAACCGAATAAACCACCAGCAAATGATACTAACAATGGAGAGTCCAGAGATCAGAATTCACCTACACAGAATCACGTTAATGTGACTGATTCAGCTTTGGCAAACATGAAAGAAAAAACACCAATGTGCTTATTAAATGAGTTAGCACGTTTTAATAAAATTCAGCATCAATATAGGTTGACTAATGAACAAGGACCAGCGCACAAGAAACGATTTACGGTAACATTGAAGCTAGGACAGGAAGAGTACGTTGCTGAAGGTCCTAGTATAAAGAAGGCTCAACATAGTGCTGCGACCGAAGCGCTAACAAAAACATGGTATCGAAGGCCTTTACCGAAACCTAGGAAAGCAATGAGGGTTGGCCATCCAGGGAAATGTTTCAGTGGTTCTGGTAATTACCTTTCATAAATCGTGATAATAAGTGTAAATTTTCGGAGCTTACAGTCCGGATTATTTGTTACAGGAAATCTACCGCCAACCGTTGAATTAAATGCTTTGGCTATGAAAAGAGGGGAACCTACTGTTTATAGTTTTCTATTGGCTCCAGTACCAGGGTCACAGCCATATCTTGCACATAATTTAGGGCATCTTCCTCGAATATTTAATCCACGTTTTCCTACATACAATCGTGGTTTTCATGCTGAGCCTCAATTGTATATTGTATCATTAAAGGTAACAAACTTAAGATATGATAGTTATTACATAAGTGGTATCAAATTTTATTCACTTTAACAACGTCTAGGTAGGAGAACGTGAATTTATTGGTAGAGGAATAACAGGCCAGGCAGCACGACACAATGCAGCAAGTAAAGCTTTAGAGCAATTGCGTCAATTGCCAATACCGGAAGAAGTAGCGAATACTTGTACCACCGGTGAGAACGGTACATTAGGTGAAACTAAGGATCCGATTGCTGAATTGAAAAGCCCTGTTTCATTGGTCTATGAGAAAGCATTGAAACATGGTTTACCCGTTAGTTTTGAAGTTGTATCAGAAATCGGTAAACCTCATATACGGACATTCAGAACAAAATGTACTGTTGGAGATAAAGTTACGTTCGGAGAAGGACCTTCAAAGAAAGTAAGTCTGTATTTAAAATATAAGGTTTTGTTTTGCATTTCAGTTTCCATTTATAATGTATTGCTATATGTATTATGTATTTATAACATAGGTATCTAAAAGACACGCGGCAGAGTTCATGCTTGAAGAGCTAAGTCGTCTGCCTCCATTGCCCGAAACTATTCAAAATCGTCCAAGGCGAATGAAACGTAAACCGCCAGCAACGAAAAAAAAGTCACGAAATCTGATAAAAGATTATCAGGAACCACGATCTGAAGCCGAGGGTACTGAAGAAGTTAATCCAGTTTCTCGATTGGTTCAGATACAGCAAGCTAAGCGAGAAAAAGAACCTGTTTATAATTTGATCGAAGAAAAAGGTGCATCAAGACGAAGGGAATTCGTTATTGAAGTAACTATGGGACAACATTCCGCACAAGGAATAGGTCCTAACAAGAAGTTAGCTAAAAGAGCCGCAGCAGAGGCTCTTCTAACTCAATTAGGTTACAGCAAACCACAACCGCAACCCACAAAGCCATCGATTAAAACAGGAGAAAGCGAAAATACCGAACAGAAACCTAGGAAAGTCACTTTCTTAGAAGATGAACAAATCAATGAAACTCAATCTCATCAACCAGTGGGAGGTAAGATAGAAAAAAATATATATTTGTTAAAAATTATGAATGGCAAAACTTAATATATTACTTGGTGTACATGTTATTTGTTAAACGTGTCTTGAAAATTGATTGACTTTAATCAGGAACAATTGGACGTCAGTTAGTACCTGGACTATTATTAGTGGATGGAGGTCAGGAATCTAAATTAGGCAGTGGACCTAGTGTACAGATTGTTGCTGAAGAACTGCGAGGACAACAGCAACAAAATCCAGCCACTGTTTCTCCCAAAGATCAATTGAAATATCTCTCTCAATTATTTAACTTCAGCGTGGAATTCAATGATTTTCCTAAGGTAGATAATGTTATTCCAATCTTGTTCTATAATTTGAAATGTGAACTAACAGATAACATGTCATCCTAAATATTGACGTTTGTATCGAAACAGTAATTTGAAACGAAAGGTAAAGGATTTCAAGATGATTAATTGATGAAGCTTCTCTATGATGATTCCAGGGAGCAGTAAATAAGGAATATCTGTCGCTTGTAACATTAAGTACAGATCCTCCACAAGTGTGTCATGGTAATGGACCGACAAGAACTGCAAGCCGTAATCAAGCTGCGTTGAAAGCTTTGCGTACATTAAGTAAGCTGGGTCTCGATAATGGATCCAATTCACAACCGAAAAAGGATAAAGGTGCGTCTGGAGATGGCATACACATTAGCATTCAAGTTAAAAACAATATAATGGATGGAACTATTGATAAGTAATTACATAGTATCTAAGATAGGCTTACATTAAGTTTAATTTACATTGCCCCTTTAAGGCATTGCAAAGGAAAATTAACTTAGATATTTCATACAGTCATTAATGAAAACGAGAATATTTAAGGATTTAAGATAGATTTTTGAAAAGTGAATGATTTCATTTAAGGTTTAACATTAATATTAGTATTGCCTAATTCTAATAATAATATTGGGATTAAACCTGTAATGAGATTGTGCATGATAGTAATTTTTTAACTATGAAGTTCTTATGATTGAAAAGGTTGGTGAAATTTTCTTTAATTTATTAGATGAATTAACACAAGCCTTTAACATTACATTATTTTATTGTACTTTTAATGTTTATCTTCTTCTTTTCCTTATCAAGATTACAACTTTTTGTTTTCATTAATATGTGTTACGTTTTATGTATTATTTTAAAATTATTTTTATGTAGTTTTAATCATATGTTTTACGTTTATTAATGCATTTACATATATTACAGTTGTTGAATGAACTATTCGGAGGGAAAATGACTCTTCTCAATCTATCTCTCTGGGCCTTATTACACGGTAACTTCAAACATTGAATCATCGATGACTCTCGGTCTTCGTACGTTACGCCATTGCTTCTTTAACATAATGGATCGCGAATTTTGCAGATCAGTAGCTTTTTATGAAGAATCAGTCTTTTGCAGTGCCTTAATTGCACGAAGAAAATGCTCAAGCACCAATAAAGATGGATCACTGATAAACGTTCAGAAATATTTTTCTTCCCTTTTTTTACAAGAAATAATCGATTGCAGTAATCCTTGGAAGTAGAATGTCTGTGACGATTAGAAGTGTGGTAAAAAAACGTAAGTTTCGCTTATATAATTTAATTTAGTTTTTTGCGCTTGGAAATATAGTATTGTTGAAACGAGAAAAATTATTGGTGCTTGATCAGAATTGTGATCCTAACAGTGATCATCGATTCTATTTATTATAACAGTTTCATTGATAGGATCACGATCAATGAACGTAAATTGTTTCAATTTCGTAATTGAAATGATCATTTTCCAAATATCGTGGTTTATGATCATGAAAACATCGTAGAAACAACATTAAGTGAGAATATTGAAATCTGAGATGAAATGCGGCCATCTCTTAATTTCTCTATTTAATCCTTGGCTTTCTCATTTCTTGCGAATAGAATGTCTGTTATATCTTATTACCTAATACGAGCACGCACCGATCAGCGAAATAATTCATGGATCTAAGAATGACTTAAACGTGAGTCATCTTATCGTGTACCAGAATATTTCGTCGTTTTAAACTTTCAATGATGATTGTGTTAAAATTGTGTATAACAATTGATACAAAAAATGCGCATCTCTTCAAAACAAGAGCTAGAAGTTTCAGAGAGTTACGTGTATTAAGCGTCTTCAACTGAGTAATTAATTGTTTATAATTTGTAACAAAGATATAAACAGGTCAATACTTTTGACCTTTATCTCTTTGTTCATTGATAATGCTATAATCTTAATTGAAATATTAAGAGTAAATAAGTGACAAAACATGCGATAAAAATTTAGAAACTGGTTGGAGACTCTTTGAACGTAATCAATTATAGATTAACAAATTTCTGTTTTCAAATTTGTAACATTGAAAAAAGGTAACGTGATACGTTCATATTACTGCCCCAATTTGCTTTTCTACGGGGCCTAGAAGCACTCTGGGGTCATATTCGTGTTTTACAAGGTATTGAGAAGTAAAGGACATTCAAATTTTCATACATCCGTTATCCAGAAGAGAGAGAAAAAAAGAAAAAAAAAAGAAAAAACTTACAGATAATATGGATGTATTGGAAATTGTAGTCAAGGCGGTAATAATTCAAAATTTGTCCCGTTGCGACACGATTATTAAGAAGGCACAATTTGATTTTATCCTAATCAAGAAAACGATAAAACAACGTTGTCGAATTTTGTCTTATTGCCGACAATTTATAACGATACTAAGATAATGCTGGAGAAAAGAGGAGTATCCGATAATGAATGAAGATAATGTTAAGAGATAGATTTCGTTTCATCTTCGCTTAAAAACAAGGAAGAATACGATATCGTATTTCTTTAAAAAAAAGGCTTATCTTACATTCATTATCCTCATTACATTATTCAATAGGATTTTTTGAATGTTAACGAACCGTAAAAAAACGTATACAAACGATTGTTAAATTTCAGTAATATATAATCATAGAGATATAAGAATTGAATGTGTGAACGGGCTGAAAAAGTGATACATATAGGAGTAGAAAAAGAACGCTGTTTATGGATTTCTTTTGTGTCTTCGTCACATAATGATGCTCATTGCGTTACATTGTGCAATTCAAAGTTAAATTTATTATTTATGTAATTCACGTTTCATTAAACTGTGGAGCGTTTCTACTCTGTAGAGATTCGTAATCGTCGCCAATGAACGAGTGTGCATGTGTAATTAAACAGGAACATAAGAAGACCACACACAGTGTCCCTTTTCTAGCATATGATTCGCACATTCTGTTCTTATATTTCTATGTGTATATGATTGATTGCTTACCCCACAATCTGTAAAGAAAGAGAAGGATTGCCTGTATTATTATAAATACTTTTTTTCTTTCAGATAACCTTTCGTAACGCGATACCTTCCGAAATAATTTATAGGTTGCTCGAGGACGAGTTAATGAATGTTCCTTTTTCTGAGATATCGCTTCATAGGTGGGCCTTCCTTCTTCACGTGGGATTCACTGTTCCGAATAAAAGAAATAAATGGAAAAAATACTAACGACAGCATGTTTCTCATAGTTTGTTTATTTTTTATTTTTTATTTTATTTTCAATAAAATGAAACATGAATCCTACGAAGATGTAACCCTGTTGCAGGACCTATTTTATCCGCGTAAACTGTAATACAATAGTTAGTCGTAACAATAAGTGAATAAAGTATTAATTACTAAGATGTGTGAGATGGAAGTATCTCGAAGGAATATGGAAATAAATGTGATTCCGAGAGATAACAAATAATAAAAGAAGAGGTCATGTTCTAAACATTTATTTTACAATGTAATGCTTCCCATTTAAATCTGTAACTATCGGACAGACGTAACATTAGTTTTGAAATCTGTACGCTTTTAATACGTTGTAAATTATGAATTGGCAGCGACATAAATACTGTATTTCATTTTTGCGCTTTAATTTATTGATACACGTGTGTGCAAAAGTAACAACTTGTAATATTTGACGGTCATTTATTTATGTTAATGTGATTGAAAGTGTTAAGTTTCTTTAAACAATGTTATACCGATAGTTAGAGATCATTTTGGCGAAAGCAAATAAAAATAGGAACAGTTATCTGAAAGTTTTTGTTAGAAACTGCTACATCAATTCTATCATGTAATGCTGTACATGTTTACATCGAGGGAAATGAAAAAGACGATTAGAACATCCTTTTTTTTAATAACGAATCAAAGGTGATTATGATATACGATTATTGTTTTTAATGTTGTGGTATAGAAAATGAAAGTTGTGCGTAAAATAAGTTAGTTACTTTGTTTCTCTTATTCATTCCTTCGGAGAGTACAGTTGTAAAATGTGATTTTCAGTAACGTCGATTAGAACAGAATGAACTTGTCGAAAAATTTAAAGGTAGATAATGGCAGTAAAGATTTTACACTGATAAAGTTTTTTATGCCGAAGAATCGTTAACTCTGTTTTAAAAAAGTGATTGTTTAATACGTAGATATCTACTGCTTATTTAAACTTTATCGGTTTGTATTTGACATCAATAAACGAATGTAAAAACGTTAAAATCGTATTACATTTATTTTCTATATACAAATAGTGTGCCGTCGAAGTTACGTTTTTGTATTTCGATAACGAGATTTCGAAATGGATAGTCTGAACAATCGATCAATCGACTTGCTGTGTTCGATTCAGCGACATCATTGATCAAACTGGATCAAACACAAAAATTGTAGGTTATATTCGTGCTAACATTGTTTAGCAACTGAAATTTTTCAAAGAACATGCCGAATTAAAATACAAATGATTTTATTTATCAAATAATGTGAAGTGCTATGTGGAATATGCTAGTTTGAAAATAATATTATTTAAATCATGCAACTTCTCAGTGAGTCCAGTAATATGAAACCGTGATAGGTTAAGTTGTAAATAAAAGTATTAAACATAAAGTTTCTTAAATTCTCCAGGTATATGTTTTGGAGAAAAATAAATTGCTTGAAAAACTACCAGGAGGAAAATAAATAAGTGAACATGTTTAAGAACACTTTTCAAAGTGGATTTTTATCAATTTTGTATAGTATTGGGAGTAAGCCCTTACAAATTTGGGATAAGAAAGTAAGAAATGGGCACATAAAACGGATTACAGATAATGATATACAAAGTTTAGTATTGGAAATACTGGGTAGTAATGTGAGTACGACGTACATCACTTGCCCAGCGGACCCAAGAAAAACTTTGGGAATAAAGTTACCATTTCTGGTCATGATAATTAAGAATTTGAAGAAATATTTCACGTTCGAAGTTCAGGTAGAAAACATTTGACTATTCAATGTTAACAAGATATATCATCAAACATTAAACTTTGTCAAATTATTTTTTTTTAGGTGATTGACGATAAGAATGTGCGGCGTAGATTTCGTGCCAGTAATTATCAATCCACCACTAGAGTTAAACCATTTATTTGTACAATGCCAATGAGATTAGATGATGGATGGAATCAAATCCAGTTTAATTTAGCTGACTTCACTAGACGCGCATATGGAACCAATTATGTAGAAACGTTAAGAGTTCAAATTCATGCAAATTGTAGAATACGAAGAGTATACTTTTCTGACAGACTGTATTCAGAAGATGAATTGCCTGCAGAATTTAAGTTATTTTTACCAATTCAGAATAAAGCTAAATGTTAAAACAATGGTAATTTCTTGATACTTTAAAATAAACCATTCATAAATTGATTAATTTACAATTTCCATTTTCTTTTTCAGTGAATACTCGATAAATCATTTGTTATTTTCCATCTGTTTACATCTATAATAAATTTATAACTATTGCATATTACATAGAAATAAAATTTCAATCAATTAATGTCTGTTGCAAAATTTCCTGAGAGATTACTTAGAATAGTTTGTTTTAAAATTCTGTTGAAAATAAATATTGACTAATTCACTACAACTTTGTGACGAATCTTTTGAACGAGTTTTCTCGTAAGACTGCACTTGTTCTCTTAAAAAATAAACATTATTTTATTCTTGTAACTCGTATATACATATTTACATTCTTACAGTTACACGCACAAGTGCGCAACAGCAAACGAACGAACGACATTATTCAGCGTAAACGATGTATGATCACCGCCGCGGTAATTCTACTCTTAATTCTCCTTACGACCGACATAATTAAGATCACATTTTTATATCGAATTCGAGATAAACTTCATGTTCCAATTAAGGGAAAGTATATAACGGCCCATAAAATCAGGAGTATCAACAACAACAACATCAGCTTCGAACGAAAACTGTCCCATCCAACCAGAATATACTTTGGTCTCGGCTGCTCATCTTCCAGCAAAGAAGACTAGAAATACTATTCGTGAGAAATACACAAGTACACAATAATATAGCTAAAGGATTATAAATGTTCTTACATCGCTTACATCCTCATCGATGTCTTCGCTCCCTTTCAGCCTCTGAGTGCTCAAATTCTGATACATTTGTGTTGTTTTCTCTCGAGTAGTCTTCGATTTCTTCTGACTAGTTTGCGGTGTCTTATTAGATTGTATCCTCGAGGGTCCAGGTTTGTCCAAATTGGTCAGTCCAATGGTCACAGCGTTATCTATTGTTCGCAGTTTCTTTTGTGTCTCGATCTTTTCTGGTCTCGTGGTTTCTTTGTTCGACGAACCACTCGTTGATTCTTCCTTTGTCACTTCATCGTTTCGAATGTCGTTCCGTCGAATTATCCTGTTGACAGGATGTCGGATTTGAGACAGAAAGCTGTCCAAGTATCGCGAAATATTTCTGTCCTCGTCCTGCTTCAGGTTGGCGGTTGTTCGGTGTTTCCTTCGAAGCATCCACCGGGAAATTCGAGTGGCGGTATCGGGGCGGCAACCACAGCCACTCTCTTCGAATACGTTGAACTTTGTACGCGAGTGTTAAACTCGAATCTGCTTGGGTCTATCTGTTGTGCTACGAAAGACGCGCAGATTAGATAAACGTGTCTTAATATTACCCTTGTTCGTAAGTATAAAGCATAACCAGACGCGAAAGTCTGTTTCGCGAACGACGTTCGTTCACGACAGTCTATTTGTTCGAAGAAAACTTCTGCAAATACCTAATGTTTAACTTTTTGTTGACAGGTTCATTGCTAACCACATGTGGATGGCGCTTAAATTGGCGTAGGAATTCTTTTATTTACCTTCTTAAATCATGGCTAATAGCTTCCTACAAAAATTGTAATTTCACCCACATATGGAAATACAGGAAGCAAAGTCGATAAGGTTCGTTGATTGAAATCGGTTGAACAACTAAAGATATCCGTACACATGTACATTACGTGTGTAAATAAAAATTACACCTGCCTGGTACATTTGTAAACATCATACGAGGGATCTTGTCGATGTGGAGTGAGTCAGTCAGGTGTTAAGGAACGAGCATAAAATGTTATTACTTCCAAGGTGTGGACGAGGTCGTGTCTCATAAAATGCAGCTTCGAGGTTCTCTGGCTCTTTTCTCTTATCCAGAACAGCGATTCCTATAGAACCGTCATCGTGTCCTTCGCGAAAACACGTTTCAAAGAGCGTCATATATTTGCGGATAACTTCCAGTAACATAACGCGAACTATTTGCGATAAGTTTCACGTCTGTCATTAATTTTAGAGCGAACTATCACTAAGCTTGTTATTGAGTTTAACCAAGAAAAACAGTATCTAACTTACACATTGCTGCGAAGTTTCTTTAGGATTTATTTTCAAACTGCAAACACGATTGTTAATCTCTCAAATTGCAAACAGCCTATAACGAAGATATTACCTATAGAATAAAATAATATTTCTGTATTAGCTTCGTAGAAGATAGGAAACCACTTTTATCAGGTAACAGTTTTCACGCCCGATTATCGTGGTCAGATAAGATTTTTATTCATACGTGTTTATTTATGTATGTCCGATAGAAGAGTAAATATCTCGGAATGTAGTACAATTATATTTTATTTAGTTATGTACAAATACTTTATAAAAAAGGAATCATTGGTTACAAAGTCAACAATACTAAAGTCAAAAATACCTTCTCGAATTAGATTAAAAAATCGAATTATATAAAACTCGACCAGCGTACAATATTCCTCGTGTTGCTATAATACAGCTCTGTTTTCCTGACACCGTAATTTGAAAGAATATAAAAATAGAGACTAGCATTAATATATTAAATTGTCCCGAAATTAATGCAAATTCTGTCGGTATTGCAATTTCAGCAAACTGTGTTTCTATCAAATTTTCAACTCGATAGAACTAAAATCTGCATTAATCTCCGAACAATCTAACGTTACTCTGACGGGAAATACTTTTGTACATTTTTACAGAAACCACCACATCCGTTGTACACTGTCACCTTCAACACCGGGGAAGAGAATAGCCTCTTCATATTTATCGTGCACTATCGAAATCTCTGCGTTCATAGCCATTCTCGAAGGACGGACTTAAATATCTCCGATACGAAAATTTCTGATTTGCTGAATGATAGCGTCGAATGAGCTTCCGAACGGAAAGTCAGTCTGCAGTCTGTCGGTCGACGGATCGTTTACAGAACTCGATACTGAGCAAGGCAGGTGTAGACGATCACCCAGATCACCAGGGCGACGATCACAGTGACGAGGAAAACGGTTTTGAGAAAGTGCCAAGGACTTTCTAGTCGGGTTTCGCCGCGGTTCCAACTCTTGCAACCGCCGTTTCTGCAGGGGATGCTCCCGGGCTGTGCGGGCGTCGAGGTCGCGACGTTGCTCGTCGGAGGCGACGCCTTCACCTCGCCGAGTTCTGTTTCATCCGCGCTTTGGTCGTCCGCCTTCGTCAGCTCGAACCTCGACGGACTCTCCATCTGTAAAAACCGAATGAATTATCAAATATTTTATAAACTGATTGAAAAGGTGTTTGGACAGTCTTGTTTGCACAGTTGTGTTGCAATATTAAATTAACTCACTGTCTGCCACGCTGAAATAATTGAAAATTGCATCGAGCGGTGTTTTAGTTTTTAATTAATTTTATCAAATATTTTTGCAATATCTTATTACATTTTCCATAGATCCATGCAATTAATATCCATGTAAAGAATTTTTTATGGGGTGAACAAATTTTTAGGAATACTCATGTTAGATCAGTTTAGAAATTTAAGTATCATATGGATGACGTGGCAGTCAATGTGTTAACAGGTTTAAATACATTTTTGTTTCGATGGCGAACAGCAAATAGGGGTTCAACATGCATTTGTAGTAGCATTGCGAAATAGTTCCGAGCATGAATTAGACTTTCCATGCATAAAAATTTGATAGAACTTGTGAATAACACGTTTCGTGATATGGCAATGCACTTATAAGGGGATTTTTAAAATATTAGACAATATTAGATAAGGATGACCTGCGGTCATGTTTTCGTCCGACTGACACAGATTCGACGCGGTCTTGACATTCAGGGCATCCGGTTTGAACGTTTTTTGAGACCGCATCTTCCTGTTTAGTCGACGCTTCGAAATTGAAACTAGCGAGAATATTTTTGTACCTTCGGCGCCTCGGTCGTGCGAAATATAAATGGTAATCGGTCGCTATTTCTGCCTTTCGAAAGGTAAAAAAATGAAAAAGAACGAGGAAAAAATTCAACGGTGGTTGCAGAACGTTTATAAACATTCAAGCGAGACCGTGGTTAAAAGTCGCGAGCAGAATTCCTAATAAATCGAACGCGAGCTGGATATGCATCCAGCGTAACGATGCAGTCACTCCAAATTATCGATTATTTCGCAATCGTGCTCGATTATAGTAGGAAGGATTTATGCATCGCCTTTCGTTAATGAACTATTAGAAATGAGAAAACCTTCTTCGTTGATATTATGCAATAATTATGAAAACCAATATTTCGTGCGATATATCTAATTTTATTAGCAAAGTAGAATTTTATTTAACTAAAATTCCAACAGGTATTCCTCAGGATTCTTCCCTAATTGTCGACTCTCCCTAGAATTCCCATAAGACTTAACTTGACTTTCCCTAAAAACGCAATAAAACATAGAATACTAGAAAGCAAATAACAAGTCTGAAACTTGAATACGACCCAACAAATTAGAAATAAATAATGATAAAAAGTATGGAAAGTTGCGCCGCGATCCGGAACCGCTCAGGTTATTTCGTAAAATTGGCCGGCGTAAAAGAATCGCTATCAGAACGATTACAGGTAAGGAATCTGAAACAATCGATATCGAAATGCTCGCGTGAATTACGCGAAGGACACGGGTGAACGCACCGAAATCTCTGGAAGTGAAAGGAAAAGAGAGGATTATATTTACGTGTGACTGTGGAAATCGACTGTTGGGAGGAAAGAAATCTTGTTTAGGATCCGGTCCTGTCCCGTAGACCAAGCCCATCATGCTGCTGACATGATTCAGATACGGGTAATCCCATATGGAACCTGGCGATGCCACGATCACCATCTGTCAACGATGTTTAATCGATACATTTCGAATGTGGCTCTCTTAGGAGATATATCGTTGTATTAATTTGCCGACTAATTTATGTGATAGCTAAATAAGCTGTTGTATAATTAAGTAAGTTAGTGTAATATATTTTGCAAGATTAGGCAATGTCGAAAGTCGACGAAGTCGTAAATAAAATTGTAATACGAAAATTGACGAAGTAGTAATTAAAATTGTAATACGAAAATCGACGAAGTCGTAAATAAGATTGCAATACGAAAATCGACGAAGTAGTAATTAAAATTGTAATACAATTCGTTAACACGCTAAATGAACCTAAATACCTTAGCAAATTCAAAATAAATTTATCGTACGACACACGAAAATTTGTTTTAACTTTCGTGCTGCTTAAAACGTATACACAGTACCTAACGAAAGTTGTGTATCTGTGATAGCATTGTGAAATGGTGCCGTCGAAAGCTCGAATCAACACTGATTCACTGGAAGTCTCGTCAGAATTGGACGGGTCAATGATTCATGAACTTCATTGATTTCGCGAGGAGGATCTCGTGTTACGGATACCGCGTTCTTTTTTTGAAAAAAGACGTCGAAATTTTATCGTCGAAAAAGCGTAGGCAGGAAGAAAAAAAAACAGGACTTACGTTATTAAACGCGTATCCATAATTTTTAGCGCGACGATTGCCGTCGTTGTTCATGCTTCTCGGTCCTTTCACTGTCGTATAGAGAACTCATTTCTATTGACACATGCCAGAAACACGACTTAACACGAGACCGAGCGTTATCATGGTATTAAAGCGTCTTTCGGTAATTAAGCTTGATAAGGCAATGCACGATTTCCATGAGATCGCCGCGAGGAAGTTCGTAGTTTACTCGTCTACGACACCGTAGGAACTGACCAGTTACGCAGATCGAGGCTCATTATCAACCTTTATCAGCCCCGACCCCTGATCTTTCCTTATCAAATCTAGTCTCCGTGTGAATATTGTCGAAACGGTTCTAATCTCTTCGGAAATCGGTCATTGAACGAGCTTCGATCGATTCGATATTTGTACACAGTATTGTACAGTAGACTCTCGTTATATTGCCAAGAGAGAGTGTTAGAGGAGAAAGTTTTCTTTATACTGTGTAGAAGTGGTTCACGCGGTAAAGCAATTTTATGCGTTGCAAATTTGCGCGTTAAGATTTTATGCGCTGCAATTCGACGCGGTATACTTTTTCGCTTTGCAGTTCCACGCGTTGCAATGTGATGCATTGTATTTTGGTTCGTTGCGGTTTCACGTGTTGCAATTTCACGCGTTGCAATTCCACGCGTTGCAATTTCATGCGTTGTAATTCCACGCGTTGCAGTTCCACGCGTTGTAATTCCACGCGTTGCAGTTCCACGTGTTGTAATTCCACGCGTTGCAATTCCACGCGTTGCAGTTCCACGCATTGCAGTTCCACACGTTGCAGTCCCACGCGTTGTAATTCCATGCGTTGCAATCCCACGCGTTGTAATTCTACGCGTTGTAATTCCACGCATTGCAGTTTCACGCGTTGTAATTCCACGCGTTGCAGTTCCACGCGTTGCAATTTCACGCGTTGCAATTCCACGCGTTGCAATTCCACGCGTTGCAGTTCCATGCGTTGTAATTCCACGCGTTGCAGTTGCACGCGTTGCAGTTCCACGCGTTGCAGTTCCACGCGTTGTAATTCCACGCATTGCAGTTCCACGCATTGCAGTTCCACACGTTGCAGTCCCACGCGTTGTAATTCCATGCGTTGCAATCCCACGCGTTGTAATTCTACGCGTTGTAATTCCACGCGTTGCAGTTTCACGCGTTGTAATTCCACGCGTTGCAGTTCCACGCGTTGCAGTTCCACGCGTTGCAGTTCCACGCGTTGCAGTTCCACGCGTTGCAGTTCCACGCGTTGCAGTTCCACGCGTTGCAGTTCCACGCGTTGTAATTCCACGCGTTGCAGTTCCACGCGTTACAATACGATGCGTTGTATTTTTTTCCATTGCGGTTTCCCACATTGCAATTCCGCGCGTTGTAATTCCAGGCATTGCAATTCCACGCGTTGTAATTCTACGCGTTGTAATTCCACGCGCTGCAATTCATAGCGTTGCTCTTTTGCATGCACTGCGATTCCACGCGTTGCAATACGATGCATTGTATTTCTGCCCGTTGCGATTTCTCGCTTTTCAATACAATACGTGGTGTTTCTGTCCATTGCGCTCTCATGCGTTGCAATTCCACATGTTGCAATTCGGAACGTTGCTCTTCTACATGCACTGGAACTCCACGCGTTGCAGTGCGATGCGCTGTATTCCTGACCATTACTATTTCACGCGTTGCAATTCATAGCATTAATCTTTTATAGTTTAGAAGTTCATGCGCTACAACTCCACGCGTTGCAATTCGTCTCGTAGTAATTTCATGTACGGCTAGCAATGCACGTGCAATTCGGAACGTTGCTCTTCTACATGCACTGAAATTCCACGCGTTGCAATGTGATGCGCTGTATTTCTGACCATTGCGATTTCACGCGTTGCAATTCATAGCGTTGATCTTTTATAGTTTAGATGTACATGCGCTACAACTCCACGCGTTGCAATTCGTAATGTTGGTCTTTTACATTTTAGAAGTACATGCGCTACAACTCCACGCGTTGCAATTCGTAATGTTGGTCTTTTACATTTTAGAAGTACATGCGCTACAACTCCACGCGTTGCAATTCGTAATGTTGGTCTTTTACATTTTAGAAGTACATGCGCTACAACTCCACGCGTTGCAATTCGTAATGTTGGTCTTTTACATTTTAGAAGTACATGCGCTACAACTCCACGCGTTGCAATTCGTAATGTTGGTCTTTTACATTTTAGAAGTACATGCGCTACAACTCCACGCGTTGCAATTCGTAATGTTGGTCTTTTACATTTTAGAAGTACATGCGCTACAACTCCACGCGTTGCAATTCGTAGCGTTTATCTTTTACATTTTAGAAGTACATGCGCTACAGCTCCACGCGTTGCAATTCGTCTCGTAGCAATTTCATGTACGTCTAGCAATGCACGTGCAATTCGATACGCTGTATTTGACTCGTTGTGATTTGACACGTTATATTTCTACACGTTGCAATTCTATACGTCACAATGCATCTTGTAGCACCCTTCCGTGTTACATTGCAATTCTAGGCGTGGCAATATCAATGCATATAAGCTATTATCAATGTACATATAGTGTCAAGCTTTCAATAAACAATTTTGGAAAGTACCGAGCTGCACAATGATAAGAGCGTAACAGCTGGAAGTACAAAAATAGCAACATATCGAAAGTCTACTGTATCTCGATGTGCATAAGCGTTGAAGGTCGTACGACAAGTTCATTATAATCGAAAGTTACGAAAGAAGAATTTTTGCTAAAATTGGACTGGGAGTTTAAAAACAGAAGATATTGGGAAAATATATGAAGATTTATATTAAGGCTCATTTAAATATTCACCGTTTCCTTTGGTACGTCATTTTTGTCGCAAAGGAAAACAGGCCCACTGTGAATATTGTTAGCATACAGGAAAGGTTACGTAAGCAAGTGCATCATAGCGTGAAGATGACAATATTGGGAGGATAAGCTGAATACCTTGCGTAATCGTGTGAGGCTCATTTTCTACATGTATATAAATAGTAAATACAATCGATCACGTTGGGAATTTAATGTGGAAGTAATTGATGCAAATATATCGCGATTACGACCAATGTTTGCCGCATGAATAATGCGAATTTATCGAGTATTCTTTTTTCCTGAAATTTAAATAATGTAACTTCACGTTGTGCAGTCATAAATTAGCTTCAGATAACAAATGTCTGGTATCTTTTTAGGCGATGCAAGTCTCGGAACTTTTAAGATATCAATTTTTTAAAACGGAGAGTAATTATTGTAATGATACGTAATTGCACGTAATTGCAGTTGCTCTACGTGCAATCAGTGATTATTCGATACTCGACCTTTCATCCTGTTTCAAGTTTTTAAGCAACTCAATCATATATCAATGCTTTTTTATGGAAACAGAAAAATCTTTTTATCGATTAGAAGTATAGCTTAATTGAGAACACGATTTCGATCGAAAGGTGAAAGTATCTAAAGGTCGTATCCGAAAGTGTGGATGCTCTAGCGTCTTCAGTGTTAACAATAACGCAAATAGAAAGCTAGAAATTCTTTCCGAGAAAATTAATGTTAACGTTTTTAATTTATGTTCATTGTTTTACAATTATTTATCGCCTGTTACAATTTATTAGCAACCTTTTATAGCTACTTACTGTAACGCTTCGAAAAAACGAACGTAGGCTTGCAATTGTCCTGGGGATATGATAGAATAACTTGCGGCTAACTTGGTATATCATCAATTACCGTGACGTACTCAAGGCTGAATATCATTACAAAAACCGATTACCGTATATAAATAGTTAAAACTTCCCGGACAACTCTATCGTTTGAACAATTATATTTAAATGAAAATAATATTTGTTTTTGCCTGCGCATAAATTTTAAATCAATTCTTTAGGAGGTTTCATTACGTATTGTTCCACAGAACTTCTAAGATGTTCAGAATTGTAATCACCACATTTGTTATTTCAAATATTTGTAGAGTCTAAAAAATTTGACCTTAGATTGAATAGAAGAAATGAAAGAAATGATCTCACCTGCTGCGGATGCCAAGTATGCTGAAAGAAGCTTTTGAAACACCTCATACTGGATGGCATTCTTTTTCTCGTTGATCACCGCATTCTTATCGTAATTATTAAATAATTATTTGTGAATTATTGCCTCACTTCTCTCCCTGTTTTAATTATGTGACGATAACTTCTCGCAATTGGATCACGCACTTTACCAAATTTTCCATTTAAATTTAGAAAAAGAATTGCAGCACTTCACTGTGAAAATTAAGAATCTTACGATTTGATCAAACGACAGGCGTTAAATGTACGCGGAAATTAAGAGAGTAACTGCGAACGGTGTCGTAAGATTACAAAGTGCATTCGCATCTGCACGAATGATCGCCAGGCGAAAGTTTTGAAGCGTACTCGACGGTGTGCGGTCAACAACTAATGAAGTTCGAGCCGATAGCAGCAACAACTCGCACGAAGCGTGTAACATTGACTGTTGAAGCTCTCGTGTGACATACAAAGATCTTTTCAGCCTACTCCAAACCTACATACAATTATTCGCGTACAAATACTTGTGGAACAAATATTTACTCGTTTACAAAAACAGGAAAATACGGAGACACAAACATTTGTCCAGAACTCTGTTTACAATGTTTCGTGTTGTAATTAAATGATGCCATCAACAAGACATACATTTGGTACAACTTCTGCTTACATTTAATTAGAGACAATCTACTTTGTCATGTTTTACATTATAATTACATAATTATTATTGCAATCGTTAAATCAGTGTACTGTATTTAAAAATTTAATTATGACCAAACCGTGAATGTACTAATATATATTTTTATTCTGTCCTTTTCATTTAAAGCTTTCAAAATTTTACCTTAATTTACATATTTCACGCGTTGGATGTATGTTACATTGTTTCCATAACAATCGATGCATCATAGATCTGCAGACGCGTACAGAATCGTTTGACATTTAAGAAAATGGTAACTGCATTCTATACAAAGAAGTTCCAAGATAATAGAGTAACAGGATCTCGAGTTATTTGCTTGAACAAATGCCATGACGAGCTGCATACCATGCGCATAGTACTCGGTACACGATTTTCTATAACAGAATAGACTTTATTTTCATATATTCATTCGTGCGTGTACAATAATAATTTAACGTTACAAACTGAACGAATTTTAACGAAATTTAATTATTTATTTCTTGATGGAAAAATTGGGGAAAGAAAGTTCCGTTATCTCCTTTTCGTTCCGAAATTCTGCTTTGTCTATCGCTGACTGAGGACTTCCAGTATATTGAAGCCAATGTTTCCTGCAATAAGAGTACATTGAATAAATGTTTATATTTGCACTGTTATCTTGTTCGCAAACTTACATTTGTTCCACTTTAGCTTTCTCTCCTTCGATGCGTCCCACGACGGTACCGTTATTGGTGTTCATGCACCAACCTTTTAAACCCAATTCTTCTCCACGTTTCTGAGTGTACTATACTAGTAATGAGACATTAAAGTCGGCCGTACGTCAAGCAGAACTCAAATGCGGCGCGAATGCGTGCGCACGTGCATGCGCATGCGCGTGAAATTTAAATCACGATCATCACCATATATTTTATATTATAAGTTTCTAAATATTTCAATCATACATGACTCTCGAATTAGGTCGTAAATCATTAAGAACATCATACTTATAAAAATTTGGAAGTTTGTATTGCTATCATATGCATTATAGCTTAATCTCGTTCATATTTTTCCGAAGTCGATCCTGCACGCAGATTTCCAGCGCATGCGCGCTGCATTTGTGTTCTACGCAATGCTCCATGGGCGATCGGCTTGAGTATGTATCTTATTTATAAAGGTCCTGTAAACTAAGCTAACAATCTTCGTTTCAACGAATATAATAGTCAAATATAAGAAGGCATGTTCTAATTATATAAACTGTAGTTATCTAAATACATAACTCTATGAATTTGAAATGTTGTATATATCGGTAAATGCGCAGTAAAATTTTCGTCCAGTAGGTGTCGCTTTGGTAGCAAATATAAACTGTATACAAATATTTAGTTTATATCTTTTTCTAAATTATTGATAATTTACTTTAACCATGTACTTAACAATACGAAATATATAGCACCCTAATAAATAAACATAAGTTAAAACTTCTGAATTACAAAAATTGACAAGGTTAGGTTAGGATGAATGATACCAAATATGCGTTGAATGTCATATATTATAATATCCATCAGTGAAATGCCGAACTTACCTTCCTAAAGAAGACACCTTTAAAAAAGAGGATTCGAAATCAGTATCCTTTTATTCCTGTCAACGCAAAATGGTTACTTACCTTGTACTCTTCCGTACACTTCGAAGTCAACTCCGATCATTTTGGAAATTGTCAGATCTTGGGATGTTCCCTCCAACAAGAATGAAAACACGAGCAAAAAACAGGAAATAAATTTAATATATTTGCTGGTTAATGTTAAATTATTCGGACGAAAAGTAGACATGCATTCGCCGCTTCGTCAAAGAGCAATTGACTAGATGTCGTTAGTGGAGACTCCGTCAGCTGTTTCAGCTGGTTAACACCGGTATCCTTGGAAACTATTCTTGATTCTCTTTAAAGCGAATTAAACTTCATTTAAACAGTGGGGTCGATACAGGGTTTGATACATCTTTCAATTAATCCCAATGAAAAGTACAATATCGTAAACGCAAATTATTCCTTTCGTATCACCTATCTAAATCTAATACATTGACCCTCGTTTAATGATAGTATAATATATGAATGTTTAATATACTTTAAAAGTAAAATCATTTCCTATGTTCGTTGAAACTAATTGATTTCGAGCAATGATTAATTGACTGTTAAATACAAATGAAACACACATAATGATTTGGTTTAATTTGAAAACCAAATTTTAATTGCACGTCTATGCTATATAATTACAGTTGTGAGTTGTATACAAAACTATGTCAATAAAAAGGTATTAAATACATTCTGTTGATGTAATGTAAGCTTGCTTTGAATCATAGCAAATGAGGAGAGAATTTCCAAAGTTTTAAAAGGACAAATTTCAAAATTTTGAAATGTTCAAACTTTTAAAGTTCTTTATTTTCAAATGCCTAAGTTTCCAAATTCTCAATTCTTAGAGTTCTGAAAGTTTTAATTCCCAAATTTCTGAATTTGAAAGTTTGCAAGCGCGACAATACGAACTAAAAGGTAACGCGAGTAGTGGGGTCTCGTTCCCCTACATCGCCATTTTCCCTCCGGAAGCCTACCGTGCTTGCCCCTGTACAGATGCGTATAAGTCGTCCCCACCGAGGAGACCACGGTCAGTCTCGAGCTGCACTTAATACGTGGTGGATGTTTGCTCGTTGTTTATCTTTGGTGCGCGCGCCGACCTTGCGAAACGTAACGAGAATCTTCGAAAAAGCCGGCAATCAATCGATCGTGTTATCGCTATCATGTATCGTATACGTCATTGTACGTGTGCTCGTGCTGTTTACCTTTAAAACCGTTCGATCACGGCATCGCTTCGATTCTACATTATGGTAGACGATCACGTCGACTCGAATGTACGCCGTTTCAACGAAAACATTCGCGACGTTTAATCAACTCGACCGTTTCGATATAGTTCGAGATCGTCGATCGTTGTTGCGTCGACCCGAAATAGATATCGAACGTGCGCGAGAATCCGTGCGCCTCTGTACGGTCACGCGAAAATACGACTTGTGTGTCAGTCGATGAGGTTAGGGTGGCGTATTTACGCAACGAAAATTCGTATCTTCGGTGATACGGGTACGCGATGCGGCTCTGACAGTTCGTCTTCTATCAGCTGGTACATCGTTGATAGCGAATCGTTCGACGAAACATTGTGCGCGTTGTTTCCGAGCGACGCCGGATTCATCGTCGGCGACTTTGACAGCGCACCGTCGAGGAAAGTGAGGTTAACTGGGGAGGAGGTGTGTCGAAATTGTGCGTGTGCGTGTTGTGCACGGTGGAATAACACGGCTACAATACGATGACGGCGATGTTAGTATCCGTAGCTGAGCTGTCGAACATTTTCTTCGTGCTCGTCGTGTCGATATGCTTCTGCGGAGTCTTCTTGTTTATCATCAGGTAGTTATAAACACCTTATCGAAAAGTTTTTCCTTCGATCGCGCGTGTATTTTGATCGAGATGCACAACTCTCGTTCTTATCACAAATTGCTTCGATTCGTTCTCTTTTTTCTTTCGACATTAAGGTGAAACTTAACGGTTCGGATGCATAAAAAGACCGGATAATAAATGTCACTCGAAGACGTTGAAACAAGTAAGATAATGAATGTATACATATGCATTTTTGTCGCTTCGATTGTAAATATTTAAGCGAGATCAATTTGTGTTTGCTTTTACGTGGAGCAGTCACTTTCGGATTTTAGCAAACATCTTTCGAAAGTAGTCCACGACCGAAGTTAACGAGCATGACTTGTTGCTCATTATTTTTCCTTCATTCGAAATACGTACATTATTGGAAGGTTGTAAAACGTGCTGTAACTAATGGGGAACCGATTATGCCTAATGAGTCACGCAAGTATAAAACCGGCGAATGTCTGATATTGGCTGGTACTTGAGAAATCATTGTTACTATTGGTCCTTGAAAAATATTCTCAAACAAGACTTACGTAGAGATAGATATAGAGACTTATATATACAGGTATTTAACAGTGTGTTTTATAAAACTGAAAAATTAAGACATTAAGATATGTTAGATTATACTAAAATTAAGAAATTGAATAATTAAGAGTAGGAAAGTTAAAAAATGTCTCGATAATAGTTTTCTAGATATGAAAAAGAAAAAACGACACTATAAACGTGATTCCAAGGTAACGAACGAAATATGACTTGACTCTACTTGATGACCTTGCGAATGATTCGTTGCCGTGAATGTCGAGGAACAACTTTTTCGATACTTCGTTAAAACTGAAATATCCTTTTTTTAATACATATATCGATTTTGGTTTGTTTATGTTTTGGGATGCGCGTAGTAAGCGTCCACTATTCTCATTCAGAGATATTTTTAGCAACCTTCGCTAATAACAAAGTTATTGCGGATTTAAACTTTCTGCGCACGAAAAAGTGATGGGTTCGATAGAGGTTATATTTGTGGAGTCGAATGAGTAATTCGTTTATCGTTCGGTTTTTATTGTTATTTTTATTTTTGTGCGTTCAATGTTGGGTCTGTTTAAATTTTTGTGGGAAAATTTGTGAGATAGTGATTTTTATATATTGTGGATTTAATGGTTATTAAATATATAATGTTTTATAGGTGATTTAATAATCCGGTTATTCGTACAAAGGTTTTTTAGTACCATACCCCTGACACACATTCACTTGCTTGTTAAATTGAAAGTTTATTGCCCATATTTAAAACGTCTCATGAAAGAATAATGAATCCCATTTTGCCTTGGAACAGATCCAAAAATAGAGGCGACGTTAACCTTGAAATTTCAGTAATTATCCTGAGGTGAAACGATTCCATATTCCATTAATCGATTTGTCGACTTTCTTGTATTTCGTCAACGCAAGCAGATGTTAGCAGATCTAACAAATTGCAAAATCAACGGAATTATGCAATCGTAAAATCGGGATAAACGATACGTTAAGTTATTTCTCTGTGCTTTGCTAATCTTTGCATAAATATCGTTGTTGACTCGTTTCTTTTTAATGCCATTATTGCCAGCACATTTGTCGTCGGTGTTTGCTGTTCAATCACTACGGTAAATTCGTAATCCCGTTAAGTGAACGCACGGAAACTGTTTCTTTAGAAAAAGTACGGCGAAGAACGAACACTCACCATTTTTCTTTTACGTATCTATAATTTATGATTAAATTAGTTTACTTTGGTCTCTGTATGGGAATTTATTGAATTTTAATTTGAATTTTAAGTTGATATCTAAGGCTGTGCGGGCAAGGCGTTAGGGTGGACATTTATCTGACGTTCGAATGAGGGGATCGAATACTATATGGTACTAGGCGTGGATCAAGATTAATATACCTGTAAATTTTATGCAGTTGCATTAGGAAATGGTACTCTAGGGATGGGGTTTAACATTAAAATTATTAAACTAAGCGTTCAAGTTTGTTATAAGTTACACAATTTGTTGAAATTTGCAGTTTTCATCAATATGAAGAATTAGTGTACTAATTCATGTGGTGTGGTGTATTACTTAAATTTAGTTTTTATTTCAAATTAAGTGTCGTCTTATACCTAAGACGATGGGTTTAGTGTTAAGTGGTCGAGATCGATGAGTACTCAACCTAAACCTGTTGCAATGGAAAACATTGATGGTTACATTGACTGTAAGCATTGATGGCTACATTGACTGTAAGCATTGATGGTTACATTGACTGTAAGCATTGATAGTTACATTGACTGTAAGCATTGATGGTTGCATTAACTGTAAGCATTGATGGTTACATTGACTGTAAGCATTGATGGTTGCATTAATTGTTAACATTGATGGTTACGTTAATTAATAAGCATTGATGGTTACATTAATTGCAAGCATTGATGGTTACATTAACTGTAAGCATTGATAGTTACATTGACTGTAAGCATTGATAGTTACATTAACTGTAATCATTGATGGTTACATTAATTATAAGCATTGATAGTTACATTAATTGTAAGCATTGATGGTTACATTAACCTGAAGTATTGAAGGTTACATTAACTGTAAGCATTGATAGTTACATTAATTCTAAGCATTGATGGTTACATTAATTATAAGCATTGAAGCTTGCATTAATTGCAATCATTGATGGTTACATTAATTATAAACATTGAATCTTACATTAAGAACTAACTCTTGAACAAAGTCTTTGAATAAATCCTCACAAATTAAATCAACTAATGCTACAATATAAATAACTAAAAAATTGCCCAATAAATCCAAATTGTCTCTCCATAACGCAAATAGAAATTCGAATGACTCAGACTGTAAAAATCTATCTCGTTAAATCACAACCTTCGGCATAGAATGTCAGATTGCGATCAGGGAAAGAACAATACACGAATTTCGCTGGTGCTCCATTGTTCGTCAGCTAACGGACAGCTAATCATTTTGTATCTCGAATATTAATGAAACTTTTACGCAGTCGTGTTTTTGAAGCTTCGAAATTTGATGTAGATACATTTCGTGCTACTTTTCGGTTATCAAATACAGACTTTTTATTTCGACATCGTTTGATATGCAACCCGAGTCCTGAGCAAGGTGATTGTTAATTAGGTTTCGGTCATTAACCTCTGACATCTATCGAAAGATAGAGACTATTCATTCATCATTTCTAAGAATGATTCTCTTTAATGAATGATTCAAATGAAGTTGATGAAATTGAGATCTGTTAAATCTTTGAGAGACTTTGTTAAGTTATTAACTACTTCATTTTCGTTTGGATTTTATCGTATGGTTCGTAGATTTTATAAAAATTGATTTTACAAAAAATTATGTGGCAAATAGTTTAACAATGAACCTATGTATAATGTGTACTTAATTTGAGATGAAAAATGAAGTCACAAAGTAAATAAACAAAAGACAGAACATAAATTAGTACACTCATTAATTATTTAGCTTGATGAAGATCAATGTAGATATCAGGAGAATCACTTCTAACGTTAAAAATCTAAAAATCATTTGATACAAAGCTAACTCAAAGCTGACAGAATGAACATAGATCCCCGAATTCCTAAAATCGCTAGATCCCCAAATCCTCACGTCCCCGAAACCCCACGTCCTCGAATCCCTAGATCCCCAAATCCCCACGTCCCCGAATCTCCACGTCCCCGAGTCTCCACGCTCCCGAATCTCCACGTCCCCAAATCCCTAGATCTCCGAATTCCCACGTCCCCGAATCCCCGCGTCCCTGCGTCCTTACGTCCCCAAATCTCCACGCCCCCGAATTCCCACGTCCCCGAATCCCCGTGTCCCTGAGTCCTCACGTCCCCAAATCCCTAGATCCCCAAATCTCCACGTTCCCGAATCCCCACGTTCCCAAATCTCCACATGCCCAAATCCCCACATTCCCAAATTCCTACGTCCCCAAATCCCTA